GACAGCCTATGTCCCGGTGCGTGGAGGAAGCTATACCAATGCAAGCGATGAGAGGTTGAAGGCGGACATTGTAGACTGTCCCTATGGTTTGGCAAGCCTTATGAGAATGAGACCTAGAAAGTTCAGGATGGTTCAAGAGCAGACTGTCCATGTTGGCTATATCGCGCAGGAGCTGTATAAGGTCATACCAGAAGCAGTAGATATCGGACCAAACGATGAGCTTAATCCGGATGGGTTTCCAGTGAATCCATGGGGAATCGATCTCGCCAGTTTAACCTCGGTACTGTGTAAATCTATCCAAGAACAGCAAGGTCAAATCAATAATCTCAAAGCTGAACTCAATGAGTTGAGAGCGATTATGTCTGAGTCAATATAGAATGGTATCTGTCAAACTCAGTTCGTGGCGAAGACCGCTTGTCCTCAGACTACTAACGCTAATGTCGTTGATACTGATCAACTACAATGTGATCGAATTGTCGAATTCCACGAGAGGGTTATATATGGTATTGGCTCAGGGATAATTTCGCACCGATAAATATAGAGCAGATCTTGAGTACTTCGTTGTAATAGAGTATCATGGGCTGCGGACCAAGTAAAACGATCAAAAAGAACCTGACTAACCCTGAAACTGGCCAAGGCATCGGTTCAATAACGATGCACGCTGGAGTGGTTTCGATAGGGAATAATGCTTATATCCCAATGTACAACGTACATAGTGGCAAGAATGCTGTCATGGCTATCGATATCGGAGATAAAAAGTCAGACTCTATCGCGAGAAGAAAACAGACGTAGACATCTAAGTATATCCGCTCTGCTCTATAGAGCAAATGTCTTCACAGACTTTGACTTTTTTTTTGGCTGGTAAGCCCAGACTCGGCCGCCATCCGTTTGGGTAGATGCCTCCACCTTCTTGGTCGACTTGTCGAGGTCAGTAGCCCCCATAGCGGCTTGGGTCTTCTGGGGACGATCATGAATGATGAGGTTCTTCATGATAGCTTTCAACTCAGCGACGTTGAGGTCGCTATTGTCACCATAGCTGCCTCTGGAACTGGATATAATGCGCGAGTTGAAGAAGAACATGGTTTCATAATAAACGGGTGATAATATCTTTGAACTCTTTATCATCAATCAGTCGATTGCTGTACATATCCACCGTGAGAGACGTGAGCTGCTTGATGATACTGGGGTTGTCATTTCCGAGTTGTAGCTCTCCTTTTAGCTTATCGTATTCAGCCCTAAGCGTATCTAGAGGATCCTCTAACTTATTGTGGAAGCTGTATTGGAAATAAGTAATCGATAGAACCTCCTTCAACAGTTTCTTATCTTCAACGCTGAGCTTATCGTAAGCGGATTGATCGACACGGTTCTTATAGACAAGTGCCTTGATCATGGCTTGGAGGCTATCACTGATTTCCCACTTAGGACCACATTTACGCCGATTCGGCTGAACGATCACGAGCTTTTTAACATCAAGGTCGGGGATACGAATATACTTGCTTCCGATCGGCTTGTATGTGTAGGCTGACGGCGTTGCTAATCCTTGGATCTCATTGAGATTGTAGGTACGGCCTCGGCGAACTACACCTTCCAGCGGGGCAACACCTGGACCGCGCAATCCTCGACCTTGAAGCTTTCGTTTAACGCCACTGCCGGACATCTCGCTTGCCTCGGCGTATCGCTTAGCCTTCGTTTGATATATCGATTTTGTCGCCTTCATAGCTGATGTAGCTGCCTTCAACACCGATCTCGCTGCTTTTGAGTTATTCCCTCTAACAGCCTCTTTTGCTTCTTCATAGCGTTTCTGAGCCTCACCGTATGTCTGAAAAGCTGCTTCTGACTCATCATGAAGCTTTTGCAAGCTGTCATCGTATTCATACTCTTCAACAATTTGCTGTCTAATATCGTGTACAGACTTTAGAATAGCCTCATTCAATATTTCAAGATTAGCATCCAGGTTTTTACGTATTTTCTTATCAAGCTCCTTTTCTTCAAGTATCTTAGCTGCTTCTTCATCGCTCGATGGGAAGGGGTATTCAACCTCATTAAGATAGCGGTCCAAGTCCTCAACCCCGTTAAGTAGGGACGAATGCGTATCCATCCACATGATATTCTTCATTAGCCCCTTCCAAGCTACACCACTCACCTGCTTGTGTGCTTTGTTTTCACGATTTAAAATATTTAGGGGTCTAGACCCCGATGGCTGTCCAAAGTAGTATGATGGATGGGACTTAACAACACCGTTGATGTTCACGATTGGTTGTAGCCGAAATGGAATATCAATACTATTAGCGTGCAACTGGCTGTAGTAATCAGTTAAGATATTCTTGGCGTCGTTATCAGCGTTTGATAGGCTTGGGTCCATGTCTTCATCAATACCACTCATTAACCCATGCTGAGCTTCACCATTAGCTGGGGTAAAATCATTTATGTGTTTGGTTTCATTGCTACCAACTAGTTCTAACTCGAGGCCCATGGCTTTTATCATATTAATGAAAGATTGGAATGTCATTATCCAGTTCACTTTCTGAGTGATTGCTTGCTTCACACGATCGCTATCTTTCCCGTAAACGCTAATGCTAATGCCATTGATCCAAACATAGCCATTTTTGTCAATAGGAGAAGATTTTGCGGAACCATTAAGAATTGGTACAATCTTCTTCATCAATCCGTTAGATTCAAGGACTTCCCTATTTTTGCTAATTGTCCAAAATAATTTGAGCTTGCTGTCCATTTGATCGGATCTTGTGGATGTTCCAGTATCGAACACAAAACTGTCGTCAACTCTCTGCTTAGAGCGGTTTGAATAATCTCCTTCTGAGGCATTGATTCTTTTTCTTTTTGAGCCAATATTTTGCCAAACCTGGTATGGGCTATTTTTGTCCTCTTTACCCATCTCATTACGTCGCTCCTTCTCATTGACGTATGCGAGGAATCTGACATCATTAATTAATACCTCACCAATATGGTCATACGTCTCAGACCAATCAATGCTCGGAACTAGTACATATTTTCTCAGTTTAATACTGTACACCTTAGCATCCATCCCAATATAATACTTAGTAAGCTGCCGGCCGTTGGAAGCAATAGGGTGAATATTTAGTTCTGCAAGGATGGGGTAAACCTCGAAGATTTTAGCGACCGCTTCCTTTGACTTTGTTTGATTTTTCATCTCAGCATTGCCTTCGTCGCACAAATCTTCTTCGACGGGCTTTTGCGGCAGTGGACTATCAGGGCCAACACCAGCATCTGTCATTCTTGCACTATTATCAACTCCAACATCAGTCATATAGGGGCTCACGTGGGCCCAACCATCACTGGTTTTGGGCTTAGCAGTACTGGAAGCATCAACGGACTGAGGCTTTGCAGTAGTCGATGCATCGTTCATTTCAGGTGTTGCATTAACTTCAGCAACTACCATTGTTGAGGACTCAGTTTTTTTTTTGGGAGTTTTCAATATTCAGCCTTTTTTTTTTAACTCTTCCGGCGTAGCCTCGTCAGGGCCAACCGAAATATCCGACTGAGCGGATTGTGTTGATTTCTTTGGAACAGTAGTGATACCATTCGCGATATCGCTAGCCCATGATGCACCTTCGTACATAAGGCGCTTGGATTTGGCTTGACAAACTCGGCGCTCAGCTCGTTCGAGTAGCTCCTGCCGCTTTTGCTCTCGTTGAGCGAGGGATGTAAAGTTGGGAAACATCGTCTAACTATATCATGGTAGTCATAAAAAAAATATTAGCATCGATTAAATACATACTCACCAATAGCTTGGGATAACGGAGTCATGCCTAAATGGTTGATACGTATGACAGATACGGTTTCGCTCATTGAGGAGATTGATGTATCGATCCTTGATGCAATGAAACGGCACACCAAATATCGTTTCTAACTGGTCGCGGTACTGTAGATTGCACACGGTTTTCCGGAAATTGGCTACTGGGTCTGAATCTCTGAGTTCATTTTTGATTCGACTAACCTCTTGAATTATCCACAGCTTTCTTCAGACTGTACAAGCTCACGTTGATTCTCTACGCAGTTGCAACACATTCTATATATGAAGTCATATATTTTTAAGCATTATTTTTGGAAAATAGATTGATAGATATAGATGAGTCAACGCTTACAGAGCATTGCTCTATTAAACATATTTCGAAGCTAGTTCGACTCATTTTTATCAACTTCCAGTACTCATTCTTTAAGGTTGATCTCTTGTTCTTATTGACTAATCTAAGATTATCTTGTGGCTCCCAGGAGTCAAGTTCATCACCGACCCACTGAACGAGATACTTGTACTTGCCGGATCGCATCTTTTGGTGGTCTAAGATCTTCTCCACCTCTAAAATATCACCTCTGTTGATAGTAGCTTCAGATGTTTCTGCTTTAACAATTTTTAGATCGTTTGGCCCCTTGTAAAGAGTGTGTCCGTTTTTCGACTTGATTTGGATGCGGTAGCCATCAATACCTACCACCGAATACACAGCCTTAGACCATCTTGCTGCTTCTTTATCAAATGTTTTCTTTTTTAGTCGATACAAAACCTTTTCACCGACCTCGAACTCGTTTTCAATCCTCTCAGCTTCAGCCTGGTTGTGGACTAGTTCAGATTCAATTACCTTACCTTTAGCTTCGTTGGGGGTCATACCAATCGTCCGATGGGTCGTGCTATTGTAGTTCTCAATAACAGCAGCTATGAGCTTCTGGGTTAGTCGCTTTGGTTCGATTTTGACAAGGCGCTGCTTCAGAGTTCTATTGAAGCGTTCTATTTTACCCATTTTGGCGTGATCTCCAGGCTCATTGTTGAAATGGTCAATTTTCTTAGTTTTGAATAATTTCTGAGCCTGTTGGTTCATGAATTCTGAACCATTATCGGTTGTGAGAATGTCAACCTTATGGAGGCGGACAAAAACCCTAATTGCTGCTAGTACGGTCGGGCCAGTTTTGTTGGTTAGTAGTTTTGCGTAGCCTAGGCGAGAGTTGATGTTGATCGCAGTCAAGATTGGTCATTTCTCCCAAAACACCAAGTCCATCTGCCACGAATTGGGGTTAGTCGATGCGATTTTGAACCCATCGTATCGCTTCTTCTGCTCCTGAAATCGCTGAATATCGCTCTGGTTTGAGTACCATTTCTTGACGATTTTCATCGTAATCTTCGGCTCCAGTTCTTTAGCCTTCTGGTACAAGGCTTGGGCACCCACATAGCCCGTTTTGGGATCATAGTATAATTTGGACAACAGCTGATCCATCGCTCTATATGGTTATAAAACAAAAAAATCCCCTGCCAGGTAGTTGCTTATATGTCGAGCGGTTCGGTGGTGATACCATCCGCAAGTACACGACGCTTGTCATAATAGTAGTTTAGAGCTGTTTTAGTCTGGGTGTACGTAATGATTGACTTACTCTCCTTACTGAGTCTAAACCCCTTGTTGGTGCCCTGTAGCGTGATGCGATCGCGAACAACTGATTCAAAGCCATCTGGGTTGAGGACGTCGCCATTGCGGCCACCACTCTGCTGGACTCCCTTCGCTGAAACCTTGACCTTGTAAGATTCGTCTGGTAGGTAGCAAATGTAGTTCTTAGAGGACAATGATACCATAGCATCACCAGACCACTCATCCTTGAACAAACCTGGCGTTCGGCGATCAAACTGAGCCATCTCTTCGCTATAATCACGTGGGAACCACTCGTACTTATGCTGCTGAAAATGCTCACGAAGCTCGGGCTTGATACACTCAACGAATGGCTTCTCACCGCTGAACGCAATATAAGCCGAGTCTGTGTCCATTTCTTGGTACTGGAATTCCGAACGGTCGAAGTAGAAGTCAATGCAATCATAGTAGAATTGCAACATACGGAGCTTAGCGAGCTGATAGATTGCAATCGATAGATGAATTGGGTTCTTGTTGTTGAGCTTTCGCTTCTTCATAGTGAATTCACATGAATCATTCAGCTCTTCCATTCCATGGAAGGTGAAGTGCTCAATCTTGGCCTTGATTGCCTTATCGTCCGACTCATACCTGACCTCCTTGTGCTTGCTCATGTCCATGCCAGATCGACCAAACGCACTATTACCAACCAGTTCCATCATCTCAGCAATCATAGCCTTATTATTGCTACCCTCACTAAGCGTTTTCCGCTTAGTCAACAAGTCTAGAACCAAATGAATATTAGGATTGGTTGTCGATTCATTCATGAATCTATCGATAACGAGCGCATCAAATGATTTAGGGTTCGTAATGATTTTTTTCAACTCTTGGACTAAATCATCCATATCAGAGTCAGATACCTTCTCAATAATGATCTTACAGATGGATTTAACACTTTCATCACCCTCTCGTCGCGCGCTCGATACGGCTTCCATGAATGGTGCAAATGGCCTTGTGAGAGCTAGCCTTGATTAAGCTGTAAGTCTTTGTGATCTCCATACCATGAGAAATGTACCATTTGAGTAGCGGTGCATAAATGAGGATCTTCTCACCAAAGTAGCTCCCGATGAGTTTGCGAGCCGGCTTTGCTCGGCTTTGCTTGCGCTCCTCCTTGTACTCGAACATGTGCTGACCGATGACACTCCGATCGCTGCAGTCGATAAGGGTGTTCTTGAAAATTGGGGTCATTTCACTGAAGTAGGGTTTGAGGTGCTCTGCTGTACGGATATCACACTCGAGGAAGCCAAAGATCTTGTCATATACAATATCATCGACGATCCCTGTGTATGCTTCGATGGTAGTCAACCGTCCACATGGCATCTCATTACCAAGAGCCCACAAATACAGAGCATTAGCATCGTAGCCGATGATCTTTTTGCAGATTCTACCCCCTCGAATCTTGGTCTCGTTGCGTTTCGCGTATCTGTTGAAGATGATAGAAGGACCACCAGCAATGTTCGCCTTCATCTTGGTGTAGATGTCCTTCTCCTCTCTATCGATACTGTACACCAACCTGTCTGAGTTGAATTCAAGTAGCTTCTTGTGGCGGAAGCCCTTTAGCGACATGTTCTTGCGAGCAACGTTGCAGCCCACACAGCTGATCAAGATATTACCATCGATGTGTCCGAGCTTGTTATTGATTCGGTCAGCCGAGGCAGTATCAGCTGTGAGTTGCTTGTAGCATAGCCCACACAGGTACTTTTGTCGCTCTAGCAAGTCGTTGAGGTGTTCTAGCGTCATATTGAATTCACGATCGGCATCAGCATCCTGGGTGTTATATCCGCTTAAGCGACTAGCGGGAAAGTCAAACGCTTCAGTAGGCTCCTTACTTGGTTGCTGGAGGTTGTTGAAGCACGTCTGATACATGACTTTCTCAGAGAGACCACACCACCAGTGAACATATCAAGTTCGAAACGTTTGAATAGTTCTCGCTGGGCATTGATGGCCTTGATGAAGGGTACAACATCGAGGTTGATGTACCAAATGAGTAGATCCTTGATTGACTTCATGCCATAGTGTTCCCAGACGAACTGTACCCGCACATAGTCCTCATCGCTGATGCTAGTGCTACGAAGAGCACTGTCGAACGCCGACTTAGGAGGGACTTCTGGCTGACTGAGTACGTCAAATGAAGTAATGTACTCGTACGGGAAGATGCCTTTCCCTAGGCCACAGACGCATCGAATCTTGTCATCACACTTGCACTCACCGAGATATGTCGGCAAGTACTTTGCATAGCTGGTGCCTGCCGGAACATAGTTGCTAATGTCAAGCATTTTCATGTCTGACGTGGCGATGCACATGTAGATAGGGTTCTTGATGACTGATGTGATGTTGTCAGTACCGATGACTGCAAACAGGTCCGCCTTGATAAGGTTGATGTCGTAGCGTCCAGAGTTGAATCGGAATACTGGTACCTGACCAATGCACTGCTTCAGCTTGCCATAATCCGAGCGCTTCTTACCGAATGTGAGCTTGCTGTGGAAATCGAAGAAACAAGCAAACTCCCCGTTCTGAATCCAAGCATTGACATCATCCATCTTGTACGTCTTACCCAAGTCTAGACCAGGAACCTCAGCGTCAGTCAAACCATGGACGTTGATGATTTTGCGGAGCAAAGACTCGTACTTCGAAACGTTGTACTGCTGAATCTTAGCCGCAACTTCCTTGATGTACTGGAACATATCCTTGAGCAACTCCTTCGGGTCATCGCTGACAAAGCATCGCACCTCCTCAGTCAAGCTGTCGGCCACGGAAACAGACACAGGAATGTGTTCGTTTGTGAAGATAGTATTCTCTCCGTTTTTGACACCCGTAGGCTTGCGGATAGCCTCAAAATCATAGACAATGAAGTGATCGATGTAGTGGTCAGCATCCTTGATGGAGTACTTAGTCAGCATGGAACGAATGCTGTTCGGAGCGGGTTGGTAGATGGTTGGCTGAGCTGGGAAGGATTCGATGTTCACGAGTTCGCATTGGTTCTTAGTGTGGTTGCGTAGCTTATCAGGGCTAACAAACACCATCTCACACGTAGAGCATTGGTACTTCTGCTGGAGCATATCAACGTTCGTGATGTAGAGAGCGTGATTCTCGTGCGACAGGATGTTGATCGAATCGTAGTCCTTGTCCGAGCAGCGAATGCATTCAACCTTGCCCGTCTCAACATCCATATTGAAGACGTTGATGTTCAGCTTGAAGCACTCCTCAAGCTCATCGAATTGGAGAATGTCGATAGGCTTGAAATTGCGGAACAGACCCAGAGTGTAGGTGATCTCCTTGTACGAACAGTACTGCTTGAAGGCTTGTTTCACCAGAGCCTGGATTCTGCGAGGATCCTTCTTGGCTCCCTCCTGCTTGTGATAAGCAATGCAGTGGAAGACACACTTGTTGTTCGTCTTGGGGAAGTTGATGACGTGCTTGTTATCACGAATCACCTTAGGAATGACCGCCTCGCTATCACCCAGAGCATGGTCGCGTTGGTAGATATAGATTTTGAAGCCAGTAATCCACTTCACCATGTACCCGGAGCTGGGGTAGTTGAGCTTGTCAGCCAACTCCATGGAGCGAATCTCCGAGATGATTTCTATGCGAAGTGGAGGCATTCCTGAACAAGTGAAGACACTGCTGAACGTGGAAATGGACCCAGCAGATGAGATTGCCGATGTCTTCGTACCAGCTCCGCAGAAGAAGCAGATCCACGTGCTGGTGGTGGTTCCGGGTCATGTTCGCGTTGACATTGGTGGAACTGCTTCCAGAGCGCTGAAATATAAGCGTACGTATTCTGGCCCCTAATTGTTTGAATATGTTGTTGCTAATTTCTTGTGTAGAGCAGGATTCAGACGGTGGATCATCAACGCTCAATGCTTCGTACCTGTCATATTGGCGGTCATTACATTCATTGTTTTGGCCTATGGAGAGAATCCAACCGACGAAAAAGGATGTTTAACAGTTCCTGGCCGCTCGCTTATCGTGTGTCAGATGATTGGTGTTGATATTGCGATGGGAGCGATTCTGTCATATTCGCAACATTGGAAATCGAAGCTTGACAACATGATCGAGGAAGCGAAGGACGAGACACCGTTACAAGCCCAGCGACAAGAAATGACCGACCTGACTTTTGCTGCTGAAGCCCAGCATCAAGAATTGACCGAGCACACTTCGCTGCTTCCTGCTACTGAAGCTCAGCGACAACCTCAACAACAACAACCCTCACAGAGCACAAAGAGAAACAGAGGAGGAGAAAGAGGAAATGAATAATTTAATGGAAGCATGGTGTCTTCAACTTCTCAATTACCAAGTATTTGTTGATCGATCCTGACAAATATAAAGTTACTAATATACAACGATGACGTACTCTCCTGAGCAATACCAAGCTAGCAAGGAACGTATCAAAGCAGCGCAGAAGCGCTACTACCAGCGCACACGCGAAGCCCGTTTATCTTATCAAAAAGACTACGATGACAAGAATAGAGACCAGATTCGAGCTCGCAAGCGTAAGTCCACAACCGAGCTTATTGATGGTGAAGTCGAACTTAATAATGAAACCGAACTTAATTAATTAATTAATTTTTTCTCAAAAAGTTAATCCCAATATAGTCAAAGACAATGGCTTAAGACCTCCAAAAAGGTATAAGCCAAATATTTGAATTAATTAATTTCAGAATATTTTGTAAATGACTAAGATATAAAGTCGATCCTGATACAAGGTCAAATAATTATAAAGTCATATCTACGGAGAATAATATAGTCAAACATATATAGGCAACATGTTTGCATACGAACTCGAAGGATTAAAGAGATTAAATATTCAGCCCATTCGATGGGGTAGTAGCTACCGTATTAAGGTACGTGGCAAGACGGGGCGCATGGTATACATTAGCAACATTTCCCACCCCACCAACCAAAAATTGGTAGCGAAGCAGTACCAGATCAGTCTAGGCAAGCTCCAAAAGAATGTGGCTGCTGATTTCAAGGAAGACAGTAAGTACCGCTTCTACCAAGGCAAGAACATGGAGTCGCACCTCTACGAGGGAATTCAGCCTGCTGAGTTCTACGACAAGCTCGAGAACGTGCTCGCAACCCAGAAGTCTGCCTTCAAAGTCAACATCGCTCTTGGATACAAGCTTGTCAGCAGAACTGATGACATCGAGACTCGCTACTTCCACCCGAAAATTAGCAACACGTCTGTATTTAGCACTCCTGTAGCTATCAACAGCAAGGCTGATATTCGTAAGAAGGTGACATCAGGGTCCTTCGATGAGAGCCACGCGCCGTCCGCCGTCTTCGCCAGGAAGAGCTGCAGCTTGTCTGCGTCGACGTCCTTGAAGTCGTTCGGCTTCTCCGCCTTGATTGCCTTCTTCAAGTGGCCCACCAACTTGTTCTCGTCAATGTCCACAGGGATTGCGCTGCCCGCGGCACCAACGACAGCACAGCTAAGCTTCCTCGAGCCGGGAAATTCTGGAATGAGGAAGAAGGAGGTAGAATTTCTGGCGTACTTAAGCGAACATGAAGGTGTGACATAGATTTTCAGCCAATGATGAGACGCCACGTCGCGCTGGTCCGAACTGCTTGTAAAATCTGCTAGCGTAATGTTCTAGTGGTTTTATCAATATAGTTTGAACGAGCGGTCCCGAAACGCCCTAAGATCCAAAAGACGTGGCTCTCGCTATAAAGTGGGCGTCGTCAAATCAACGTCTATTAGATCTGACCGGTTCAGGTTCTAAAGCTACCCTCATATCGAAAAGACGTGGCTCTCGCTCTCAAGTGGTCGAGAGGGGTCGTCGTTGAAATCGCTGCTGTCCCGAAAGAAGGTTTCAGGAATGTTCTCGGTGGTAAATTACGGTAAGGAACAAAACTGCCGGCGTAATGTTCCATGACCCACTACTGTTGGGGCATGTTTCGGCGTCGAAGATGTTCGCGATGTCTAAGGTGTGTGGTGGTCTTTCCGCTTTGGACCATGAAGATGACCGTATGATCGCTGTTTGTGGTGGTTGACGACAAGTCCATTTGCGCGCAAATCGGGCAGTGAAGTGAAGACGCGTCACCCTCTTGAAGTTGTTCATACTGATCTAATGGGTCCCATGAAGCCAAAATCCAAGGGCGGTGTTCTGTATGTCCTCACGTTCATTGACGACTACAGCAGATTCGTCTACGTGTAACTGCTCACGTCAAAGGTCCAGGTGTTGGATCGGTTTCGCGAGTTCAACGCCCTCGCTGAGACTCAGACGAGTTACAAGGTCAAGTGTCTCCGTAGTGACAATGGAGGCGCGTACACCAACAAGAGGTTCAACCAGTTCTGCGCGTCGAGCGTCTGGGACTGTGAGGATCAACGACTTGTGAAGACTCGCACGGTGACGCTGGACGAGCGCCCGCCGTCTCGCTACCGCGATGTTGTTCTCATTGATAGTGGCCGTGATTCAAGGAACGTGACTGCGGATGATGACGACGACTGGGGTGCTTCGTACGTGCCCACACCTCCTACTGAATCCACAGCGGACATGGAAATTGATGAAACGGGTGAACAGGTGACGGGCATGGAGGTGGAACCACGGTTGTTTCGCTTGCGGGGGGCTCCTCGGTAATGCAGCCGGATGGCAGCATGCTTCCAAGCGAAACTATGAGAAGAAGCCCTAGAAGTGAGGTTGACTTGCGCGCTGATCGTCCCAGTGGTCTACTGCCCACTATCGCTGAGCCTAATCAAGTCCCTCGACTTCCTACACCCTCCTCCTCTCGAGCGATTGCTGCATTAGAATCGGCCAGGGCCTTGCCGTTCAGCGAAAACCGAATCGTCTTCAGTGGTGGATCAAGACCTGGCCGTGCCGCGAGAAGTGATTAGGCTCGACTTCTGACCAATGGAGATGATGATCGTGTTGGTGCTGATAGCGAAGGCGATGTTCCGTTGCTTGCCAACGAGCCACACATGAGCTCGGAGCATGACAGCGAGGTCGGAGAGCCAGACTCCAAGCGCCCTCGGCTCGACGAGTATGAGATCGCCTTGGCCGCGACGGATGTGCCTGGGAGTTACGCTGAAGCCATGTCTTCGCCGGAGGCTAAGCAGTGGAAAGAGGCCGTTCGAAAGGAGATCAGGGCTCACATTCGCAATCACACTTGGGATATGGTCAGGCGTCCTCACGGCGTGACGGTAATCGGCTGTAGGTGGGTGTTTTCCTACAAGTTTGACGAGCATGGAAACATTGTGCGCTACAAAGCTCGACTCGTCGCTCTCGGTTGTCTCCAGACTCGTGGCGTCGACTACTACTACACCTACTCGCCGGTCGCAAGCACCAACACCATCCGCGTGTTTCTCTCTGTCTGCTGCAGCAAGCGTCTGAAGATCCGACAGTTCGACATTGAGACGGCTTTTCAAAATGGAACGCTCGACGTGGATGTGTACATGGCGGTGCCTCAAGGTGTTCGTGCTGATGGAGGTCTGGTGTGTAAGCTGCCACGAAGCCTCTATGGACTGAAGCAGGCCGCAGCTGTGTGGTTCAAGACTATCCGAGCAGCGTTCGTGGAGATGGGCTTCGTTCAGTGCCGTGCCGATCCCTGCCTCTTTGTTCGTCTTGGCAAGAATGGCCAGTCTCCTGTGTACATTGTCCTGTACGTGGATGACCTTCTGGTGGGCTGCGCTACGGACGCTGAGGCCGACAAGATTTGTGCTGCACTAAGTTCACGTTTCACGGTGAAGTCGCTGGGAGATGCCCGATATGTGCTTGGAATGGAGATCGAGTACGCACGTGATAAGGGGGAGTTGGTGGTGAGGCAGACGCAGTTCATCAAGCGGATGCTCGCGCGCTTTGGTCAAGTTGAAGCCAACTCAGTCCGAAACCCCATGGTGCTAGGCCAGGATTTCGCCCCCGATGACTCCCATGACACGTTCGAGGATGCCCGCACTTACCGCGAATTAATTGGGTCTCTACTGTACGTCGCGAATGCAACGAGACCTGATATTAGCGCTGTTCTCTCATCGCTGTCGCAGTACCTCGACTGCCCGCGCGAGATGCATTGGCGTGCTGCTCTTCGGGTTCTACACTACTTGAAAGGCACAGCTACTCGTGGCATTCGGTTTTTGCTGCGAGTCGGGCGACCGAACAGGTATCCGTGCCTATGCTGATGCCAACTGGGGTGGTGACAAGCAGACTCGTCGCTCTACATCGGGTGTTTTGCTGCTGCTTGGTGGTGGACCAGTTGTCTACAAAAGCAAGCGCCACACCACAGTCGCCTTGTCGTCGGCAGAGGCAGAGTACATGGCGCTCTCGCCTGCTGCCCAAGAGGTGCTCTGGCTGAGGTACTTGCTGGTCGAGATGGGGTTCAAGTCTGAAGGTCCGACCACGCTACAACTGGACAACAAGTCGGCGATTGCAATGGCCGCAAACAAGCGATCTACGAGCGCACTTTGTGCGCGATCATGTCGAAGCCGGACGGATCAAGCTAAAACATGTACCCACGGAGGAGCAGCTGGCCGACTTCCTTACCAAGGCGGTGCCAACACCGCGTCTGATGCAGCTGTGCAATGCAAGCGGGGTCGTCGACGTGCAAGTTGAGGGGGAGTGTTAAGGATTTGCTGGTCCTGTCTACGAGTACGGAGAAAGGCAACTTACAGTGCGTTCCAGAGTGTTGGTCATGGAAGCGTCGAGGACATTCTAGAAGATGTTGGTAAGTTCGCTCTGTGTAGGACACGTGGACAAGGAAACTCGTAATTCGATCAAGCACTTTCCATTCTGCGCTGCAATTGACAAGTCCAAGTTAAACTAAATACCTCCTAATACAATACCCATCCGAATAGTAAACACTGGAACAAGGTATAATATCGTCTATACTACTACTGTAATACCGGTGTACTATTCGGAAGAATCCGCTACCGGTAGTGTAAAACCCAATTTGGGTTTTTCGGCTTGGGCCGCGACCATAAAAGAGGCTTTCCGCGACCAATCAAAGCGTTTGGTCGCAGCGAGAGACGCGACCAAACATGCTGCTTGGTCGCCGACACCAAAACTGAAGCATTGCAAGCTGATCACCCAAGCTTCCCGCGCTTGATCTCGCTAGTCTTCTCGGGTGACGCGGGAGCTGTCACGCAACCAGAGCCGCTCTCCTCGCCCTCGGCATCGAGCCCACCGTGCTGTCCCCGCCGTCTTGGCAACTTGGCGTCGTAAAGCTCTCATTCCCCAATTGACACCGTCGGCGACAAGCTCGTTGCAGCTTCAACATCCCGACCATCCAGCCACTTCAACTCGGAGTCATGGGAGCCGAGCTCAAGATCGCGTACGAGGGCGGTGAGGCCGAGCGCGCCGCGCGCCACTTCGTGGACAATTCGGCCTCGGCCGTGGCCTACAAGCGCGTCGAGGACGCATGCGCCGCCGTCAACGACGAGGAGGTGGACTTCGCCGTGCTGCCCATCGAGTCGTCCTCGCTCGGCAGCATCCACGCCCACTACGACCTGCTGCTCAAGTACGGTCTGCACGTCGTGGGCGAGTACGACCTTCAGCAGCAGCAGCCAGAGGCCGCCCCGGTGCCGCAGGACGCATCGTCGACGCCGTCGTCATCGTACACGCGGTTCCTGCTGCTGTCCAAGAAGGAGGACCTGGCGCTGGACGACAAGAAGACGGCAGGCGTCGACTTCAAGACGTCGCTGGTCTTCGGCTTCAAGGACAGCTCGGCCAGGGGCATGCTCACCCGCGCACTCGCCGTCTTCTCGCAGCGCGACCTGGACCTGACCAAGATCGAGAGCCGCCCATGGGATGGCCAGGCCCCGCAGCAGCACGGAGAGACGGCCGTCGACACCCGCAGGTACAAGTACCTCTTCTACGTAGACGTGCAGGGCCACCTCACGGATGCCAACATGGCGGCGGCCATGCGGCGGCTCAGCGAGATCTGCGCTTTCGTGCGCGTGCTGGGCTCGTATGCGACGGCGCAGAGCGCGGAGGCCCTGACGGCGGTCGAGCTAGCGCGCAAGACCGGCCGCCGCGAGACCGGCACCAACATCACCATGGCCGACAAGTACCCGCTGAACCCCATGTTCCAAAAGGTGACGGTCGCCAAGACCGTGCTGATCCACGGCCAGACCAAGCAAATGGAGGCCGAGGGCAAGCAGGTCTGGTCGCTCTGCGTGGGTGAGCCCGACTACAACCCGCACGAGCGCGTGTTGGCTGCAGGTGCCAAGGCCATGAGCGACGGCAACATCAAGTACGCGCACATGAAGGGGCTGTTGGAGCTGCGCGGCCTCATCTCGACGTACCTGGAGAAGGCAAAGGGGCTCAAGTACGACCCAGCCACGGAGGTGCTCGTGTCGAACGGTGCGCAGCAGTCAGTGTACCAGGCGCTCTACACGGTGTGCCGTCCCGGCCAGAAGGTCATCATCCCCACGCCCTACTGGCTCAACTACCCAGAGATCGTCAAGCTCGTGTACGCGGAGCCCATTCCGCTGCGCACGACACTCGAGGAGAACTACCTGATCAACCCGCAGGAGCTGGAGAGGACGCTGACGGCGCACCCGGACGCCAAGGCCATCATCCTGTGCAACCCGAGCAACCCGGCCGGCACGCTGCACAGCCCCGAGCACCTCGAGCGGATCGCCGCCGTGCTGCGCAAGCCGCAGTTCCGCCACGTCGTGGTCGTCTCGGACGAGATCTACGAGCAGCTGCTGTACCAGGACGAGGGCGAGTCCGAGCGCAAGCACGTGAGCTTCGCGACGCTGCCGGGCATGTACGAGCGCACGCTGCTGGTGAACGGCTTCTCCAAGGCGCACGCCATGACCGGTCTGCGGGTGGGCTACCTCGCCGCACCAAAGTACTACATCGACCCGTGCACGCTGTTGCAGGCGCAGCTCACGTCGTGCCCGAACACGGTGGGCCAGGTGGCTGCCGTGGAGGCGCTGAAGTACGAGCTCGAGTGCATGGAGAAGGGGGAGCGCCGCATCACCGAGGTCATGAAGAACCTCGACACCAAGCGCCGGTACATCGTCAAGCGCCTAAGCGCCATGCCCAACGTGCGCTTCGCGTACCCGACGTCGGCCTTCTACGTGTTCCTGGACCTGTCGAGCTACTTCAAGGGCAAGAAGGCGTTCATGGCTGACAAGAGCGTGGCGCTCGCAAGCGTCGACGACTTCTGCGCGCACCTGCTGCAACACTCGCACGTGGCCGTGGTGCCGGGCTCCGAGTTCGGCGACGAGTTCGGCATGCGCATCTCGTACGCGAGCTCGATGGAGGCGATCGCGCACGCGATGGACGGCATGGAGAACTTGCTCAAGTCCTTGATCTTTGAGTAGGTCTAGTAGCTGTTAGTGTACAATGTAAGGTTTCGACGTAATGTATCAGACTGCAAGTATCACTCGCGACAGCACGCTGGTCAGTGTCTTCGTTCCTGTATTTGCAGTGTCGCGGGTTTTCAAGTTCACCGGGTTTGAAGGAACTATGCAGTAGTATTCGAGTCAAACCAGCCTCCATCTACACGAATCGGTAAGGGTAGATTGCAAGCTGGAATACATGACGTCGTAACGGCGGGAACGGTGGTGAAGCTGCGCATGGCTTCAAGTCGACATTTGTAGCTATTTGCTCGATCGAATCTTGGGGTAGCAGCAATACATCATCTTATTCATAGACTTAGATTCTAGTACTCGACGGGATTGATTTGGCCTTATTTAGCCACACAACTCTCCGAGTATGATGACAGAACTTCTTGGAGTTTGAAGGGCTCACGACTGATTGGAGTCATCGAAAGCCCGATGCGGCAATGCACTCGTAGAATCCTTGGTGGGCTAGTACCGGTAGCCAGCATTGCGCTATTACTACTGGCAGGTATCGTCACAATGTCCATCCAAGCTGCAAACGAAGTCCCGGGGTTCTCTTTGGGGTATCGGGCCCCAGCGGACCCAGATACAGACAAGACCGTCGTCGAGATCGTCCAAGCTCGCAGCTACGCCATCGAGACGCACAAAGTCACCACCTCGGATCGATACGTGCTCACCATGTACCGACTTCCGAAGACTTACGCCGAGAGCCAATCCGGCTCTGCTGCTGCTCCCAACAAGCCCGCAGTCCACCTGCAACACGGTCTGCTGGACAGCAGCTTCACGTTCATCTCCAACTTCCGCAACAAAAGTCTCGCTTACGTGTTGGCCGACGCCGGCTTCGACGTCTGGCTCGGTAACAACCGCGGCACAACCTGGTCTCGCTCGCACCTGGACTACACCACCGACGACGACGAGTTCTGGGATTTCACTTGGAGGACATGGGTCTCTACGACCTGCCGGCGTTTGTGAACCACATACTGGCCACCACTGGTCGCTCGACGGTGAGCTACGTGGGGCATTCGGAGGGCACCACACAAGCGTTCGTGGGCTTCTCCGAGAACCAGGAAATCGCACAGAAGGTTGACTACTTAGCTGCACTGGCACCAGTGGCTTGGACGGGTCACACTACCGCCGAGTACTTTGTGGCGTTAGCGAAAGAAAATATGGATGAGATGTTCCTCAACCTCGGCTTCACCAGCTTCCTACCGCACTGTAGTGGGGCGACGGTCTTCACGACCTGACCACGCATCGGGCTGGCGACCGAGGACGGTCCCAGTCGAGGCTGGTGTAAGATAAGACTCGGAGGTTGGTAGGCCCTAGGAGGATAGCTACATACCGGTAGTGCAGTGGAGGTATCTGACGAAGTCCCTGCCGATCTCAATCTGGAAATTGCAGACTAGAATACAAGCAAGAGTTTACAGGAAGCACCAGCTTCCCTAGCGAGTGTGTTCATTCGAATCCCACTACAAAGTTAACTTTAGTGTCGAAGGAAACGACATGGACAACGGAACGACGTCGACGGATGCGACTCCTGCTGCCGCTGCGACTCAGCAGGCGGCTAGCACGGGTCGAACCCTGCGGCCAAGGAAGACTGCGGCTGCATCAACGAAGCAAGCAGGCCAAGCCAGGCCAACAAGAGGCAAGGGTAAGAAACCTGCGCGCACTGCTGGCGCGAGTAGAGCTCGGCAGCAGGAGACCGAGTCGGTCCCGGTGAGGTTTGGTAGGTGGCTCGATGCCGCTGACGACCAGCCAGGAGACCGACTACCCTTCGGTCGCGCACCCGATCTTTATGGTCACTGCAGCGCCGAAGGTCGAATACATCTCGCACGAAGCGCTCACCCGCTGGGTCGACCTTCGGCTCGAGTACGAAGAGATCATGAGGGTGCGCTGTGTGTCGTCTGGGGAAGACCTGAAGTCTGTCATGCGTTCGATACGCAACTCGTTCGACGACAGCTTCCTCGAGACACTGTGTGAGACGAAATGGGATAAGTCAAAGGACGAGCTCACCGATGAGTTCATCTGGGAGTAGATCATGGCGACCGTACGGAGCTTTAAGAACAACGCTTTGCCGAACATCGACGAGTTGTTTCAGGCTCAGCTAGTGATGTCAACAACCAAGTCTCATATTGATGTGAGAGTCATGGACTATTTCCACCTGTGCAACACGATAGTGAAAACGAATGGGCTGACGGCTTTGTTCTCAGAGGAGGACGGGATCAAGAAGAAGTGCAAGGTCCTGTCCAACTGTCTACCTCGAGAATTGGAAATCCGAGTGAAGAACGGGATTGATTTTCGCTTGCCTGCCGCACAGTCCAGTGTTTCGCTGCTGTTCAAGCTCGTGAGTGAGAAGGCGTTGGAAATTGATCGCGAGGACAAAGCTCACACGAAGAACAAGAGACGACCTCACACGCAGGAGTCAAAGCAGGAATTGGCCTCAAGGACCCCGAAGCGTGGCAGAATCGTGCGTGAGAAGCAAAACCCTCGCGAACCTCAGGCACCGGCAGCTCAGAGGACTATATTTCGGACCGACTCGGAACAAGCCCAGCCAGGACCTAAGGGTGGGTGTTGGACCTGTGGTGGCCAGCACCGTCAAGCCGACTGCCCCGACAAGCCAGCCGACGATGCCCCTGGAACACGGAGGCAGAAACCAAGGAGGAATCGTAAAACTAAGACGAATTAGAGAGTGCCTACCCGATCGAGTGGGCCAAGCCCGATTACTGCGTGTTGGTGGTGTCGTGGATGTGGAATACTGTCCGGACTCAGGAGCGGAGACATCGTGTATCAGCTCTACGACTCTGAAGAAAATTGGTGAGCGAGGTGTGAATTTTGAAGTGATGACATTGAAGACCCCGATCGAGTGCAAGCTGCCGGGTGGAGGGAAGACGTGGGCGCGCGAAAGACGAAACTAAGGCTCTCGCTCATGACCGCCGCTGGCCCTGTCATTATTCTGAAACCGGTGCCGTGTTTGATTCTCGATAATAAGGAAAATGAATTTTTACTTGGAGATGTTGTGCTGAAGGCTTTAGGAATCGATGTCGAGCGCCAATTGGAGCTGCTAGCCACACCAAGAGGCGACGACGGAGATGACGATGAAGAAGTTCCTGAAGTAGCAGCAGGAGACAATGACGCGGAGGCGATTCGACAGGCAGTAGAGGCAATGATCCAGCGTGCTCTGGATGAAGGCTTCCCTGCCGACAAAGTCGAGCGACTGCGCACGATTGTATACGCCTATGATGTCTGGAGGCTAGTTCTCGGCGATGATCCACCTGGAAATGTGGAACCGATGAGAATTAGGATGAAGACGGGCTGTAGGCCGTACAAGGCGAAGGCTCGCTTGTATGCGCCCGAATACCAGGCATTTCTTGAGTCGTTCAACGAGATGTTGGTGAAGCTCGGGTGGGTTTACGAGAACCCGACCAGCCGTTGGGCGTGTGCCGCGCTACCTGTGCGGAAGCGTGGCGCTGGTGATTTTCGGCAGACTGTGGACTACAAACCTTTCAACGCACAGACTGAGCCTATGGCTGGACTAATGCCCAACTTGCACGTTGATTTGGAGAATATGAGAGGCAGCAACCACTTTGGGTTCTTCGACTTCATTAAAGGCTACTGGCAGCTCCCACTTGCCAAAGAGTGCCAGGAGCTGTTGTCCTACATGACCCACCGGAAGATCTACACCCCAACACGAGTACCTCAAGGCAGTGCCGACGCTGCGTTGTATTTCCAGTCGGCCATTGAGCGGTGCTTTGCAGCACTGCTGTACAAGCATTTGTTCGTCTGGATAGACGACTTACTGTTGTACGCCGCCGATATTGACACATACCTGGACAAGTTGCAGGAAATGCTTGAGTTGACGGCCAAGTTCGGCTTCAAGTTGAGTGTTTCGAAGTCCTGCGTATATAAACGTGAGGTGAAGTGGTGTGGGAAAGTGATCAACGGTGAAGGTGTGAAGCATGACTCAAAGCGCATCCAGGCCTTACGGTCGATGCCCTACCCGACGAATGCCGGAGAACTCCAGCAGTTCTTGTGCTCTACGAACTGGATGAGAGACAGCATCGTAGACTTTGCGCGATTAGCACGTCCTCGGTAGGACACACTGGACAAAGCGATGGCTCAGGCGTCAAGGCGAACGAAGCGTGCGGCTGCGGGTATACCGATCGCACTTACCGAGCAGGAAGGCGCAGCGTACGACGCGGTGAAGCAGGCTCTGGCTGATGCAGCCACCCTCGCGTTCCCAAAGCCGGATGCAGAGATGGTTTTGCTGACGGACGCCTCAGACGTTGGATGGTCAGTGGTCGTGACGCAAGTGCCCAGTTGGAAAAGTGATGCAGACATCCAGGACCAGCAACATGAGCTGCTTATCTGTCTTGGTGGTACTTTTACTGGAGCACAAAAAATTGGAGCGCTATCGAAAAAGAGGCCCTCCCTATCATCATGGCGCGCGACAAGCTGAGCTACTTGTTGTTGCAGCCGGGTGGCTCTCGCATGTACTGTTACCACCGCAACCTGATTCATGCGTTCGCGCCGGGTCGTGAGGTGAAGAAGCATGTTCGTGGCAAGCTGTTGAGATGGTCCATGAAATTGATGGATTTTCGGTATACTATTGAGCATATCGATGGAGCACACAACGTGTGGGCTGATATGGTGTCTCGATGGGCAGGCACACGACCCGCACCAAGTGTGGCAGTGAAGCGCGTCACACTGCGCCGCCAGCGTGATGAGGACCAGTCCGGTGACTCAACTAGTCGACCGAACGACCGACCGCGAATTCGGCCGTTCAGCGACGGCAACTTTGAATGGCCAACAGTTGAAGAGCTGCAAGAAACTCAGCAACGGCACATTGTCGACCGGCCACAAGGCCTGACACGGAGTGATGCTGGTCTACGGTGTGGTAATGAACGGATTTGGGTTCCTAGCACCGAAACGAGTCTGGTTCAACGACTTTTAGTGATCGCCCACTGTGGGGCGCAGGGTCACAGAGGCCGCGAAGCGCTGATGAACGTGGTGAACCGCAGGTTCCTCATACGGAATCTCTCCGCCCTAGTCAAGACTTTCCTTGCTGGCTGCCTCATGTGCCAGCATGTAAAAGGGGGGGGAAGGTGGTGATGAGACCATGGGCAGAGACATTCCGATGCAGCGAACGAAATGGAGCTTTACATTGGGACTACCTACATCTTGGTGAATCATTTGGCGCCTTGCAGTACCTACTGGTGCTAAAGGATGATGCGACCCACTTTTGCGAGTTAGTGCCGTGTGCTGTACCTACAGCAGCGGTGACAGCTGAAGCAATCCTCGACTGGCACAGCCGCTACGAAGTACCTCGGGTATGGATAAGCGACCAGGGCACCCACTTCAAGAACCAAGTGGTGGCCGAGGTGGCGAGACGTCTTACCTGTGGGCAGCGCTTTACGGTGGCATACAGTCCGTGGACTAATGGGTCAATTGAGAGAGTCAACAGGGACATTGTCCAGGTCCTCCGCGCTATGTGCCTCTGGACATTCGTGATTGGGTACATTTTGATCCAGTGGTACAGTCGAACTTAAACCACGCACCAGTTCCGTCGCTAGGCAACAAAGCACCAGTGGAGTTGTTCTGCGTCCTCCCGGCTGCATCCCCGCTAGACTTTGGATTCAACGGCGAGGACAACACATTCCTAGAGCTCGGTACAACTAGCAGCCAGATAGAAGCAAAGCTGGCGCTGCTGCGTGCCGGGGTGCAAGAGATGCACAAGCGAGTGCAAGTGGCAAGGTCGGAACAAACAAAACAGAATCAGAAAACGCAAAGACTAGCCAGAGTGGCGAATTTCGATGTCGGTGACTACGTGTTGCGGTCTCGAGTGGACCAAAAACACAATGACAAGCTGCTTGTCACTTGGATAGGCCCGTATCAGATCGTTGGTGCAGACGAACACTCTTTCCGCGTGCAGCACCTAGTGACTGGCGCGGAATCAGACGTACATGCCTCACGCCTTAAGTTCTACGCGGACGCGTCCTTCGAGGTAACGGAGGAGATTCGTGAGCACGTGGCTGCTCAAGGCATTGTCCTGACCGTTGCTGAGCTGAAAGAGCACCGGTGGAACTCGGCGAAGAGGTGTTACGAGATACTGGTTGGGTGGAAGGGTCTGGAGCCAATTGAGGACTCGTGGGAGTCGCTCAGTTCACTGTACAAGGATATCCCTGTGATGGTGAGGCAGTACGTAGCCGCGACGAGTAAAGTGCAACTACATGTAACATTAGAGCAACTTTAGCACTTCAACTTGAAGTGACTATGTTGCGGGTACATGGTACCATTCCATTGGTACACTGGTACATTCGAGCAACGTTACCAACAAATCCAAGGTTGCCCACTTCCAAATGTGTGGTCAAGTCTTGGTGGGGCGGTGTAGTGGGGCGATCGTCTTCACGACCTGACCACGCATCGGGCTGGCGACCGAGGACGGTCCCAGTCGAGGCTGGTGTAAGATAAGACTCGGAGGTTGGTAGGCCCTAGGAGGATAGCACATACCGGTAGTGCAGTGGAGGTATCTGACGAAGTCCCTGCCGATCTCAATCTGGAAATTGCAGACTAGATTACAAGCAAGAGTTTACAGGAAGCACCAGCTTCCCTAGCGAGTGTGTTCATTCGGATCCCACTACACGCACAACGACCTTCTTACAGTGCTTCTGTCAGACGTCGTTGGCACCAACGTGGCCGACATCTGCAACTCGTCAATCAGTCTCATCGCCGGACCTTCGGACAACTTGAACGTCACACGAATCCGTCTACCTATCACAAACATCTGCCGGCACCTCCGTCAAAAACATGGCTCACTACGCTCAAGGCATCCGGGACGACACCTTCGCGTCGTACGACTTCGGCTGCAGCTGCGTGCGTCTCCTGGGGATCAACCTCTGCTCGTCGCTCATTTGCAAGAACAAGGCTGTGTACGGCAGCTTCGACCCGCCCGTCTACCCAGTCGGCAAGATGGTCTACCCGCGCACGGGCTTCTACATTGGCGCCACCGACACGTTCGCGACCTCCACCGACATCGCGCAGATCCGGTCCGCACTACCCAGCGGCACCATCGTGCACGAGAAGCCCGTCGCAGCCTTCTCGCACCTGGACTTCACCTGGGCCCAGAACGCCAACGAGCTCGTGTACCAGGACCTGCTGGCACAGCTCAAGAAATACGCCGGCAAGGAGTACTGACGGCATCGTCCGAACTCAGTTAGTGCAAGCAAGTTGAAGTTGGTCAAAATGTCGAAAACGGTTCTTCATAATCGTTTTTGACACCTGCTTTTGTGCGTGTCGAAAACATGCCACGCAAGGCGTCGAGCGAAAGCCGCCGCGCGCAGGTTGCCGAGGCGCTGGCGCTGGTCCCTGACCGCGGGGTCGGCCACGCAAGGAGGAGAAGGCAGGACTTTTTGCATTTTACTACGTAGTAAAATGCAAAAAGTCATGACTCGGTCATGACCCAGTCCGGAGATACCAGCCGCTTTTTGGTGTGTTACCCCGAGATACCAGTCGCTGGGTCATGACCCAAATACTACGATTTGATTGGCTGTCTCGCTGACAAATTTTGGGCGAGCCTTCTCCGAGCGCCATTAACTCATCTCAAGGCCGCCGCTACCCGTGGCCTGTGACGTCGGCCATGCTGGCCAACATGGCGCTCGAGAACGCAAGCCTGCCCGCCCTGCTGAGCGCGTGTCTGTACGTACTGCTGACGGTTGTGTACCAAGGCATGTATATCGTGGGCAAAAGCCGCTCATTGTGACGTTCTACATGCTACAGGTTGTTGTGGACATATAGGGCGGACACTGCGACGTCACGGCGTACAAGTACGCCTGCACCGTGATGCTGAGCATCATCCTCAGCCTGGCGGCGCCCTCGTAACGATCTTCAGCTTCCAGTACCTCAATGTGTGCAACGTACAGCGCCACGTCCTGGGCGTTGTCACCGAGCCATGCGGCTCCGTCCCATCGTTGTGTCCGACTACTCGTCGTCGACCAACAGCACCTCGAGCAACAACAACCTGGGCTGCGAGGCACGCAGCGAAGTATACGCATTCATCTCCGCCGCCTCTCTGCCACGTTGACCGCCATCGTACCGACCTGTTTGTAACTCTCGAGTCCAGGAAAAACCTGTTGTTTGAGGTCGTTGGGCGGGTCTACAATGGTACGCTCCAAGTAATAAAGACGAGAACGTGGCGGGTGCCCTGACAGAGCGCGAATCGCCTCCCGAGCCAGAGGAGCAGCGTATACGGCCTCAACGGTGTCAAGACCCCATCGGCCATGTCGGCGTGTTTGAGAGATGTCGACATCAGCGCTCTCCAGCTGCCGTACGCCTTGCTGGCGGTTGATATGAGTCTTTTTGCTTTGTACGTAAGACCGAGATGCTCGAATACAGCCTCGTAGCTTTTCTTGTGAGTGTTGTACGAAATGGCTTTGTTTCGATCTCGGCCACGTAGGAACTTGATGTCATACCAATCCTCCGATCTTCGAAAACACGGAAAGGGTTCACAGTTGAGATGAAAGCGCTCAAACAAGTAGAAAGCAACTGCTCCAACTGGGCATAAATGAACAGCCTTATTCCGCATGAAGCCAACGTGCTGCAGCTTTCCAAACGTATTCGTTTTGCCGTGTTGGATTAGCAGAACCAACGCAGTGTATGGCTGGAACCCCTCTTTGTCTAGTTCCTGGGAAAACATGTCGGCGAATTCCAGATCACGAATGTTTTCGCCTCGCAGTAAGCCGAAATGAGATACCAAAAACGCTGCTCTTCCCATGAGATCGTTCAAAACGAAAAATGTATCACAAATCTGAGTGAATTGGGCTTCAGACTGGTAGCCATCTAGCAACGATCCCACGCCGCGATCGGTGTAGTTTTTTTCCGTGTCGCCGTAGTTTCCGCCTGGACGGTTGAGAGCAGTTGTTTTACCTTGTACGTGCGAGGGTGGTCGTTAGCGTTCATCTTGTTCGCCACCTGCTGGTTGTATAGGTCTACAATAGCGTTGTCGTAGCCGTACACCGTTGATGCCCCCAATGACTTTACCCTTCTTCTTCTTCTTCGACTCTCTGCCTACGACTTGGGTGTCCAAAAAGAGATGAAGCTTGCTACCAGTGGCAGTAACACCATCGCCAAACCCCATCAATTGGCTCCACTCTACAAACTCCTTTTGGTAGCCCTCGTACTTCCGTTTTGTATTAATCGGCCGACTGTCAATAGCCTTCTGAAGGGTGGCCCGCTCTCGCTCTTCCATGAGCACTTGAAGTGCACTATCAATTTGCTGTGGACGGCGAACAGGGTTCTGTGGCTCGCGTCGTGCCGTCGCTGAAGCCGCAGCTGCATAAGCGCGGATGGAGATGCCCGACTTCTTCTTCATCATGGTGCTCATGTGAAAATGAAGTTTCAATACCAAAAATAAATATTGCGATTAGGTCACAAGTGTGATAATGACTCGGGTCCAGACCCATGCAATCCAACAGATGATACCCATTAAGTACTACGTAGTATAATGATGGGAGGGCCACAACGAGACATTGGAGCACCTCCTATGGGCCTGTCCGTATGCAGAGGCTGTATGGATGGTTTTCGCGGAACATTGGACAGGATGAACAGTGGTCGCCTTTATTTTGGTTCTTATGCAGATCAGGTCCAGGATTTGAACATGCTGATTGCAATGCAATGCTATGATTTACGTGTACGCGTAGCCAAATTACACCTGCGCTAGTCTCAGTTTAGCTAGTCGGTGGCATAGTGTGGTGTCCGCATACGTCGAGTCTCCTTTGGCTGGCAGTGAGTCAGCAATGGTAGTCATGAGGGCCTTCCATTTACGTCGGTCTTGGGCAAGCAGTCGAAGTCTCTCCAAGTCTGAGCTGGTGCGGAGGCGGTAGCCACACCCACTAGCATCAAGGTCCTGGTCGAGGACAAGAGGCAGTGTGGTACGGGGCCTACCTCTCCACCTGCTGCTGTCTGAGGAAGCGAAATACGCCTTCATCTGGATAAACACCGGGATATCTTGTGGTCGCCGTAGAATGTGCCCGAGAAACTCCCACCTCGCAGATGTGATCCGGTGACGGAGCGGCCGCTCGTCACACGTTGCGTAGAGATCAGCGTTGGAGATGTGGCACGGGTAACGCACATTGAGGACAGATCGTAGCTGGCGACGGTGAAAGCTTTCGAGTCGGTGAAGCTCCGTTGGTGTAAGCGCCCAGGTCCCGCAGTTGTAGAGTAGTATCGGCAGTACGTAGCAGTTGTAGAGGCGAATTCGTGTCGTGTCTGTGATACGGTGCGATCTCAGCCAGACCGCCCAGAGCCGCCGAAGAGCAGCCGCAGCGAGTATTTTCCGACGCGATACGTCATCGGCATCTCCGAGCAACGAGCCAAGCTTCCGCGTAGACCTCCATGGGTCTTCCTCTGCACGAGCGTGGGGGTCGTCACTGGCAGGTGTCAGGCAGCGGCGGAGAATTGTGTGCTCCGTCTTTGCCGCGTTCATTTGAAGCGACCAGCGCGCGAATACTTCCGGGGCATGGGTCTGGATGAGCTCGACGAGGGCGGGGTCCCGACAGATAAAGTCGGCATCGTCCGCATACACGATCATTTGCTGGAGCAGGTCCGGCGGCAATGCAGGGTGACTAGCTAGATCTCTAAGTACTGCTTCTAGGTAGATAACAAATAATACTGGTGAGAGTGAGTCGCCCTGTGGCGTACCTGTGTTGCTGCCGAATGGTTGCAGGATCTGGTGGCCGATGCGGAGTGAAAGCGTTGTGTCGGATAGTAAGAGTCGAATCAACCGGATTTCGTCGTCGTGTACAAACTGCTGTAGAACTTTGAGGAGTTTGGCACGGTCGATCGTGTCGAACGCGCGCGAGAAGTCGATACCCAGTACGTGAACGATTTCGCGATACTTTTGTACCCGTGCGCACAGCCACTTGTGAACATGCTGATTGTGAGATAAATGAGACGGTTTCAAACGAAATGATGCTTAGGCGCCATTTGGAGTTATCGAGATAATCGCGTTTGAAGTTGACCAATCAATTTTCGGAAATAACCGGACATCCATCTTTCGAAAGTGAAAAGCACACGTAAAAAGCGTAAAAACACTCTGATTTGCTTGCTTTTAGCGCGAGCTTTCTGATAATACACAATACGTTAAAATTGAAAATAATATTGAGGTCACACGCCCCAAATAAAATCGTGAGTTTAGGGGGTCCGAAAATGGAGATAGTTTTTCTAGACCGAAGCCACTCCGCGCGTTCTTAACATTTCAAAGCATTCGATAGCTTAAACGAAGCACAAGACACGCCTCTTTCGATTGATGCGGTTAAATCGCGATTCGTGCTTAGGTTCGTAAGCCTCTTTTCGTTTGAAACCGTCTCAAATCGAAAGACCTGAGCCAAACATTCACAGCTTATGATCATGACATGACTTAGTTCCTCAGCGCGTGACCCGTTCGGCTCCCTGTTCTAGCAACACTTCGTTGTGCTCTCTTTAGGTGAATAGGTGTGCATGAGGTATTTGGCAGTGGGTTGTGTTCAAAAGCATTGCAACTACTGCTACTTGTACTATCAGCTACTAATCAAACATGCCTCCCTTCCCAACTTCTCTTGACAGCAAAATTCATTAGCTGCAATAGCACGCGCTGTTCATGCTTCTATGGGTGGTGCTGAATTGTATCCCATTCGCGACTACTGCACTGTACACTGGACGCCTACCAGATATACATTAACGGGCTGTCATACCTGCAGCAGATATGACAGGGTTTAAAAAGATATATGTTGACATAGCGCTCAAAGTCTCCACCGCAATTGTCGTACATGCGTCACTTGTGTCCGCTTGATATCGCCCTGAATCAGGCGGCTTGATAGACGCTTGCTGGGCTTTAAGAATGTACCCGTCATTTCGTTCCGGACACCGCCGACGCTGCATCCCTTCTAAATTTCACCAGTTTCGAATTTGGCGCGCGTCGGACACAAGCTCCGGAGCGATGGCCGCAGAGGACGTCGATGCGATGCTGGTGCTAGCTAGCGCCCTGGTCGATCAGGAGGAGACGCTGCACGAGGTGCGCAGGGAGGTGTACGACAAGCTCGTGGAAGAGGCGTGAAGGATCTCCATGCGGACCAGGCACTATCTGACCACCCAGTGCCTGGACACGCCCTGCGACTCCGCGTGGATGATGTTGTACACGCGCGGAAGCGACATCAAATTCCTAAACGCGACGCGCTTGACCAGGTGCGACCCTACTTACTATCTGAAGTTGCTGCGCTGTATCTAATTCATGCATGCTTTCAGGCCGGCTTTCCACCAACTACTGCGGCGCTTCAGCCGCTTTTACTACATCCCACGCAGCACGGCACGCGGGCGGCCCCCGAAGCTCCGACACTACCACCAGATCCTGGGCCTGGTGCTGTGCTTTTACGTCGGGTCGATGGAGCAGAGCTCCCTGTGTATGATGTTTGGGGCTCCGCCGAGCACCATATCGAGGACGCTACGCCGCGCCGAGGAAGTGCTGTCGCTGGCGCTAAAAGGCTACGCTCCTGCCAGAATCTCTTGGTCCTCGCCTGCTCGCCAAGCCGAACTCGCAAAGCTTGTGGAAGCCCGCGAGCCGCTTCCCAAACACACATTCGGCTTCATTGATGGGAAGAACTTAAGGGTGAGTTGTAGTTTGTAAAATGTTACTTGCTATGATAGAATGCTAACATCAATGATATTGTAGGTTCAGCAGCCGTCGAATGCGGACTTGCAGAACGCCATGTATAACGGGTGGTTGCACACCATTTTCGTGACTGGCACAATCTGCTTCGCAGCCGACGGCTGCATCATTTGGTGTAAGCACAATTGCCCCGGGTCGTGGAACGACTCCGACACCTCCTTGGGCTTCCGTTCCAAGTTGCTCGACCCTACCCTCTGCCCGGACACACGTATGAACGTGGTGTCGGACTCGGCCTTCCCGTGTTCGACCAGCATGGTCGGTCGCATCCTGACTCCTCTCAAAGATGGCGATCTCGAGAGGATTCTCCCGTCGCTGAGAAGCTCCGCGCGGACGCTTCATAACGCCATCACGTCCGTGAGGCAGGCGGCGGAGTGGGGCATGGGGAGCATGCAAAAGGTGTACAGCCGCTTGTCCTCCCCCTGCCGTACGACCCCGAGCTTCGTGGGCACCGAATCAACAACATCTTCAGAATGGCTAACTATCGCGTCCGCACGGTCGGCATCTCGCAGATACGCACGACGTTTTCAGGCGAGATGGAGCTATCCAGCGAGTAGGGTGTCGAACTAGCCGTGTTTGTACTGCATACAACAATACATTTTTCGTTGCCGTTGAATTGAGCTGCTTCATTATCTCGATGTTGCTGGCAGTAGCGTGCTGCAAACGTTTTGCGACGGAGAGCCGAACTCGATGCTCGTGCGTCTTGCACTTGACTTCACAGAGATGTGTACGCAGCACGAGAAGTACATCTGATGATGAAGGCGCTAGAAGATCACGTAACCCATGACGGACACGCTAGCGGATCATGAACAACATGTTTGATTTGAGGCTTAGTGGTAAGCGACAAGTATATAGTAACTAGAACGTGAATGATAGCCTCACTTCGAAGAGCATGCGCGCCTTCCGCTCACGCCTTCTTAGTCAGTGCGCCGATCAATATGAGCAGCTCTTGAGTGCGGGCGCGCGCATCTTCGCGCGCACGGCGCGCACGGTCCTCTCTCTCCAGCTTCTCCTCACGGTGGCGCGCCTCAGCTTCAGCCTTGGCTTCCAGAAGGCGGGCCTCGTTGGCCGCCTTTTCGTCGCGGCGGCGCTGATCTTCCTCGGCGCGACGGGCGGCAGCCTTCCGCTCGCTCTCTTCGCGGAGCAGCAGAAGCGTCTCGAGGATGCATCCTCGCATGGTGCTGGCGTTGTTTTCAAGGCCATCCAGCTTTGTCTTGAGAGCTGTTGTTGCATTCATGGCACGGATGCGCTTAGCTTTGGCGTAGCTAGCTTCCGCCGTGTCTTTGTCTTCTTCATGAGCGCGCTTGGCGCCCACCGTGTCGCGAAAGCCGGCCAAGTCCACGCCTCCGAGACGGTTCGACGTCTTGTGGAGCTTGGGGTACTTGGCCGCTTCGGCGGCATCGTGGTTGGTGGCAGCGGCGGCACCTTGAGTCGATGGCTGCTGTGAAGCATCACTACTGGGGGCAGTAACAGCCGTCTTACGTGGTGGCGGCAGCCCTCCCGAGCCAGCACGACGTGTACTTGGCGCTGCTCGGACAGGAGCAGGACGCGGCGTGCGTGCAAGCTCGTCCAGATCATCGGTGGTCAGCGGCGACGAGAGCAAGTCTTGGAACATGCCTCGGCTCGATGAGCGGCTGGAAGCCGTCGACTCGACGCGCACGACGGCCCTCGTGGCGAGGCTGAAGCGCCGCTGGGGATCTCGGTGGCGTCACGGGCGCAGACGTCGACTCCTGGCTTGGCGGCGGGTTCGTTGCCAACTTGGACTTGGGGCGGCTTCTCTCTGGCGGCAGCCAAGGAGGTGTTGCTGTGCCCGTAGCGCTGGCAGACTCGCTGGCGTCTTCGATGCGGCGCTTGCTGTCGCGGTCGTACTGGTGGCTGGGCTGGATGTTCGGCGGCGTGTTCTCTTCGTCCTCGCTGGACGTGTCATTGATGCACCGACGCCGCCAGTGAACGGCGGAGTAGGTTAAGCGCACCGTTGTCCCTGCAATCAAACACGAGGTGAGTCCTCTCATAGAGAAGTGCATACAAAGCCATCAACCACGCTCACCTTTCGAAGTGTTGGCTGCTGTCGACTTCGCGCCGCCGGCGGCAAATTCGCAACTGAGCGTCTTTTCGATTTGGCGGAAGATATATGATCATCGATATGCCCGTAGAGTGAAGGATGCATATGTTAGAATGATGGTCAGCATAAAGTATACTAACAACAAGACAAAACTTTATGATGGCTACACGGCATATATCTAGGGGTAGGGCAGTTTATCGAGACGATATCTGCGTCCCGCGAGATCTCTGCGCGTATATGACGCGGCATATCAGCTGCAGGTATGACAGCCCGTTAATGTATATCTGGTAGGCGTCCACTGAGCACTGCAGGTGCCTTTCAGTCAAAGCAGCGCACGGTGCGCTGCGCACACCTGGGCTGGTTTGAAACCAGTGTTTCCTTTCACACTCTCAACATCGATACTCCACAGGTAACTGACACACAACTCGTTAACTTAGTTTACCTACTATCACAGCATGTATGTGGTACATATACTTTAGAAGTGTATAGTCTAGCTAGCCACAACTTGTGGTCTTGTGGCCCACAAGAAAAGCATACTGCTTGGCTGGAAGAAAAAAGCGCTCCAATTCGTAGCGAGGTACCACAGCCGCAGCACGGTAACAACCTCTCCGGAGCTAAGACGCTGCACTGCGAACAACCCTGGCCGACCAGCAGCAGAAGCAAGACCAGCAGCAGCAGCGCTTGCGTGTCTTCGAGCCATCCGAGCCGGGCTCTCCGACTGCGCGCACACCTCGTCGGGCTCCGCGTGGACATCACGCACCGCCTGACGCGCACCATGGGGGTGTCGTGGGCATCGATACGCGGGTGCCAGGCTCGCTCACGGTGACGTCCAAAGTGCGCGCGTTGACGCTCGACTCGGAGCACGGCAGCGGCGAGCTACGCGGACTTGGACAGCAGGAGCAGCAGCAATGCACCCGGATAATCTCCGTGGACTTGACGTGCTCCGTACTCACAGGGCATCTAGAGCGCCTTCGCCTGCACCAGTGCACACACCGGTCGGCGCGTCACCTGTAGTTACCGCGACGGGCGCCGTCTGCCTCAGAACCACGTCACTTTCCGTGTCTTCGACCATCAAATAGCACAGCTTGCATAGCGCAGCATGTCGTGCTGCACGTGTGCAAGGCAGAGTTGACCCGTCGAAGCCATAAGCCACTTCCTGGCGGTCGATCGCGTACTCATCGTTGGAGACGACATGGCTCAAGACTTCATGCTGAAGTACACGCCCGCCCGTCCGCCCCACTTGCGCTTGGTAGTCCGAGAGGCTGATCTTGCTGGCGTCCTTCACCAGCATGCTGTAGTGCAGCTTGACGGGCGCCAGCTTCAGATCCGACGCGATGTTCTTGTTCTTGATCTTGAAGCTCTTCCACGCGCTTGCCCTTGAACCGTGGTCACCGAGGAGAACGCAAATCGCCCAACCGCGCCGCAGCCAATTGTCGTGGACAACGAGTCGACAATGGTGTCGTGTTCGTCCATACGGAGGTACAGCTTCATCACGTCGCCGCAGGCAGGGGCGTACACAGAGCCCGTGTCCACATCCTTGGCGTTCTTGTCCACGGCGCTCACCTTGCGCGGGTCGTCGTAATAGTCGACCAGGCCCTCGCAGCACACGGGCATCTGCGAGCAGTGCTGGCCCAGCCGAGATGGCACTCGGGCAGTCTTGAGAGTCGAGCGGACAGCGTTGGGGGTCGTCTATCGACGGATTCTGTAGCGGGGGTCGCTTGGGCTGCAACCCAGGGCACCGCGGCGGCTCGGTCCGTCACGGGGTTGGATGACTGAGGGAGCTAGACTTCCCAGCACCCACCACGGCAGTCGCTCCATTGTGTAGTGAGGCGACCTACGTCGTCAAAGCATGGCAGATGTGACACAAGTTCAAAGAAAAAGTACGCTCTGATCAAATCTAAGACCTGTTCTGCATAAGACCCATTTAACCCCTCCGTCACGAGGCCCGGATTTCTATGCACGGACTATTTTTTCACATGCTTGATATCAAGCATGTTATAGAAAGCCTTTACTTGGAATTTGTATAGATGAAAAAAGTACAGGAACCGTATCTCAACCGTATCTCGGAACAAAGTCGATTCACCTGCCCAGTTTATGGGAGCACATGCTGCTTATCAAGCGTCGTTTATTAAATCCGTAGAGCTCATGCTTGATATGACGGATATGGAAATGGCCCTTTTACTGGGAGTGAGTTTTCTTTGCTGCTAGACGCGTGCAAAACGACTACGAATGCGAAATTGTGTCTTGAACTAGAAAACGAAATGAGGAAAAACGTGTGAAGCAAGCGCTACTGATCGATTACTCACGTAGTTACATTCCTACTAGCCTACTCCAATGCGGCACTATCTTCGGACTCAACTCTGGCACCTTCCTATTTATTAGCCACCTTGGCAGTACGGGCTGCATTCTCGCTAACACCTTCCTCCTCGTGGTCGCTGTCATCCCCCTCCTCGTCGCTGATGTCATCGATCTCCTCATTACCAGCGCCGCTGTCATTGTCGCAGCCGTCCTCCACGTTCCTGCCATCGATGCGCTTTCCATCTTGCGTCAGTGAGGTCCGTCCTGGAAAACAAATCTTCACACATACTATTAGAGCAAGGTGGAAGCAATACCCAAAGCGATGCGTACCGTTTTAGTGTGTACTGCAGTTCCGACGGCTAAGGGCTGCGCATTCAGCATTTTAGCGGGCCCGACATGATCAGCCGGTGCTTCACCTTTCCTCCTGCACGCCTCCCTGTTGACAGCCATCTTGTCCAGTCCATCGACGAAGATCTTGTCATACTTGCGGAAACAATGTAGCATCTGCGGCGAGTAACGTTGTCGGTGTTGGGGGTCATGCACGCCGCCGTCTTCTATCCAGCGGTAGTACACCTGCTTTGCTGCGGGGCAGAGGATAGTTCTCGCTTGATTTTGCGTTTGAAGAGGTCGCTGATCTAAATAGCATACATCCAGCATGTAGTTAGCACTAGTATGAATGATATCGCGAGCATCAGCACGTACCATGGCTCGACATGGTTGTGCTAGTTCCGCAGTCAAATGTGTGCACAATGTCGTTGGAGTCTACTACGGGCGCCGTCCCAAGCATCGTTGGTTTCTTGGTCAATCTATCGTCCTGCGCCCCTTTCAGCTGGTGCCATGGAGCTGAGCTTATGGGTGTAAGCACCGGCATTACCGACGGCCCGGCCGGTGTTTGCGGCGTCAGCGGATCGGCATTGTTCTTCTCCCTGTCCCCAACCTCGCAGCCGCTGCACGCGTCCTTGATATACTCCTGATGCTTGTGATCTAAACTATCACGCTCCTCACCAGCTTTGAGTTCGAGTCGCAGTACGAGTTCCTTAGCGCCCCGCCACGGGGTGCGATAACCGCATCGTGCCTTGGATTGTCGTTTTGCAGAATGAGAGGCCACTAGCCATCGCTCTTTACTGGCGGGAAGGGTATGTACTGGCCGTGAATTCATTGAACTTTTTTCTGCAATTAGCAACCCAAGCCCTGTGCATCGAGTACCAAATTGGACCAACGGACCAGTTTATGGGCTTTTCACATGCTTGATATCAAGCATGTGGGAACATATGGCCGCCATATGGTAATTTTCACATGCTGCTTATATCAAGCCTTTGTGACGGGGGGGGGGGGGGGGGTTAAAAATCTTCCTCAACAGTAACACTAGTGGAGCTGGCGAAGTACCAATACTTTGTTACTCCACGATCTCCACCAGCCCTCACAGCTCGGTTCAAGCAATGTATTATCGCATACGGAGAACTAACACCAGAGCACGCGAAAGCGGCGCGCTGCCTATGGTGGGCCTTCTGCAGCATTGCAACAGCATCACTCTGGCTGACACGCAACAGAAAAGTTCATCGGCAGGAACTGGTCACGGTGCAACAAGGAAAGACAGAAATCTGGAAGACCGCGTTACGTTAACTTCGGGCAGTAGCCCACCGAGATTCCAGAAGTATCGAAAACCGAATGTTCGGCTTACGACTACGACAAGTACTCGATTGCTTTGAATACAATGATTCGCAACAAGGAGAAGCACACATGACAAAAGCAGATAAACCACGCAACAAGCCTCCAATTGTGAAGTGGCTTCGGATTTTTCAGGACGCTATTAACTGAAGTTAAATAAACAACTGTGATCATCATCAGGATGATGGTACCCGGACGGGGGGGGGTCGCAGTTCTCGGGAGCGATAATATACCAATACGAAGTTCCGACAACACGCCAAAACTGTGACCACTTGATATGCAACCAGGGCTCAGCGAACGCTGAGATAGGAGGATTTTGGAATACATGTACTTCGACTTTTTTTTTGTGTTGTGAGCTAAAGCTAATAGGAAGTACTTATTTTACGATCCGCAGGCATCTCCAGCGCCTGCTTCGCAGCCACAGTATTTGCCCTGTACGCGCATCAAGTAAAATAACGGTGACATTTGAATAAAAATTCAAAATTCATCACTGCCTCGCTGAAGGCAAAACTAGTGCATGACGCCTCGGGTTTGAGGCCTCGCTTCCAACGACGCTGCGGTGGTGTGCTCAGAATCCGGACATCTCGAGTACGAGCACTATATCGCTGGCACGGCAATGCATTACTTTCCCGATTGAAAGCGCAAGTTGAAGTGGCTATGTTGCGCAAAAGTGGCGAGGATTTCGTTCGATGACACACGCGCCTGGGCCGCCTAACGACAGTTCTTCAACTGCGAATATCCGTACTGCAAGTAGCCGCGCACTAGTATTTTTTTCTTTAGCTTATAGGTTTGCCCGTCGACTCACCGTTAACGGTGGCGCTAGTTCCTGCTTTTAGACTGGTCAAGCATAGTTATCAACTCCAATTGGAGTATGACGGCATCACCAGCAGAAACATCGCCGTCGTTTATCAGCCATGGATCGATAGATGCCCGAGGGTGGACCCGATTCGCAAAGCTTCTACGCATCTGGAAGAGCCTGCAAGTCAGCTATTATGGCGGCAAGTACTGTATCCATCGACTGCTTGCTCTCGATGAATACACAAGCGAGACTTCGCTGTCTCGTGTTCTCCTTGTTTGCATTGGCGCCCCGATGCCCACCGTGGACCTCGTGTTGATCCAAGAAAATATTCCTCAGCAAGATCCGGCAGCGGGATGGCATGAAAATTACGGCTTTTGGATTCGTGCCGGGATAGTCACGTTTGTAATCACCTTCCTGGTTTCGGATCAATCTCGCTTCTTAATCGATGGCCTTGTCATATCTCGGATTCGACAATTTCTGCTGCCACTATCTGCATCCAGTATGTTTGTCGTTTGTTCCGCTGCCATCTCGTCCCACTTGATGTTCCCCGTTCCGTTCTTCGCGATAACAATGGGCCCGGTATTCTACCCGCTGCTGGTTATATCGTATCGAGTCGTAGCAGGCGGTCGTGTATTTCGCCAAATCTTGCAGCGTTGGGATCAATTTGTACGCTTCTTCATGTTCTCTGGATTTTATCCAGAGTCCATGAGTGAAGGCCACTGAGGTGCCATTATTCTCAAATCACATACCTGCTAAATATGGTTATGAACGCTCCAGGTGTTTTTAGCTAAAATACCTGTTATACTGGATATCCCGTAATCTAATCAAATTATGCTGCTATGTTGACCCATCCGGTTGAGATTAAGTCAAATTACCTAGTATTTGCATACCCTTTAATCAAGTATATATACCTGTGGTAGATAGTTTATCTGCCACTCAAGCGACATCCATCGGATTTTTTTCGCTCGAACAGCATGCCGACGGGATCCCGCCTTGAAGTGTTCACCGGTGATGATTGATGCCTCGCGCCACGCCGATGAGCACGCCGATGCCCCTTACTAATATCAGTGCACCATTGCCGGGCAGATGCTGCGGCTGTGAAGCAAGCACAGGAGATGCCATTGGGTGGTATGCTTCACACTACCGAAAATGATTTTTGTACCCTCCTATTCAGTATCAAACGGTCTTTAAGATCGGTCGGCTGAAGTACAGATTCCATCTCATTCAGTTAGTGATCTCTTTACTGCATGATCACCCTTAATGCGCGTTGCTCAGTTGATTGAATTCATGTTGAGCAGGTTGTGTTTGATAATGGACGATGAAATGGTGGACAAGAGAACAGTAAGCATTGGCTTGAGGGATATTTTAGTTCTTTTTTCTGCTACTGTCTGGTAGGCTTTCTGAAAAACAAAATGCTGTTATTTACATTTCCTAGCCTTCGCGAAGCCCTAGTGCCGCGGCGGTAAGTCCGGTAATGAACACCTCTATCTCTGCGAATACGTGCTCGTTTCGCTTGTGGCTAAAGGGAGAAGGGTATTTATTGTGAAGTAGCTACTTTTTGTCTGGAATTGATGAACCAAATAGCCACTTTTCGCGTACCAGCTAGCACCTTGGTGTCGTCAACTCCCGCCGCAGGCGGGTCCTGCCGACTACCGAGCGAAGCGAGGTGCTCCCCCTTCGGGGGAGGTAGAGGGGGGTCTAGGGTTGTGTGCCCCAAGGGGAAAAGGGGTTTTAGGGATCAGGGTGTAGTTTCAATACCAAGTCGACGTAATGTTCAAGCAAGAACGCTTCCTGTGGTTTAAGATCCGCGTGCGTAGCACGCGGTCGTAAACCCTGGCAAACTGAAAAGTAGCTACGGGCTAGTCCCGGCTGTATATTTTAATGTACCTCGCACAGGAAGTACAAGCGGTTCTCAAGATCTGTGCGCTACTTCTGCAAACATATTGACTTAGATGCGTGTACAGCGAGACCTACTGCGACAAGTGGCACGACGCAGGAATACCTCCACCGTATTCTTGAGCTAAGCTTGTAGTAAGTCAGTACATACGCATCTATGTTCAGACCACCTGAATCTTGTTGATTCGCAAACATCATAATTACCACTGTGGCGAATAGGCCGGGGACGCCTGTAGTCCAAAACTTATTTGGGGGTTGTCGTTTGAATTTCGAACTAGATATTTTTTGCGTCGAGAATAGTGTAGGGCGTTTTGCTGTTAGTGAAATTTACTAGACACTAACTCACTGTTAGCTGTACGTTTGCTGACTGTTAGTTGACGAGTTATTGCCGTTTGCAGATATTTCGGCCAACGCATGCTTATTATCTCGTTAATAATCTCGATTTTAATCCAGCCAGCTCTTAATTAAGACCTACGTCTGATTTATATATCTCGCCAGTACGGTCTAAGATCCGAGCTTGAGGCTCTGTTTCCCGACCAAAACGCTTTTCTGCGGCTTGGAAACGCAGAAATGCCATTCTAGACAGGCCAAACCGAGTTTCTGGGCCTAAAAGCGGCCTCCACCAAAGCACAAAGCTAAAGTAGCCCTCGCCTATCTCGTGTCCACTCATATTAAGAGACAGGCGAGGTCTATTTTAGAGGTCTATTTTAGAGGGCAAAGTATTTGCAAGCGGCAATAGTAGCAAGAGAATAATCATGATATATATTAACCTTAAGGCTGATTGCAGTTAATGTCTTTCTTACCTACGGAAGAGATCTAAACACTCTGCGCCCTTGAGACCCGTCTTCTAGCGAAATATATTCGGGCCAGGCCGAATTCAGCTCTGCGTCTTCAAACTCGTCGACCATCTCGATCGGAGTGTGACGGGCCAGGTTCCAGGTCGGTCTTTCCCACCCTACCCATTTTATCAGGTACAGTCGCTGCATATTAACAGTCTTACGTGCGTAGATGCTTTCAAAAACAAATAGAGCACCGCCATCGCTGTTAATAGAGGATCTCGCCTCACTATCAGTTCTGTCCGCACGAGTTGGTCCTTAAAAAATAAAACACAACTTAACGGATGGGACTATCCGTTCTAGACTGGCACTTCAAGTAACTACGGCTCTGGCGCTGCACTGGCATCTAGAGTAGATTTGGCAGCATCTAATGTGACAGTACCGTTGAGTTGGGACAATATGGGCCACAATATCGAATTAAAAGCGTCTTACCTCTTAAAATATAGAAAACCAGAAGGATTGGAACTAGATAAAGTTATTGAAGTGTAAAAAGTCTTTAGTAATTTCCGTTTTTGTGCAAAAATTAGTGGTGCTCGTTCGGCAAATACATGGTAGCAAAATTTACTAGACACTAACTAACTGTTATTTACACGTACAGCTGACTCTACTGTTAGTGTATAGGGAGAACGCTAGTCGGGAATAGTCACATGTGGCTATTTAAGTAGATGGTTGAAAAACCACTCCTAAGGGAGAAGAGGGGGTTGTTCCTTCCTCCAGTTTTCCTAAACTGTACTTTAAAATAATAAGAAGTGAAGTAGTTAAAAATGCCAAGCCGCTAGTAATTTCAAGACCGGCCACTATTCGTAAAAATCCGTTAATACAACTAAAGTGGTTACCCTCAACCAATACGATGTATTTACTTCTTTCTGTCATTGACACGTAGAAACAAAGTGCCGCGGTACACTAACTTATATTCCTACATGTAAGAGCGACGTAAAATCCAGAGCTGTTCCGGGCAGAGCACGGCCTTGTTTGTGTGCATACAAGTGATGATAGGCACAATCTACCCGGCCTACGAAGCCCTTTTTCGCTACGCTGAAGGTTCCCGATACCAGATACTTGTTATTCTTCTTCTACCCATACTGAAGGTGGTCTTGAAGAGCATTGTACTTCGATGCATGGCGCACATGGAAGACCTGGTCCCCGAAGCGGTTATCTTCACGGTCGATTTTTTCAACGCCATCTACATTGCGACCTGTATGCAGAGCGCGACGTCAACTTTTGCCGTGATAGCCATCACGATCACAGATCTGTCGCAAACAGCTATCATGTTGTACGGCCTGCACAAGCGCACGCTTACCATTATGTCGAGGCTCCGTCTTGTCGTTGGAAATGGCCACGACAACGATAATTTGGTAGAAACGCTCTGTTTGATTTGTCGGAGCCCTGAAAAATTTAGTAAACAAGTCCGCGCGGATGTTCGAGTGACCTCGTGCTTTCCACATGCTCTATCCGACGAGAACAAGAAGCTTCTGGATAAACTGGTCGGGCCGACGAATCAAATTCCCACGGAAGCTGCGTCCAAAACAGGCCCCGACTCTTCTATCATCCTGGCAGCAAAGCCCTCGACCTTCGAGCGATTCAAAATGTATTGCGCAAGACATCGGGTTGGAAGCAAGCAATCAGATTATACCCGCATCCACCCAGTCAAGGAAGGAAATGCCAGATTCACACCGCATACAGTCGCTGACAAGACGAAGCAATATACTAGAAGAAACACTTGAAGTGTTTTTCTCCATGGAATGTCTTGTCGCGACGGCGTATTTGGAGGCTGCAGTCCCTTTCTTTTATGGCTGCTATATTGTGATCATGGTATTCCTCCCTAGTGCTCGGTATCACTCGGAAATGACCGGCATCACGAGCGAAAATATGGGATCCAAGGTTCAGATTTTGCTTCTTTTTGGTCTACTTCAAGTATTTTCGTTCGTGGTACTCGTCATGCTGATTAAGCGCAACTGTGGGATGCGGGCATGGTACCATCTTGCATTTGTACTCGACACGCAGATGTCGCTGGTCCAGGGCAAACTTATCGTCTGGGTGGCTGTTACGATGTGCTTTCGTGTGGTGCATTTTGGTACGTTGGTGACTGAGTTGCTACTTCAAGTACTGATAGCAAGCGTGGCTAATGCTTTCTTTGACCGCAGGTGTCGACTTCACATTCCGATTTCGCTACTAAGACTCAACAGTTGTAAATATGGTAAATATTTAATCTGGGAACAGAGTGCAATGCCTGGATTTACAAACGTAGACTAGCTACATGAAGTTGGCATGCACAACGAATGCGAAGCAATGCAATGGTTTCGAAATGGTCTTGTTTCTTCATTTTTCCTACATGCAGAAGGTAGATTCCACCAGCATTTTATTTTGAATGCTACTGAAGTACTTGAAATAATATGTAGCATTGCTACAGTAGCAACTTTCGTAAGTTGATTCTTATGTTTTGCTTGGTAATACAAAATATCACCGCTTCACCCGCGCTAACTAAAAGGAATCATTGGTATAAGTGGTATTTGCTGTTGAGTTCGCTGTGCGTGCATCATTCCGCCTATCCGTTCTGCCAGAGTTACGGGACAGTTGGAGAGGGACACCAAAAGTAACTTTGCTGAACGATTTGCGGTGCACAAACGACATCTTTAGAAAGTAGAAGGAACATGTAGTTTGTCGGTACTGTTCTTTTGCTTGTTCTTCACATGAAAACAGTAGAATGCTGCATCTGAAAAGCGCTAATATCACGAACACGATTGTGGGACACTGCTGCCTCTACTGTAGTGGTGCACCACACTTACACTGCATGTTTGTATGTAAAATACATATGTTCGCTAATCTTGAGCCAAGCTCTATATGAACACATTTGCACCTCTCCTTCGCGACAGAGCGCGTTAGGAGACGTAATAAGCACGGATTCGTATAATCTTGCAGCGATCTATTCACTGAAGCTGGTCATTTGGTTTAATTGTGTGGCCTAGACCCAAAAATTGCATTAGGTTGCTGCAAACATATGTTTGATTATCACCACTGGAGGACCGGCAAAATGTATGGAGGATCGCCTGTTACACAGAGGATGCCACAACTAGCAGTTAAGAGCTCCATCGCTTCGTGCGACCTGCCCAAGCGATATTTCTACTTTAGTTTAGGTTGTACCGTACTGGCTTGGCTAGTTCTGCGGGATTTACGAAGATATCGAGGATGCCGTATTTGATCCCCCATACAAAATCCTATATAAAAGTACTGTCCCACAACTCTGGCAGAACGGATACATGTGCCAAAGTCATGAGATCAAGATTTGTTGTTTTAGTCACAGTTCCTGCACTTCAATTTGCAGTCCGGCAACATGTGGCTCAAAGATGCACTTTGAGATTTGCCTCGCAACGCAACACCACGCAAACTCGAGCTCATTCCCTTTCCCTTTCGGTCCAAGGTCAACCATGCGCGTAGGCTACGTGCTGCTGGCAGTGCTGGCTGTCCTCGTCAGGAACTGCGCTGCTACTTCGGCGACAGCACTCTCCAATGAAGCTGGAGTGTCGACTACGCACACGTTAAATCCTTGGGCCGAGCACGACAAAAGGTTTCCGAGGAGCCATGCCGACCACGACGAGAAGTCGACGCTCGCGAAAATTGATGATTTGGTGGACCCCGTGAAGCTTGACGCCGCGTTGAGTGGCTTGACGAAGATGAAGGCCCTCTTCAAGCTGTGGAACGCAGATGCGACGGTGTCAAGGCAGGTCATCCAAAGACTGTCGGAGAATCGACACACTTTCGCCAAGTACAGCTCCCTCGTCCTGACGTTCAACGGATACAGAATCAAGGTCGCAGAGAATGCTGCCAAGGCGCTAGCTCAGAAGAAGAAGGTAGACGCCTTAGTGGACCCCACGAAGCTCAATGCCGCGCTGAAAGACCGGGCACAGATGAAGAAGTTGTTCAGGCTGTGGAATGCCGATGAAGAGACGGCAATGAACGTCATCACCAGACTGGCGAGCGACCCGGAGTCGCTCACGAAGTATAGCTCGCTCATTCTCAACTTTAACTCGTATCGAATGTCAGTGGCGGGTATTACTGCCAAGGGTTAAACAGATACGAACAGTAAACAGGATTTACAGCAGTGTTGTATTCATTCGAGTGTTATTGCAACATTGTAGATCAGGGTTGCTATCAAGACATCGGTGTGTGCTCTACCGGAAGGCAAGGCCGAATGAACAGAGTTACTACTCGTGATAAGTAAGTCGCCGTAGTCAGGTTTACGCTGCGCTCAGCCTTGCTTGGCCTTCTTGCTCACGCCACCGTTGGCTTGTACCGCCCGAGCAGAAGCGCTCACAGCTGCACCAGTGCCTGCAGCGGGGTGGTAGAATCGGATCTCGCTCAGCATTCGCTGGCGAATCTCCGCTACGTTCATCTTTTTCTCGTCAAACTCGAGCTGGATGGTTCCAGGAGCCACGATTTCCTCCTCCAACGACCGAATGCTGGCGAGGTACTTGTGCGACAAAGCTTCGTCGAGGGTCGCGCGCTTGCGCGGGTTCATCTTGAGCATCCACGTGAGCAAGTCGATGGCCTCGGGCTCAGCGCCAGGATACATCTCCTGTAGGTTGCGCTTTGGCCGAGGCGGCAAACTGCGCAAATAGAACTGCACGTCGGGGTCTGCAATCTCTGCGATGTCCTCCTCGTCCATGGTACCAAGCACGTCAAGAATCGTGTTGAGTTGGTCACGACTGTCCTGCGGCAACGCTACTTGGCCAGCACCAGGACTCAGCGGAAAGCACGATACACCAGGAAACAGTGGCTCGCGCTGGTAGTGCGACGGGACACTGCTTTTCTGCATGCTCAGCAGCTCCGCAAAGATACAGCCCACCTACAGGTATTAGCATCGAAAAAGTTAGTTCCACTGCTTGTTCAACACCCCAAATAGTGAACACAGGACATCGCGACAAAAACTTACCGACCACACGTCAATTGCGGCTGAATAATCGTGATCACGGAAAATAATCTCAGGAGCGCGGTACCAGCGTGTGACGACGTGCTCTGTAAGCTGGCGCTGGATCCGTCGTGCAGGGGTTCGAGGGTGTACGCCGACGCCCTGCAATGTGGTTTCGTCCGGGGTCGAGCCGTCGCCCAGACGCTTGCGCTTGCGTCCTGTTGTCGACGCAGACGACGAGAGTCCGCGCGCCAGACCAAAGTCGCAAATCTTAATCGCCACGGGCGACAGGTTCAACAGCACGTTGGCAGGCTTCAGGTCGCGGTGTACAATTTCCGCCGAGTGCATGTACTTGAGCGCCTTGAGCAAATCCAGCAGCAGCCACCTCAAGTGCTCAGCCGTAAGGAACTGGGGCGAGTGCAGGAGCTTCTCTAGATCGGATGGCAAATACTCAAACACGACGAAGAGGTCCTGGAAATGGTCCATGTCCAGCGGCGCAATGATCTCTCGGATCTGCACGATGTTGGGGTGCCGCAGCTGGCGCAGGATGCACAATTCACGCAGAATACGCTTGGCGTCGATCGGGTCTGAGAACACGTTCTGGATCTTCTTGATAGCCACGATCTCGCCAGTGGGCAGGTGCTTGCAGCGCACCACTTGTCCGTAGCTTCCCTGTCCTAGCACGCACTCGATCGAGTAGTTCGGTGCGATCTCACTCCAGCCCGGAATCTGCGACGCATTCGACGACACTGCAGTAGGCACTGGAGCAGGCGCCGGTGCAGCGTTCTGCACGGGAACCTGAACCGCAGAAGCAGGCACAGCGGGCACGTTGCTTCCTGCAACTGCCTGAGTCTCTGACGCTGTAAAAAAAAATAAAACAAAGCATCATCAGCACTTGGTCCCCACCAAATCCCATCAACTCATCAACCGAACGTAACGTACGCGTTGCTTGTGTCTGGTCCAGCACTGCCGGCGTCTCGGCCAGCGCCTTCTTGTCCACCATCGCGAACGGCAGGTGTGTAAGGTCCTGGGCCACCACGAGCATGCCGGAGCCCACGGGGTTCCCGACCAGAGGCGTGCACGAGCCCAGCAGCGTGACCTTGGCCTGCTCTCGGCTCACAAATTCCAGCATGACGCTGGCCACGGGCGAGCCGCGGACGCAGTGGGCCAGCGCGTCCGCCAGCACGGCGGCCGTGGCCGGGGGCACAAGGTACGGCAGCTCCTTGAGCAGGTTGCGGCCGGCCATCTCCTCGCGCGAGTAGCCGCAGAGATTGACGGCGCAGTCGTTCCACAGGATCACGCGCATGACCTCGTCCACCACGAACACGAGCGCGGGCGACGTGTAGAGCGACTTGCCCAGGCTGGCCAGGCTCTCGGTGCTGGCGCAGTAGCTCTCCACGCCGGCCACGAAGCTCTGCACGGCCGGCAGCGTCGTGTCCTCGCAGTGCTCGCCGATGGTCTGCAGCATGATCTTGCGCACGACGCTGTTGCGCTTGGCCGCGGGGGGAGCGGCCGTCAGGGGCGCAGGGGACGCGGAGGCATTGGGTACGGGCGGGAAGGCGGCGGCTGGCAGAGTCGTGGAGCGCCCGCTGTCCGGGTCCGCGCGCACCACCGACGGGTCGAAGTGCACCGAGTGCGTCTTGTTGCCGTTCATGGGGCCGGCCGGCGGGGGAGGCGAGAGAGAGCGAAGCCAACCGAGCTGTGAAGACAAGCCGCCGGTCGCACTTAATTTCGTCGGGTTGCTCCGTTGGGGGAGACCCCCCGTATTTAGTGATAGTGAGGGCATACTGGACGCAAGACGATTGTGTGGGAAAGACTGCGCGCTTTTTGATTTTGCTGGCACTGCCAGTGTTGAAACGGAAGGAACTGTAGCCACATGTATAATACATGTAATGCATGTAGGTGGCCACGAAATGGCGGCGCCATCGCTTCTCGTGGCCAGCAGGAGGCCCAGGAGTATCTTTCGCCGGCACGCTCCATGCATTTCTGGGTTACGCATGGGCACGCGCTGCTGTTGCTCAAAGTGAGTGCAACTTGACCATTGACCACTGACCCTCAGCACCTCTCGAAGATCTTGTAGAGGTTGGTGAGGCAGGCCACGGGCGTGATGAGTTGCGCGTCGTTGAGCTCGTTGGGCGGGCAGAACGCGGCGGCCTTGGCCGCTGGGAACAGCACGTGCTCCAGCACCAGCGCCTCGCGCTCGGCGTTGCCCGGGTACCGCATCTCGCCGTACCAGCGCGCCAGCGCCTGCGCCACGCTCTCGAAGCACGGCTCCTCCTCCTCCCAGTTCACTTCGGTGGCGAGGTGGAACACGAACTCGGGCAGCGAGTGGATCGACGGCTCGTGGTCTGGCAGCAGCTGGGGCAGCGTGCGCAGCATGCCCTGCGAGTCGATGTCCAGCGAGAAGTACTCGAACAGCATGGGGCCGTTGGCGATCAGCAGCGTCTTGATCTCGTCCGCGAGCTGCTCCCTCGGGCCGTCCTCTTCGTCGTAGCCGTTGCGCGGGTTCTTGAGAGCCTCTAGGACCAGGTCGTAGACTGGTAGCGGGGTCTGCAGAGTGATCGGCCGCGTCTCGCCAAACTGCTGCAGCACCTGCTGGTAGAAGACGTGGAAAGCGACCTCGTCGTGCCGAACGATGTACAGCTTTGTGCGGTATTGCACCAGCGAGAACTGCTTGTCGACGACCCCAACAAAGCTGTGCTCGCGGAAGAGCTACCACCCAGAAGCATCAGCATACACACAGCATTAGACATGAGAGAGCACTCTCGGCACTACAGCAAACAAACTCCTACCCGTGCAAGCGCCTTATTTTTCTTTTGCCGCATCAAACTCAGCAAGTTCTGGACACTTGATAGCATTTGCGGGCTTTGAGTGGCCTCGAGGCTTCCGCGACGGTTGTCCGGCTCGGGTTCTGTAGGTCGTGTATGCTTCACATCAGATCAAAGTCTAGGCGTACACAGCTACAAACACAAGATCGCACCTTGGCTGGAATGCGTTTCGGACAGCTTCCTCTTTCTCGGGTTTAGCGATTTTGCCGCGTCCGAGTCACTTTCCGCCGAATCCTCTCGCCTGGACCTTCTGTCTGGGCTGGTGTCGCGGTCGTCTGCGGTGCCCTGGGAACTTGACTGTGATAGCTGCGATAACTGAGTCCTCTGCGACTCCAGAAAACAGTACTTGTCTATCGTGTTGGAGCGATGGTCGGTTCGCACCAGGCGCTGCGGTGCCTACACCAAACGCAACAAGAGACCGAGTGAGATATGCGCCGGAGAAACCTACTAAAGGGCAAGCTTACCAGCGCTGGTTGGTACTTCTTGGAAGGTGGGGTCGGCTTTTGACTTAGATCAAGCTCGATTGAGTCTGCAGACCGGTCAGCTTCGTCTTCTTCATCACTCTCGCGCTTCTCCATTTCCTCATCGCTTGACTCCACTTCCTCCTTTTTCTCTTCCTCTTCCATCACACTTTCGCGTCGGCGCTGCTTGGCTGATGCATCACCGCTGGTTGCTGAAGGTATGCCCAGCATAGCAGTGATCGGCTGGACAGAGAAGCTCCGACTTTCATTGCTACCTTTAAGCCGCTTTTCAATCGCTTGGCTGATTGAATCGACGATATCTTCTTCATGTAGGAAGTGCACCTGTTGTACAAAGGCATCGACAAGTAAACAGATTAGCCCAAAGATCGCCATCCTTCCAGAATACAATTACACGCACCTCTCGCTTTGTGGGATGCACGTTCACGTCAATGTTGCGAGGTGGAAGCTCCATGCTTAAATATATGAACGGATGCGTGTTCTTCGGTAAATACAACGAGTAGACGTACTCACAAGCCCGCTTAAGTGATGGGCACTCGACAAGCCGGTCGTTGATAAACAGGATAAAGTTGCTTTTTCTCAGGCTGCCAGAAAACCAGTCAAATTAGCAAACGAAACAGTAGGGTGGGCATTAGGAATATCGTGAGGAAACTTACTGGTAATTGGCGTTGCTGATGTATCCACGGACTTTGCGTTGCAGGTCCATCGATCCACCAGCCGTGGTGTCTCTTTCGTATTCGAACGGCGTGAGCTCGCTTGCAAGTTTGCTGCCGTAAATGGTACGAATGACGTCCAGCTGAGAAGAGCACTGCGTTGTGTTGACTCCGCCCGACGACTCGCGATGCTGAAAAGCACGATAGCACAACGCCGGTAAGCGACAGCTCTAGCAAGCACAACCACCGGGTACAACCGCCCTTACTTTCTTGCAGACAAACCCCACTCCTTTCGCGCCAAAGTGAACAGCATACTTCTGCACCACATCCAAGATTCGACTGTACTGCTCCGACGCATTCTTCAGCGCCTGCTTCCTCGTGCTCAGATTGTAAAACAAATCTTCCACCTGCAGTCGACAAACCAACCAGCCCAGTTAACACCCCTTCAAATATCCCACCCCTCTAAGAAACCCACCACAATCTGCGTCCCGTTCTTTCCGGCGCACGGCTTGGGGTCCTTGGACTCGCCGGGCTTCTTGGCCACAAGCTTCCCGTCTCGGTACGAAGCTCTACCATTGCAGCCACACTCCATTAGTCCACATCACCCCATTCCCCGCTCCAAACTCTTATTGCACACCCTACTTGTAGGCGCAGGGCTGGTCCGCCGTTCTGGACGTGATGGTCACGTGCGCCACGTGCGAGATACTGGCGAGCGCCTCCCCGCGGAAGCCGAAGCTCTTGATGTCCTTCAGGTCCTCGAAGCTCTTGAGTTTGCTGGTGGTGAAGCGCTCGCACACGATGTCCAGGTCCTGGCGCTGGATGCCGCGGCCGTTGTCCTGGATCTGCAGCAGCTTGAGCCCGCCCTGGCTCACGGTAACCGCCACGTGCGTGGCTCCCGCGTCCAGCGAGTTCTCCAGCAGCTCCTTCACGGCGTTGGCGGGGCGGTGCACCACCTCCCCGGCCGCGATGCGGTTCACCACGTCCGGGCTCAGGCGCTGGATGCGCGGCGCCGGCGTCGCCATGGTAAGTTCAACACTGACGCACTTTATCGCGGGAGAAGATCGGATTGGCTAAAATTGAAGTGGGGGTACACTTTTAATTTGGGGGTACGGTATTTAATGTGTACCCCCTGTTCCTGCGTGCCGCTCACTAGGCCATGGTGGCGTTCAGCGTCTACAAGTCGTCCAAGTACCTCTTCGACTGCGTGGCTGCGGCCCACGCGGCGCGGGCACAGCCGTATCCGGCGGTGGATTTGAACGCGTTGGAGGCGCTTGGGTGAGTTTTTGGGCCGTGGAAAATGGACCAAAACGCTGCAGATTAATCCAAAAGAAGGGTCTCGTTGTGATACATTTGCGTGTTTTTCGGCGGTGCAATGCGTCAACGGCAACGGTTGACGCCTCTTCGACGTCTAAAGAGGCTACCAATGCTTACTTCATTGATTATTGTTTGGTGGCGGGCAGACTCAACTCGGTGGATGTGGTCAAGCGCATGGACTACGCAGAAGTGGACAAGCTCGTTAAATGCTGCCCACAACATGTAGGTTCGCAGTGCTTTCATGGCTGTAAGTTGGAGCAGTGCACTAATCGTTGAGTATGTTCTATTGCTGTGGCCTTGGTAGCCTCCGCAGACGATCGTCGTGCCGGCGACGCATGGTGACATTACCCCGTTCCAGGAGTTCGCCAAGTACCTGAAAGCTCGACAGCGGGTAAGACAGGCGCAACTTGCCTTCAGGTGACAGTTCAGGTTTTGACTTGTGGAGTGCTTAGGCTGGTGTCGCAGTGCTCGCAGATGGACGTCTGTTGATGCTTGCGCCGCTGACGAACGATGACTCGCGGCTCCGCTGCGTTGTCGTGAAGACGAAGCCCGCAGCGGAGGCTTCAGCTGCGTCTCCAGCTAATTTCACAATCGATAAAGCTGCACCTGTGGTTCATTTACCGACTGGCTCCCAGACCCAAGCATCTAGCGCACTGCCGCCAGCACAGCCCGAACAAGCAGACGAGAAACGCCGGCGTGGTCGAGTTCGCTCTCGAAATCGTTCACGCACGCAGCAGGAAGAGGTAGCGAGCGCAGAGTCTAAAAGCTCGTCCATTGAGCCGAATCATATCAGTCAGGTATGCGTGTTGCTATTAGTAAGACGCATGGCAAGTATCATTAGTGACGTGAGTGGTTTGCATTTTACAGGCTACAGAGACATCTACACTGTCTGCACCAGCAGAAGAGAAGCTGATTATGCTATACAGTTTACCGCGGATCGAGAGAGCAACGCGAATCGCCCAACTTCGGTACGTGCGCTAGATTCTCATCACTCACACTATAGTTGTTATAATCCGTTTCTGTCTGTGTGTAGGCAAGAATATGAGGCTTTCCACGCGCTCCACTACGACGTTTTGAAGGCATGGAGCAAATCGGATCCGGATAGCTGAGAGCCCGAGGATTAATAGCAATGCAACATTGGCGTTGTGTGGTGGGTGATGCGTTCTCTCGTACAACACGAGGTTGGTCTACCGGTACTTGAGCGATGTAATGACACTGTAAAAGATTGGCACTCCAGCAACGTGGGTGTATTATCTGTCGCATCAGCTTAGTTCTTATCGATGTGAGCAATGGAAAAAAGGGATACTTAGCCTACTCGAAACGCAACGCCTCCATCTCTTGCAGCTCCTTCGGCACCTTGGATGTCGTGATTTCTATCCCAGACTCCGTGATCTACAGTAAGACAAACAAAGATAAGTTAGTCTGCTATCAACACCACCAGGTACTGTATAGTAGTCCGTACCACAACGTCATCCTCGATACGAATACCAATACCACGGAATTCCTCGGGCAGATTAATATCGTTCTTCGGCAAGTAAATACCCGGCTCCACAGTGACTACCATGCCAGGTACCAACGGCGCGCCGCGCGTAACGTGGGGCGTGTCGTGGGTATCCATGCCCAGATAGTGGCCGATGTGCGTCGGGTTGTATTTCTGAAACTCGCGAATCGCAGAACGCGAGAAGGGGCCGCCCTTGTTCGTCAAAATGCCAAAATCAAGCATCCGCTTCATCATGAGTTCCACGGAGTAATCGTGCAGCTCGTTCAGAGTGATGGACTCCTTGGCTTCGATCTTGGTTCTCAAGTGGTCGATGCATTTCTTCTGCACGTCCAGCACGAACTCGTACATGGTGGTCTGTCCGGACGACAGCTTTCCTCCCACAGGCCACGTGCGGGTGATGTCACTGGCGTAGCCACCAGCAACCTCGCATCCCGAGTCAACCAGCACCAAGTCGTGCGCACGGAGCAAATCGCGCTTCGCCAAGTAGTGGATCACAGCAGCATTAGACCCCGAACCGACAACGTTCGGGAACGCATTCCACAGTGCACCGTTCTTCTTGATAGAGCCCTCAAACACCGACCCCAGCGCCAACTCCGACATCCCTGGCCGCGTGTTCTTCATCATGTCAATAAATCCCTGCGCACCAATGTCCGCTGCAAATCGCATGCGGTTCAGCTCGTTCTCCGACTTGACCACACGCAGCTGCTCCACCAAGAAGTCTCCCGCGAAGAACTTGCTGTGGAAGCCCTGCGTCGCCTCCACAAAGCTGGGCGAGTATCGTCCACCATCAGGCTTGAGCACAAACACCTTGTCCACTCCAGAAATCAGCTTGTTCATTGCCGGAGCAAGGTCCGTGAGCTGGAACGCGTCGTCCGCCAAGTACCGATCTTTGGCTCCGTCCAGTCCGATCCGAGCGCCATCCCACTGCTCGCTGTATCATCAGTCCATATATACACACCAGCTTAGCACCGCATAATAACGACTACCACCTCCATTGTACTACGCCGTTGCGCACCTGTGCGGGTCGCGAGGACGCACGAAGAGCACGAAGGAGCACTTGTTCTGGGTCTTGAGCAGCACGGCGTGGGCGTCCGGCTCCTCGAGCCCCGTGAGGTACATGAAGTTGCTGTTCTGGTGGAACTCCCACGGGATGTCGTGGGTCATGTACTTGACCTCGGCCGCGTTGGCGATGAGCGCCGAGTTGTCGGGCATGGTGGCGAACAGCTTGGCGCGGCGCTGCTGGAACTCCGTGGCCGGCAGTCCGGGCTGCAGGCATCCCGGTTGCACCTCGAACGGGTTGAACGGCTCGGGGTCGTCGACCTTCGCGCCTGCGGCAAAGTTCGATGCGGCCCGCACGCCGTAGGCGCCCGCCCGGAGCTGCACGACGCGCTGCGCAGCCTTCCGCAACATCATGATCTCGATCGATATCCTCTGGCTCGTTGACAACCAATACCGGTACAGTGTACCACTTCCCCGTCTTTGCTCGACCATTATCACGTTAAGTACGATGTAGACGCTCGACTAAGTACGATTTATGGTTGGCGTTGGAAGCCGCACTCCGAAAAGACTCGCAAGTCGACGTTTTGCCAGCCCCGAAAGGACCCGCAAGGCCCCAGACCGCAGTAGGAAGGAGCAGGGACGAGACTAGCGCGTACGCGGCCTACAGGACTCGACAGTCAAGATGCCGCAGCACGAGCATATGGAGATGCACCGCAAGCGCCACGGCGTGCGCATGGACGCCGCCGAGAAGAAGCGCAAGAAAGAGGCCCGCGAGGTGCACAGGCGCTCGCAGTTCGCCCAGAAGGTGCACGGCCTGCGCGCCAAGCTGTACAACCAGAAGCGCTTCAAGGAGAAGGCGGCCATGAAGAAGACGCTGGCGCTGCACAACGAGCGCACCAACAAGCACGCCAACGACGACGAGATCCCGGACGGCGCCGTGCCGTCCTACCTGCTGGACCGCGAGGGCGTGTCGCGCGCCAAGGTGCTGAGCAACACGGTCAAGCAAAAGCGCAAGGAGAAGGCCGGCAAGTGGGACGTGCCGATCCCCAAGGTCAAGCCCATCGCCGACGACGAGATGTTCAAGGTGCTGCGCTCGGGCAAGCGCCGCAACAAGGCGTGGAAGCGCATGATCACCAAGGCCACATTCGTGGGCGAGAACTTCACGCGCAAGCCGCCAAAGTACGAGCGCTTCATTCGCCCCAGCGCCATGCGCTTCAAGAAGGCCCACGTGACGCACCCGGAGCTCAAGACCACGTTCCAGCTCGACATCCTTGGTGTCAAGAAGAACCCGCAGAGCCCGCTGTACACGCAGCTCGGCGTCATGACCAAGGGCACTATCATCGAGGTAAACGTGAGCGAGCTCGGCCTCGTCACCACCTCGGGCAAGGTCGTGTGGGGCAAGTACGCCCAGATCACCAACGTGCCGGAGAACGATGGCTGCATCAACGCCGTGCTGCTCGTCTAATTGCCGTTTTATAACTATAGATCCTTTTGCAATCATATATCGCCTCGAGAACCACACGCTTACTTCCGTATACCTTCAGTCAATGTGCTATGGCAGCCAACGCTTTGCTCATGTGAACGCGTAATGTGGTTATCACGCAGGTGTTGCTAGAGCGTCTGGAATTTTTTAGACCGATGGGTATATTCATTTTTCGCTGTGAGCTGAAGGTGCTGACAAGCTCCGGGCATTCAATTCTGCGCCATGAGTCTACTCAGTTCTTGTAGTTTTCGATCAAGCCGACGTACGCAAGTCCGCTGTCTGCGCAGGCCGCCAGCAGCGCGTACTTGCCGCCTTCCTTCTGCAGCTTGTTGGACGCCGTGTTCACTAATCTGCTGCCGGTGGCACCGAACGGGTGTCCGAGCGCCAACGAGCCGCCCCACGTGTTCAGCTTCTCCGATGGCACGCGCCCGACGGCCTGGTCAATGCCGAACAGCTCCTTGCAGTACTTGGGCTCTGCCAGCGCGTTCAGGTTGGCCAGCACCTGACCAGCGAAGGCCTCGTGGATCTCGAAGTAGTCGATGTCGCTCAACTTCAACTTGTTCTTGGCCAGGATTTGCTGAATGCCGTAGGCAGGTCCGAGCAGCAAGGTCTCGAACGGGTCCACGCCAACAAACAGCCAGTCCTTGAGCACCGACTTCGGCTTGTATCCAAGCTCCAGCGCCTTCTCCTCCGACATGATCAGCGTCGCAGCAGCGCCGTCCGTCAAGAAGGACGAGTTGGCTGCCGTGTGGGTGCCGTGCGGCTTGATGAAGGCGGGTTTAAGCGTCGAGATCTTCTCCAGCGTCGAGTTCGGGTTCACTCCGTTCTCCTCCGTGCTTCCCTTGTACGACAGGATCTCACCCTTGTACTTGCCCTCCACATGGGCTCTGTAGGCCTTCTGGTGGGCGTCGATGGTGTACTGGTCCATCTCCTGTCTCGTGACGCCAAATCTAGTCGCCAGTCGGTCGCTGGACGAGCCCATGATCTCCCTCGTGTGGAAGTTCTGGATTGCAGGGGCAACTGGGGCAAAGTCCCCGAGTTTCAGCCCCTGCAGCAGCTTCAGCACGCCCATCGGGCCCTTCTTCATGGCCTTGGGAGCGTTGATAAGCCTCTCTCGGATGGGCTTTGAGAAGCGGATGGGCACGTCCGAGAACGTCTCGACGCCGCCAGCCAGCACGATCTCGGCGTGGCCCGACAGGATCTTCTCCGCGCCAGTGCAGATGGCCTGGCTGGAGCTGATGCAGGCCTGCGTGACGGTGTGCGCCGGCACGTGCTTGGGGATGCCGGCGCCCAGCGCCGCCTCGCGCGCAATGTTGGACGTGCCGACCTCCTGGATCACAGTGCCGGCCAGCACGTAGTCGATGCTCTTGGGGTCGAGGGCTGTCTTGTTGATCAGGCCCTTGAACGCGTCGCGCATCATGTCGTAGGCGATCACGTCCTTGTAGACGGTGCCGGACTTGGCGAAGGGCAGGCGTACACCGTCCACGACCACCACGCGCTTGGCTGCGGCAGTGGACAATGCGCGTGAGGAGCGGGCGCCCATGGTCAGGAAGCTGCGGCGACCGGCGAGCATGGCGGAGGGAGGAATGACAGAGAGTACTGACGTCGAGCTGCAAATTCCGGAGTGAGCTTTGCGATCCTGCGCTAACGTCCCTTGGGGAAACGGCGCGATCTGATTGGCCGAGAGAGGACGTACACGTCTCACGTCGATTTTTCAGTCAGATGCCAACGTGATTGAAGTTTTTTGTGGTGTGGTGCAACACGACGTGAAGGTACAGGTCGAAGTTGCAGTTGGTTGATACATTGGCTGTCGGGCTAGTTACTTCTTTTAGCTGAGTGCATGCGTGTTGGGGACGCCCATATATATACATGCGATGTATGTGGTTATTGGTACGAGTGAAAGAAGCAATCGCGGCCGAACTGGTCCGAGTTGATGAGCGAGAAGAGCGACGACGCCGAGGTGACGGCCAAGCCAGACTCGGCGGCTAGCAGTGGAGACGAGCGGCAGATCTCGTCGACGGCCACGTCCAGAGCGTCCGTGCGGTCCACTTTGCGGAGACAGGGGCGACACACCTTTGCCTTTTCGTAGCGCATCTTCGCCGCCGCTTTCTTCTCGCTCGTGAACATGTTGGGGTCGTCTCGAGGCTTCCACGCGACTTTCAGAGGCACCCGGCACAGCGGACATACGGCGCTGCTGCAGAGCGTGCACTCCCTTCTGCAGGATAGAATCGACCGTCCAACGCCGCAGCCACACGAGCTGCACTCGCTCTTGGCCTTTTTGCTCGTGTCCACCGACTGCTTCTGCTTGTTATTCAGCATCCACGCCAGCTTCTTCATCCTCGCGTTCACAAGAAGTCGCTGGAAAGACAGCAGCGCGTCGGCAATCTGCGTCATGACAATGCTCGTGTAAATCGGATACCGGTAGCCCATTGCGTCGACGCAGCCCGTCATGAACACTTCGATGAGTCCTTGTTTCTTCTGGCGAAATAGTCGGCAGAACGAGATGTTCGCGCGCACAATTTGGTGGTCGTGGAGCTCGCGCACCCCCGGCACCTCGACCGAGTGGCGTAAATTGTACCCGACGTGCTCTCCGTGACTGTCAAGTGCGATCCCCGTGGACTCCAGGTACACGAAGTCTCGGGGTCGAACCACGACGCTCACGAACATCGGGCCTCTCCCTATGAGCGACCACTTGACCTGCAGCGATCTGAGCGGGTTGCTCGGCGTCGGGGAAATGATGGACGCCAGCTCGGCGCAGTCCGTGAGGTAGTCCCCCGTGCACGCCGACTTGGCCAGCATCTCCTCTCGCGTCGGGTTCAGCAGCCCGAACATGAGCTCGTTGAGCTCTCCTCTCGTCGTGCCAATCGCCATGAGCGGGTGGATCCCGCTTGGCGACGGGGCCACGTCCGACAGCGACGACTCTCTCTTGAGGTTCTCGCGCATGGAGCGGTCCTCGTACAGCATGACGCCAGCCTTGCGTTTGATGGGTTTCCACCGCTTATCTGCGAGCCCGTTGTAGTCCAGGCGGAGGTTCTCGAAGTCTTCGATCGCCGAGTCGACGATCATCGCCGCCACGTTGTCCATGTTGTCCATGTCCTCCTTGGCCAGATCCAGCTCGGGGAACGTCTCCGGTGGCAGGCGGAACTTCATGCCGGCGCAGGCGTCAGCTCGCGCCACTCACTGCTGCTCGGCGTTGCAAGAGAGCTTGCTCGAGTGTGCGTGTACTTTACAATGTCGCTTCGCTGCATGCAACCCACCGCCTTGGCGGTCCAGCAAACGTGCGATTTGACCTCGTCCTTCCGTCAATTGAGCTTACAGAACCGGAATATAGGGGGTACCCATTGATTTCACCATCTTATCCGGCAGCACCCATCACTTAGTATTGTTATTTTGTTCATTATCCGGAGTATGCACGTTGAAGTAGAAAGTATGGTCTCACAAGTCGCACATTTCACGACCTTACTTCACTCGTTCATGGGCAAATCGCGAATCCAAGGGTAATGACAAAGGCACGATGCCCGTGATCATTATTGACAACATATACAAGTCCAGTGTAGGTTCTCCATACACCTGAAACGAACTGTTTTATCTTTTTGCAATACATGTTTTCTCCTTTGGCGGGCTGACTGCTTACCACAGAGTAGAGTGGTGAGACTTCGGTGCGCAGCCTCCTGTGATCGCCCAGCACTTTGTTGCCGGGTTCATGCTCAGAATATTCACCATCGTCAGCCACGCGAGCGCAAACATCAAGATCCCCACCATCCACATGCCCATGCGCTTGCTCACGCCTCCCTGGCGACGGAGAGCTTGAATGGCGGCTCGTTGATTCGGCAGCAGCGGCAGCAACATCAGCGACACCATCTTCATACCGTAACAAATCCAGATCGTGATGGTCACGTCTCGGCGCGTCTCGTACGTGTCGGCAAGGATGTCGTCCTTCCAGACGTGGAAGCGCGCGTTGATGAACTTGGCGATGGTGCGACCGAAGGGGGACGAAACGTGGTTGGCAGTCGTGAGCAGCCCGAACAACGCGCCTTCCGATCCCCTCTCGATAAGCTCCACAACGACATAGTTGTTGACAATGAAGCGCATAGCGTGAGGGATGTCTCCGATCACGGGCACACCAAGCCAGAACCACTGGCTACGAATGACGTCCCATGTCACCAAAGTTGTCATTATTCCGTCGGTAACGACACCGAAGATCACAGTTGCTGCGATGGCGACGTGCCAGTTCCAGTGCAGTCCACGCTGCGCCATCACAGCCAGCGTCGCTGCGTACAGGAACGTCCCCACAATGGCCATAATACTTGCGTTGAACGGCGTCGCGTGGACCCAGTAGAGCTTGATGTTGCTGGAGGACACGATGTTGAAGCTGTTGAACACGCCCGAGAAGAACTTGTACGCCGCCACTTGATACACCGCCCTCTTCTGCAAAATCCCCCAGAAGCGCGCCATATATTCCTTGAACTTGGGCGGCACCACTTCGTCCTCGTAAATGAGGAACCACGCAGCAGGACCCAGAGGCAGGCAAATGCACCCCAAGATGAACATCATTTCGGGAAAAGTGAGCGAGAAGTCGAAGGAACCGCCATACTCGATGCCGTTGAACGCGACTGCCACGACGAGCGCTCCTACTGCGTTGAAGCCCATGCGAACGCTGTGGATCCACGATTGAATGCGCCCACGTGTGTTGATCGGCTCACGCTGAGCATACTCAATCACGACAGCATCGGCCGGCACCTCCACGAGCAAGTATCCGAACGAAGCCAGCATCATCGGAATCACGTACTTGCCGGCAGCGTCGGGCGCGTTGGGGTTGATACTTTGGCGTTGCTCCTCCGTCCATTGATCGGGGCTGATGGAGTGCATGGTGGGGTCTCCGTAGTACGGCGCGGCCTCAGGGAAATTCGCGATCATGAAGAGCATGCAGCAGCACAGCAGCCATCCCAGCAGCATGTATGGACGCCGACGCAAGCCTGCGATCGGGAAGCAGTCGCTCAGGATTCCCAGGAACATCTTGTACGACCATGGCAGTTGCACCAGCACCGTAGCCGACACGACGATGGTTCCTTCAGCGTTCAGGTAACCTTGGAGCACGGGGTAGATGACGGCAGGGAGCACTCCATTGACGAAACCGATGCCGGCGTACTGCATGAGCAGAGCTAGCACGTCAGGCGACAGCAGACGCGGAGGCGGTCCATCTCGCAGCACCTCGTCTTCGAGGTCGGCGTCTTCCGACTTGGTGGGGGTGGGTGGTGCATCCGATGGTACAGCGCCATAGTTGAGTGCTTGACCCTCCTCGTTCAGCACGAGCTGCTGCTGCTCGTCCGAAGCTCCCATGCTGGCGAGAGAAACCAAATAACCGACGAGCGCCGCCGGATAATTTAGACTATGAGCACCATGTTCCTATCCTCAGCCGCCTCGGCATCCTCACCTGCAAGCTCACTGCCGCCCTTGAGCGATGCAGAGGTGTCCAGCTCCAGCGCCTCTCCGACGGCGGGGATGTGTGTCAAGTGTTGTCGAGACCGCAGCCACACGCTGGATTAATTAATCCCGATGATTTGCTCCGCCCCCATACACTCCCGCAAGTCACATCCCTCCGCAGCCGATGAAGTGTCGCTGCGGGCTTATCCGACGACGAAGCATGCTGTCGTCAACAGCGTGGTGTTCCATCGTGCCCATCGTGTTGCCACCGCAAAGAAGAACGCGTGATTGAATGTGGACGGTGCTCGACCACCCGTTCAAGGGTCAGCAAACCTAGACGAGCTTGTCCGAAGGCGCTGATCGAGGCCGAACGATGCACCACCCGTCGTGATTCAACTCAGGAGATCCCTCGAAGGATTCTGTGTATCTTGTCCTGGTGGTGGGTCTTTCCATTCCAAGTCTCATTACGCAATTCTCCGGTCATCGCGAAGCTTACTTCAGTACGTGCGCTCGAACCGCTAGTAGAGCAGCATGACGGTGACGGACGACACAGTGAAAGCCGTGCTGGAAGACCGACTTAGCCGACTCTCCGACCTCAAGCCCACCCAAAGCGAATCTGCGTATTCACACCTGGTGTCCCCATCCAAGCCCATTGACACGGAGCTCGAGAATGGCGCATTGCGTGAAGGGAAACCGCTGAACCTGCTGTCGAAGGAGTGCATCGGACTGTTGGCCCAGTACGCTGGCGTCGGCTTCTTGGCGGGCATCATTCCTGGTGTCATCTACCCCGTGCTTCAAGGCTACCTCAACGCAGAGGGTACCATCGTCGTATCGGCGACCGTGCTGGTCCAGATCCCGTGGTGCTACAAGATGTTCTTCGGTGTCATCAGTGACTGCTTCCCGATCATGGGCTACCGCCGTCGTCCGTACATGGTCATCGGCTGGGTCTTCTGTGTCGTGATTCTCTTCATCATGGCGGCCATGTCTGTCCCCGATCCGTACTACGGCGATGCGTCCATGCACAACATCGACGAAGAAGAATGGACTCCGGAGCAGATTGCCAGCATCAACGAAAGCGCATCGAGCTCCGCTGGAAAGTATGTGGTGCCCATGATGCTTGCGTCCTTCGGTTATCTCCTATGTGAGGTGGCAGCTGACGCTATGGTGGTTGAGTACGCACAACGCGAGCCCATCGAGCAGCGCGGCCGTGTCCAGACTGCTGTGTACGCCGTCAAGACCTCGTTCACCGCCCTCGGCGCCGCTGTCATCGCCTTCTTCATGAACGGGGAGGAATACGCTGGCACCTTCGACTTCTCGCTCACCTTCCAGCAGCTCATGCTGATCTCGGGTATCATCTGCGCGCCGCTGGTGTTCGTGTCGTGGTTCTTACTCCACGAAGACCGCGTGACGGACAAACCCACGTTCGGGCAGTACATGTCGACGTTCTGGGGGATGCTCCAGAAGCGCGCGATTTACCAGATCGTGGCGTACAAGTTCTTCTCCGGTGTCTTCAACAGCTTCAACATCGTGTCGTCGAGCAACATTAAGCTCTACTGGGTCCACGCAACGCCGTTCAACAACAGCGTAATGACGATCGTTGGCACAATTTTCTACGCTACGACACTTGCTCTCACGGGCAAGTACGGTCTCGACTGGAACTGGCGCACGATCATCATCATCACGATGTGCGGTGCGCTCTCTATCGATGCGTTCATGACAATGCTCACGGTCTGGGACGTCGTCCGCAACCAGTGGTTTTGGCTGGGCGTGCCGGTCATTGAGTATCTTCCGGACGGTATCCGGTTCATGATCGCCACGTATGTTGTAGTAGAGCTCGCGGAGGCCGGTCACGAAGGTGCATTGTACGGACTGTTGACCGCTACAACGAACTTGACCACCCCATTCGGTCGCTCGATGGCGAAGCTCGTGAACGCCCAGTTCCACGTGTGGCTGAAGGACATCCAGGCCGACACGTACGTCGTTCGCCGTGACGTGACCATCACGATCTGGATCTGCTACGGTATGAAGCTTCTCTCACTGGCGTTCCTGCCGCTGCTGCCCCGTCAGAAGGCTGAGACGCAAGAGCTGAAGCGCACGGGCGGGTCTAGCCGAATCATGGGTATTATCACGGTGGGGTACTTGGCCTTTGCCATTGTGTGGGCGACACTGGTGAACTTGTTGTCCATGTACGAGAGCACAATGTGCTGGAAGATCACCGGCGGCTGCGCGCCCAAGTCGTGAAATGGGCAAGAATCATGACGAGTTTGTTTGGCGTTCTGGCTGAAACATCGTTAGTTAACCTTTACTACCCAGCTTAAAAGCCCACGCGTGGGATCGGCAAATATCCCACGGGTGGGCTCAAGCTGATTAGTTGAATGCATGAGTAAATGTATTAAAAAGAGCGTTTAGAGGCTACTACACCTTTGCCAATCCAAGTTGGCAGCAGTGTAAAGCAAAACGGTGTGAAGTAACTTAAGTAGGGGGCCCATTATCGAACGACATTCGTGCAACAATCGCGCGACATTGTTAAAGCACTGCACCTGCGGTTTCACTCTCCGAAAGGACAGTATAAAACCCACACCTTGAACAAACCTAACCATGAACTGTGCAAAAAAATGGTTTGCTGGTAAATTACCAGGAATTGCGAACCAAAATTACCGATCGCATGTGGTTTGCGGCCAGAAGTTTTCAGTTTTCAAACCACAGTGGAAGGTTCGGAGTTACACGCCGTTACAGGTTCGGAGTTACTTGGTATTTTGAAACGAATACCATGCCTTTCGTGGCTGCGTGGGTACGATCGCAGCCTTTCCTCAAACGCCGCACCCTTAGAAAATATACGATTTTCTCAAGAACCCCTTTGAAGATTGCTGCATATGTTTGTTTGTCCGAGCTCCCCTCATTCTAGAGTTTGCTCCGTCGTTCACAGCACCGCACGCACACTACCAAGTTCCTAAAGCGCTACATCAAGCCTCCACACTCCATTCGTTCAATTTGCAGCAACCAAGATCAAGTGTTGACTAGCTTTACCTGCACAAGTATCTGCACAAGTACCTGCACAAGTACCTGCTCAAGTTCCTGCGCAAGCCCCCCCCCTCCAGCAGCCATTCCGGATTCAACTGAGCTTCGACGCTGTAATAGCGACTGTCGCTTTTCGGGGTTGATGGCGACAGAGTTCCGCAGTAATAGAAGACCCGCTCAAGCCCAGCAGGTTGGGCAGAACGCTCAACTTCGTGTCGAGGCAGCAACTACCACCCCGGCACCAGTTTCGCACAACGGGTTAGAGGGCGAGCCTGTGCCTGCTGTAGCTGCTGTCACTTCGTCGACCACGGTTCAGCCTGTACCTGCTGTAGTTGCCGTCACGATGCCGACTACTGGTGCGCCGGTGCCTGGTGTAGCTGCCGCCACTACGTCGTCTACTTCGGGCGCAACGATTCCAGTCCCAGCACATGCAACCCAAGCTATTCGAGACTACGTACATCCCAATGGCTTCACAGTCGTATCAAAACGGCGGGGAGAGTGCTCCAGTATACTGAATTGGGGTGTTCGTGTTACTGCAGCACTGGATGATAAGGAGTACCTTGGTTGGATTTGCCAAGGCAGCCATGAATGTCACCGCCAGAACAAGTTTATCCAGCTTTTTGGTAATACGACCAAGGCTACAAAGCTTCTCAGCGAAGGGCATTTGGTATCTGCGGCCAAAGTGATAGCAGAGAGCAAGAGGAAGCGGGACCGTGCTGAGCAACTTGAGCGCTTCCGAAGTGCGATTTCTAATGGAGACGACAGTCGCCGAATGACTTTCCTTCTGGAAACCATGCGAGTGGTGAACAACAACCTCCCTTTTCGAATCGGGGAATATGAAGAATCTAAACTGCTTGCTGATTTGACTCTCTGCAAAAAATATCGAGTCACACTTAACCATCAGACGGTGTTCCGGGCAATAGCCGAGCTGTATTCAAGTGCCAGAAGCGCGGCCTGCTCGTACATTGATCGCTCCAGACTTGTCGGTGTGCCGGTGTACTCAGTGGTGTGTGATTTCCTGGCGTCGAAGACGCAGAAGTCGACCAAATACGTTGGCCTTCGTCTCTACTTTATCGACCATGAGTGGAAGTTCCAGTCGATCCTGCTAGGTACTCGTCATTATGAACCCATGTACGGCGAGAGAAGCGAGGGGAATCGCGAGCCGTTCAAGCGATGGGCCCTCGAGCTGCTGAAGGACTTCGGTCTAGCGAACAAGGATCTCTAGGCGTCAACGAGCGACGCTGGTCCGGACGTCAAGTGGATGATGAAGACAGGACTTGGTCTCCAATGGGAATGGTGCATGCCGCATCTTACAAACGCAGCGACGAAAATGGCATTCGGCATTGTTTCGCAACGCCCAAAGTCCAAGAATCCCGAGGGTACCGATCTACTGGCTCGCATCAAGCGCACTACGTTTGCAATCCGGTCCAATACAACTATGGGGAGCCTCTTTGCTGAGCTTTGTAAAATGGCGAACGATGGGGGCTCTACCCAGCTGATTGAACACAAAGAGCACCGATTTATGGGGGTTGGAGAAGGTTATCAAGCGTCTTCTAGCAAAATGGGATCAACTTGAAGACTGGTTTCAGGAGCGTACCGACAAAGCCATTCGTGACCGAGACGATATACCCGAGGGCCTACCGATTGCAGACGACAAGGAAACCCTTATTCAACTCTATGGGTTACTCAACCCAATTGCCGCTCTCAACACCAAAAACCAAAAGGAAGACGCAAACCAAGTTGATGTGCTTTTGTCTCTTTATCGACTTCGGCAGACCGTCTTGGACGAGACACAGCCCATCCGAGACAGAGTGCGATTGCCTACCGAGCCTCCACTGTACTATCAAGTGCGGTGCCTGGTTAATCTCACGAAGACTACACGTGCTCTGCTCGCAACAGCGTTTCACAAGAACTTTTTCGTGCGGTACACGGACCCAGCGCGCTTCCGTCAGACGGCTTATATACCAGAGTTCAGATGCTGTTGCATCCTTCATCCAAGAATCAAGACATAAATCTAGCGACGATCGTCAAGCTGTGCAATGAGCAGCTAGTTTTCGACCCGAAGCACCCCTATCACCGCTTAGACAAGCAAAACGTGGCGCGCAATGTTGCATCCGTGAAGGAAGCCGTGATGTAGCGTCTGAGAGCACTGATGATTAAAATTTCGAAAGCTTCTGCTACTACTCAGCCCACGACCCCGTCACAGCACCCGTTGCGTCGATGCTGGAGCCACCAAATCTGCAGCAGCACACAGTTTTTTCGGAAGAACTTCTGGCGTTTACTGAGGAAGAGGTGGTGACAGTAGTCCAGCGTGATTTCCATGAAGCTCGAGTCGATGAAGAACTTGACAGATGGCTTACCATCCAAGCAGGCTTCAGGTCGTGGAGTCGAAACCTGAGTCAGCTCTCGCGTACTGGAAGCGGCAGCATCTTGAGAACAACTATCGCATTTTGCCTATTGCCGCACGGGTTTTATTTGCGATCCCGTGTTCCTCCGCACAGATTTAACGAGATTTTGGAATCACAGGAATGCTGGTTACAAGTCATCATACAAGCATCGCGAAGCACAACATCGACATGTGCTCGTTTCTCAACAGGAACCGCAGGTTCGTCGATGTTGCCACTTGCAAGAGACTGCGAGGTGAAGGAATCGATCCCAGCAAATGTCCTCGCGGCTCTCAATTCGCAAGCGATTGACGCACCATTCTCTGCGGAATGGGAGAGTGAGATGGCGTCGTGCGTATTCGATAGCGGTTAAACATGCAGGGTAACAGCCACTCAAATACATTGCATTCCTGTAAATTGCTGGCGTCTACGCTTAAGTCGATAGCAAAGGGTCATTTTAGAATCACCAGGTTGCATGAGCACTTTGCCGCAATACTCGAGCATTTATATGCATGTGGGAGCGGAATACCACAGTAATTCAAATTATATCTTGTTGATGCACTATGGTTAGCAAAAAAGCAAGGTTCTTCATGGATCATTTGCTGCTTCGAGGCACAGAGCGCATAGCTGTACGTCGCAACTCCCGTTCTCGCTGCAACACGTGTTGCTCTACTTGCTTTGTTGCTGCGACCCGTGCTTGAGCCGGAGCCACAACGTCTCGGGTTCCTGCTTCCTTGTCTTGATTTGTGTTGCAGCCACGCTCTTTTGACTCACTCATGCGTTGGCGGTGACGACGTGAAAAAGTTGTTTTGTTATGAAATGAAGCGGGTTTCAAGATGGCTGGGTTCTTGACCACACTTGCCGGTTCGGCATTTGCTAGCAGCTGGGCAATACCGCTATTGAGCTGAGCCAGCGCTGCCAAAACCGCACTACGTTCGCCAGGTGTTGCTTCTGTCAACAGATCGGCTTGGTTGTCTTCAGATGCTTGTCGTTCGCTTGAAGGTACAAAATGCACTCTATTGCGTATCGGTTTCTCCATAGCGGAAGTTGCTGACTCCCTTTTCGCCGAATAAATGACTCCATTATTTTGACGACTAAGATCCACGGGGGGGGGGGGGGAGCTTGCAAAATGGCGGCAGCATCTCGGCGCGTAGTTACACCTCTCAGCAACTTTGATCTAGACTCCAATTTCGAAATACGGTCACTTAAGCGGACTTAATTTCTGCAGCAGCTTGCATGACCTTCCGAAGTTCTTGACCGAGCCGATCAATCTTTGCCTGCGATTCCCGGAGCTGCCGTTGCATTTTTTCTACTACAGACGACACATTCGCGATCATCGTCGCAGCGAGTCGACCTTGAGCGGCTTGTTGGGCTTGTTCTAACTGTACCATACTCTCCACGACTCGGGTGTCAATGCGCTGTTGTCCCTGACGCCGGAACGATTGCAGAGCGTCATCCAACTTCTTTTGAAGCCTCTGCTCAATCGTACCAGCATGAAGCTGCGCTAATTCAGCATCTTTCTTGTCGATTTCTGTCGCGTTTTCTTCATAAAGAATCTCACAAGCTCGCAAGTTGGTTTCTTGTTCAGCTTCAGCTGCTTTCCTTGCTGCATCAAGCTTAGCATTGAGTCGCTTCTCGATCCAGTCTGACTGTAGATCTGCGGCAGCTTCGAAGTCATCTTGAACTTGTTTCAGTGCTGTTTGAAGTCGCTCCTCACACGCGACCGCATGCGTAGTAGCACGCGCGTTGATTGTCGTATCCATGCTCGATAACCTGCTATTGATCTGGTCCTCTAGGTCGTTAGCTAGAGAACGAACAGCATCAGCAGCAGAGGCGCGAACACGCTCATGATCGTCTTGTACAATGGAGTTGAAACGCTTATCAACCTCCAGTGCTTGGCGTTCAATTTGCTCCTTCACAGAGGCTTCATGATGGGCACCAATGGCATCAAGATAGTCACGAATGCGGCAACCCAAACGATTTTCCGTGCCCGCAGCGGTTTTAATGACATGGTAGTGAGTATATTGAGCAATCTCGAGTAGCTTTTCATCATTTCGAACTTGCGAGTCCTGCAAAACTCTACCAAGCTCTGCGACGACCACTGCATTGCTGAGCGTGACTTGTTCTTGAACAAAAAGCTGGCGTCGTTGTACACTACTCGTGAGATGGCGGTGGCTACAGCAATTAGGCCGGCCTTGCGGCGCTTGATCCTCGAAATCTTCTGGACCGCAAACAGCTACGACTGCCTCCCGCAATGGGTTGACCTGGCTCTCCTCTTCATGCACGGCGATCGCTGTTGTAGGTTGAAACATTACTAGTGAGCGAACACGAGGAACTTCGTCTTGTGTAAAATCCGCAGTGATCCCTGTCACCAGAGAGCGAGTAGCCTTGGGTTCCAACCGGTCGTGAAAACTGCCAGGGTTGGTTTGGAGTTACAAAATAAAACGGGTTCAAACCATGAAACCGATTCAAACCTGGTTCGACGGTCATTTTGGTTTGGTTTGAACAGGCCCTGGTTTGGTTTGGTTTGGTTTGTTCTAGTTGTGATAAAAGCGGCGAAATCTTCTACCGGTAACTGCATTATCGGACGAGCTCATTTCGTGTCTCGTGTCATTGAGGCCCTGGTAGGCGTACTATGGAACTCTTCGTCCTGATTTATATGGCAATTAACGACTCCTCGGTCATCACAGAATTCACAAGCGTTTCGGAAAAGCAAACTACGGATTGAATACAATTGAAGCGCCGATGAATCCGTGACAACGAGGCTTATTGTTGCTGATGAGTTGAAGACTTATTGCTTCCAACGTGGACGAGCTGCGACGGCACAGACGCAAGATTTAAGCTGCAGATCTTTTCAGGGAAATATTGTTAATATGCATAAATAGCTCTTTACTGCGATTAACCCTTACTTTAATGTTAAGGCGCAATACAGGCAGATGCTGCGGCTGCTTCGCTGCTTCGCAGCCGCAGGAGATGGTCGCGGATATTTTCACTGAAATTAGTAAAGTATGCATTCCAGCTCAAATATAGTAAGCAAATATTCCAAAAAAATTCGTATATCAGCGCAGTTGCGATTTTACTTTTTTAATTAATGTACGTAGTCGCCATTAATAATTAAAATCCGCACGTACGATTTATTTTGGTGCGTCTGTGTTGTCGGAACTACATGTAGGCATCCTGTCGCTCCTGAGAACTGCAAATCCCCCGGACCACCAGTCCGGGTACCCGAATTAACGTTAACAAGTAAATAACCCCCAAACGGATACGTGTACCGAAGATTTGTGGCGTTATCAGTAGCCGTCTTTTAGTGAATAGCCATTTAGTGAATAGCCAAAAAGTAACATGCACTCACAGCACAAAATTCCCTACAGGTACAAATATTACGAGAACCAGTTTAACGTTTAGTAAAACCTAGTTAAACTGGGATAGGAAGCAACGTTAAGCATTCGTCAACAACGGACTTCGCAATCGCTCCATGGTTGGTGCGACGGAGCTCACATCCTGGTGCATGTAAGGCAATGAGTGACTCATCAGTTGGTAATCATTACCAGTAAAAGTCCAATGGGCTTTTACAAATAGGAAATGATGCAAAGTACAGGTCTATGGCCAAGTGCCTTAAAACTGCGTGTCAGCAGAAGCAGAGTGATTACTGTGGAAGCGCTTGCTGATTATACCAATCTTTTGAATGCCTTTATATTTAAGGACTATCATCGGGCCCTGTTGGCGTCAAGACTGCGTCACGGGTATGACACCGTTCATCTACATCTCGGCCGAGGTATTCATCGTGACGTTCTCGAGATGGCGGCACGGACGATGCGTCGTGTGCTCATATCACCGTGGGAGCCGACGATCGAAGCGGTCCCTCTAGGACGGCGCCGCTATCTTTTTTGTTTTTCGATGGCGGCTCGCGTGGTAATCCAGGCCCTGGCGGCTGTGGTGCTGCCGTGGTCTGCATCGGAAACGGACGGGGTGGCCATGAAATCTGTTGGGTCGTTAGCATGTCCTACGCGACCGCCAGCGCGACCAATAACCTGGCGGAGAACATGGGGCTACTGACGGGACTCAATGCGTGCCTTCGTTTTGGCTGGACCCCACTTCATGTGGTAGGAGACAGTAACCTCATCATTCATCAGCAGAAGACGCGGACACCGCCACGCGCCAAGCATTTACGACCGCTGTATCGGCAAAGCCGCAGGATGGCCGACAAATTGGCGGTCAACTCCTGGCAGCACCACCCTTGTGCGCGCAACAGCATGGCAGATGCCCTCGCAAACATGGCGATGGACTCACGCCGCAGCTTTCAAAGAAAACCCAACCGAGTATGTGGCTCCGACTCGACTTGGGACGACGAGTACAACTACGCTTCCGGCGATGTTAGTCACTGCCAGGGGCGGAGCCAGGGCCAAAATGGGGGGGGCATGCCCCCCCCCCATTTTTCGGCGAAGGCGTTTCGATTTTTTTAGATTATTTTTATTTAGACGGCACATGCATGAAGTTCACACTGTTCCTCCGCTTAATTGATAATAACACGGAAGGAAAGAGGAACCAGCCGGCAATCACGACCTTCTTTGTGAAGAAGCCCCGTCAAGAGCCAGAAGACTTTGACATGGCCCGCAGTATTGAATCAGATCCTGGGCCACGACCCCAACCTGTAACGCTGCGCGAAAAACAAGAGCAAGCAGCGTTGGAATGGTGTTCGCTCAACAAAATTCCTGATAGAGCTGAAGAATGTTCCACTGGAGACTTTGTTAGGCGGGATCCTGCTCACAGACCACCAAATTTATTTTTCGTTAAGCAACTGATTGCCGATCATCAGCTACTGCGTGACGTTATACAATCCTACGTTCGCCTCGGTCCTTACCAACCGCAACTCAAGCAATATCCGGCCCGTGACATCGGTGGATGCATGCGTGCTTTTCGGGCCCAGTGGTTTGAAAAAAAAAAATGGCTCGAATACTCTCCTTCGACGGACGCGGTGTATTGCTTATGCTGCTACCTCAGCCGAGAAGTAATGACGCAGCAAAGCGAGCTCACAGTGTATGCACAACCTACAACGGGCTATAGGAACTGGAAAAAGGCCACTACAAAAGACGGATTTGCAAAACATGTTGGGATAAAAACCAGCTCGAAGCACCACTCAGCTCTGATCGATTTCGACAATCGGAGATCCTGTCATAATGACGTTGGTGTGGCTCTGAATTCTCAAAAGATTGGTGAACGACAACAAAACCGGGAGCGCCTGACTTTTTTTCTGGAGATCTGCCTTCTCCTTGCAAAACAGGAAATTGCATTTCGGGGCAGCGACGAAAAGGTGTACGAGCGGTTTAATTTTTATGTAAGAAATGACATCACTGGACTAACGTTTTTTTACAATGCACACGATACGTCACAAAATAAAGACAATTTTCTTGAGATTGTTCAGTTCATGGCACAGCACGCGCCATCGTTTTCTCGCGCAATGTCCTTAGCTGGGGAAAACGCTGTGTACACATCGCCACAAATTCAACGTGAACTGATCAAATGTGCGGCTGATGTTGTTCGAAAGCATATTATGGAGGTCGAGATTGCAGATGGATATTTTTCTGTTCTGGTGGATGAAGCAAGCTGCATGGCGAAGAAAGAGCACATGGCTATCGTAATTCGTTTTGTGTGCGCTGCAACGGGGACTATTAGAGAAAGATTTTTTGGAACTGTCCATGTTCGCGATACGAATGCGGAGACACTGTACGATGGTTTGATAACGCAATTAGAGAAGTGGGGATTGCTTTTGGCGAGCTGTAGAGGCCAGGGATATGATGGTGCGTCCAACATGTCGGGTGATATTACTGGTCTTCAGCGACGTCTACGCTCCCAGTGTCCTTGCGCCTACTACGTTCACTGTTTCGCGCATCGACTTAATCTCGTCCTAGTTGCAGTGACTATGAACACGGTCTCGGTGGTGCAATGCTTCGACACCGTGCAAGGGATTCACACTACTGTAAGTGCTTCGTGTAAAAGGATAGATCAACTTCTTGACGAAGCCGCTGTGGAATTGGAAAAAATGCTTGATCAAGGACATCTAGAATCTGGTAGAGGTTTAAATCAACCAACTTCTACCGAGGGTCTTAGCAAAACAAGGTGGAATTGCAACACATTCGCGCGTTAAGAAAAATCAAGATGCTTTGGGCCCCAATTACAAGTGTGTTAGAGCGTGTAGTGGTCGATGGTGTGAACCCCCACAAACGCGCTGAGGCGTCAGGAATTTTAGAGAAGATGTGGACTTTCGACTTCGTATTTCATATGGAGATTCTCACTGCAGTTTTAGGAAAAACAAATTGGCTGTCCCAATTTTTGCAGAAAGATGACGTCGATATCGTGCCAGCTGTGAATATGACGAAGCAGGTATCCAAAGAACTAAAAGAAATGCTCGATGATAGTTCTATGACTGGGAACTCGCCAAGTTTTGAATCGATTTGGAACTCATCGGTCAACTTTTGCAAATCAATACAAGTTGACGACACCCTTCTCATTCCTGACAAAAATGGCGTGTGGAAACGACGCGTAATGAGAAGTCGGGTGTGTGGCAGGGCTGGAATTCCAGGAGCGGACTCCTCCAGGGATGGTGTCCAGCCTACAAAAGAAGCTCACTATCGTGACGAAGTATACAACTGTATCCTTCGTGACCTGATTTCTGAAATGGATTCACGATTTAGTGGAGAAGTTCTTAGTCTCATGGAATTGTGCGGATCGCTCAGTCCACGTGATAATTTCAAGAATTGGAGCGCTACTAAAATTGTTGAGCTGGCTAAAACATTTTATTCCGATGATTTCACCGATGAGCTGGACGACCTTCGAGAAGAGGCCACTCGGTTTCGCAATCTGGCAAAGATCGACAAAAGGTTCCAAAAATTGAAGACAACGCAACAACTATGCATCCAACTCGTCGGGACCGATAACAACGAGCTGTTCCCGACCTTGCACCGAATTATTAACTTGGTGTGTGTGCTGCCTGTAACAACTGCTACTACGGACCATGAAAAGAATTAAGACGCGGCTCAAAACAACAATGGGAGATCTTTGGATGTCAAACCTGATGGTTTTGGCTATCGAGCGTGATCTTACAAATAGCATCGACAAAGACTCGGTCCTCGAAAAGTTTAAAGCGATGACAAAAAGAAGAATCGAAATGTAGATTGTGGATTTTACTTTAAAAAAATCTATGCCCCCCCCCATTTTTTTAAGGCTGGCTCCGCCTCTGGTCACTGGATGGAGCAAACCAGCGATGAGAACTCCTCGGGGTTCGCGGCCTTTACGCATTAGTGTGTGCAGGTGGCTCTGGTTTACGGCTAGAGCAGTTTCCTAGGGTGGTAGGATAGAGACAACCGCCGACAAGGTCGTAGCTGTCGTTAGCCAAAGAAGTTAAGTGACATCAATGTACCTCAATGCGAAACGAAACGAAACGAAACGAAGGTAATGAGTCTACAGAGCTTATCTAACTGCTAGAACTTCTATAGAAGCGCACATGGATGCTGTCCAGCTCTTACAAATTCACCCGTTTATTCGCATCCTTCGCTAGTTTTTCCCAACTCCAGCAGCGCAACATTAGTACCGTCAACGTACTGACCGCTAAAACATCCCCAATTCCAGTGCCAAACCACAGGCCTTCCACTCCGAGATGGATTGAAATACCAGGTACACCCCACAGGTATTCCAACGCCGTATGCCCACAGTTTGGGACGTTGTTCGCAACCAGTTGTTCTGGCTGGGCGTCCCTGCCGTTGAGTACCTCCCGGACGGTATCCGGTTCATGGTCGCCACTTATGTCGTGGTGGAGCTGGCGGAACCTGGCCTCGAAGGCGCCCTGTACGGCCTAATGACTACCACGACGAACTTGACCACTCCGTTTTTTTTTGGCTGTTGATTGGCTAAGATTGTAAACGCCCAGTTCCACGTGTGGCTCAAGGACATCCAGGCTGACACGTATGCCATTCGCCGCGACGTGACCATCACAATCTGGATCTGCTACGGCATGAAGTTGCTCTCACTGGCGTTCCTGCCGCTACTGCCCCGTCAAAAGGCTGAGACGCAAGAGCTGAAGCGCACGGGAGGGTCTAGCCGAATCATGGCTATGATCACAGTAGGGTACCTTGCATTCGCTATGGACTGGGCAACCATGGTGAACTTGTTGTCCATGTACGAGAGCACAATGTGCTGAAAGATCACCGGCGACTGCGCGCCCAAGTCGTGAAATGGGCGAACTCTGGCACGTTTCCGGAGGTAATCCATGATGGACAATCTTTAGCTTCTTAGGTAGAAAGTTCGAGTTTAATAAGGTTATAATCCACGACTTGATAATATCTTCGGCACCGTGAACGCAGCAGTTCCTTTGGCTCCAATGCATACAACCTTCATAGAGAGAGAATTGACAGATTAAACTTCAATACTTACATGAGCTTCTGCCCGGCCACGATATCGGTTACCTAGGATACTAGGTAGGATCTCGACGAATTCTCGGCATATCGGTAGTCTTGTGTACTGCTGGAACGTGTTGGATGCCCAGCGGCCATGAATCGATCGCCAAGACGCAACGCCGGCACGGTACATGAGATGTACTTAAGTACCTGATAGTCTCAGGCTGAGACCGCGTCAAATGGTACTTACGCGCAAAAATCGAAATAAGTAATTTCGATTTATTTAAGCTGCTGTCAATGTCTTCCTGCCCGGAGAAACGTCCACGGTGATCACCTACTGCTTGTGCTGCGCCGCTCGCCAAGCTCGTCGACAGAGATCTGCCCCTTTGTCACCCCCACTATACCGCTCTGAGTACGTGCAAAGGTTGTTGAGTGGCGGAGCACTACGCCCGGGGACGACCCCAATCAGTAGAAAAGCAACTACGCATTAGCTGATAAGAACTCCTTAAAATGAAAAAATGGTAACAATAGACCCTCAACCTTTCAACAAAATGTTGACAGCAAAAATTAGAAGCTGCAGACTGTTTGCTAAGTTCTGTTGGAATAATGGACTTTACAGAGGAATTAGGACAGAGGAACACGTCACCCCATGTATGTACCAATAGACGAAGCCGTAGGAGCTTCAACGTAGGAAATACGGTAGAAATGAGAAGAACCAGGTCGAGAAGCTTGTAAAAGCAGAAATGTTAATGGAGCAGCAAGGCTTAAATACTGCTCACTAGAAGTTAGTATACGGTCTAAAACAACGCCAATATCTGTGATTACCAACCATTCTGGACTGACATCAGATTCTAGAGTACACTGTCATTTCACTTTACAGTTCTACGGTAAATCATTTTCCGGGGCGTAAGTTACACATTTACCGTAAATGTGTTAGAGTTGCGACAAGCCTTAACTTCCATAAGTTTCGAGCCAACTTAGCAGATGCTGCGGCCGCCATGCGGACGCAGGAGATGCTCTGTAGTGAGCAACTGGACGCCTACCAAAAACTAACGAATCACCCAACATATTCAAATTTTAGAAAACTTATATTTACTCAGACGATTTTTACGTCTGAGTAAACGAAGGGTCGCTGCATGGCAACATATTAGATTTGACTTGATTTCATTATTGATGTTCTTTTTCTAGCAACTGACGCATATATCAGGCGACCTCTAACATATTTCGACCTCTGCAATTTGATATTTAGAGACAAATTTAGAGATTCATTCTATGTCGAGTTATATCCGTTTTTGGTAGGCGTCCACTGGGCTTTAAACACTACATTTATGTCTGTACTTAATTTCAGAGTTTTTTCGTGCAACGCGCGACTATGTTCAAAACTAATTCGGTTTTGGGTCCGAAAAATACCCGATTGGTAAAACAAATAAGCGTTATAATGAAGATTATAGGTGTTTTAGAGGCCAGTAAGGCGTTATGCGCTACGATCTCTGCTTGGGTGCGCAGTTGCTGACACGGCTCTGGGTCTGGAAAGCGCAAAGATAAACTTTCATTTGTTCGTTTTAGGGAAACAGTCACTGGGTCCAATTTGAATATCGTTTCTGGGTCACCAAAAACTTTCTGAACGAAGCACATGCATTAACGCAAGTGTGTGTACCTCCGCAGACTTCAGAATGAAGCTAACCAATTAGTAATTTTACGGAACCCAAACCGAATAGTTTTGAATTATGGACCTTAAACCGAATTCCCCATTTATTTAAAAAGCTATTGAGCGCGTCAAAATCTTGATAGCTCGGGGAGTTACACCAGTCTAAAACCAAAACTTCATTCTCGTATTTACGTAAGTTATGGTTTTTCCCGCCAAAACGTAGGCGGATTGGCTTATGATTTCCGGGATTGATGTAGTCCCGTTATGACAGATTGACTGCTTCCGGGAAAGCGTAAGCGGCGGTAGCCGAATATAACCGGAGACTCCTATTGACCAAAATATACCTATCTAGCTATGCGCAGCACAGAGATTCTTTGACGGCCTCCAGGTTAAAAACAACTACTTTCCGGAGGCCCTCAAGCGCGGTCCACGATCCTGCATGCTATGTTTATATACACATCAAAACCAGCGCAATTCAACGTACAGTGTCACAGGATTAAGGGGGTCAAGGCTACTTAAGCATTTTCGGTAAGCATCGACCACATTTTTGCTCTACATCAAATTGTCTCCGTCTCTCGGTAGCTGTTGGGGAGCGTCGTACCGCTTGTTCGGCGGTACCATACAGTGTAGCCGCAAACGGGTTAACGTTTTTGTTGACCGTCGTGCTCGCTTCCTTGGACGACGCCGTCTCCACCGTCTCGGCCAAGTCGACGTCGGCAGACGTCGACTTGGAGCGGCTGGCCCTCATGGCTGAACCAATGACAGCGGTAGCAGCAGTCCCGAGCCGCATGCCAAATGAACGAGTGGAGGGGTGAAGTATCGTCAGCAGGAGTAGCCGTAGGCCCGAAGGCTGGTCGCCACGGGTGCCACTGCGATAGGTGCGCGCGCTACGCTATAGTGGTCAAACAACATGTGCTCATGAATCGTGATGACCTTCGCGGTTTGTTCGAACTTTGAACTTATCACTTCGTTGTTAACTCAAGCCATAACGCGATGTACCTACATAGTACGGCTTCAGCGTTTCATGTTCTTTCTGTTGGAATGCGTGTTGCAGGCCGTCTTCAACGGCAGGGAAGTTGAAGACGAAGGCCTGGGGACCCTGCGAGCCTGGATCAGCAGCAGCAGGGCTGTGAAGCATAGTGAAACTAAGTATGTAGGGTCTCTGTATGAGAAGCTGCTGAATCCCGCTTAAGTAGTTGACGGGGGGTGCAGCACTAACAGTCAATTTACTTTTCTCTTTCATCTTTCTCCCCCGAGTGTTGGCCGCTGGTCATACCGATCGAGTGCGACTTCCAATAGGGTACTAGAACCAAGTACCGTGAAGATCCTGCTGCAGAAGAAGTGATCCAAGGTGACGAAGCCTCTCAAGTACACGGTGGAGGGGATTCACAAGAACAATGGGATGGACGAGACTGGCAGACCTACAAGTGGGCGATGAGAACCGTCTTTCATGAGAAGAAGCTCATCAAGATCATGGAGGGTTCGATTGTCAAATCGGGGCTCTCGACGGCCGAGAAGAAGGAGGCGTTCGATGAGAAGCAGACGCAGATCATGCACATGGTGGGGACGTCGATGCCGCGGGAAACGCTGCACCAGAATGGTGCAACGCGGAAGTCAGAAGCACGGAGGCAATTTCGGCGGAGCCAGGGACAAGGACAGCAAAAGTGATGGTCAACAGCAGGATGGCGCCAAGGACGCTAAGGAAAAGAAGAAGCTCCGGAAGTGCTACATCTCGAAGCTGACTGCCCTGATCGTGCGAAGGTACCTAGCGGTGGCGGAGCTAATGTGACCGAGCAGAAGCAGAAGTGGCGGAAATGTGAACATCCGCAAAGACGAGAGTGAGCCATCACAGCCAGACCATGAGGGTGCAAATCTCGGAGTGGTGACTGGTGTGGTGGATGCGATTGTGATCGGTGCCGGTGTTGAGGCAGAGGTCAATGATGAGAACTGTGAAGTTGCAAGTGATGATGAAGTTCAAGAGGTAAATAGGACCGATGATGAAAATGAAGTTGCGATTGATACCAGCGATGGTTGGTGGTATTTCGATACAGCGGCTTATGTCCATGTCCCTGGGAACCGGGCCTATTATGTGACATTTACGGAGTACACGAGCCAGTCGGAACGTATTCACGGTGGCATCCCGGCTCTCGCATCGCGCATCGCAGGTGTCGAAACGGTAGCGTTAGTGACCGAAGTTGATGGCTTGCAAGTAGCAGTCGTCTTGGATGATGTTTTCTGCGTACCTGGAGCTGAGCATGGGCTTTTGTTGCCTGGGCTTGCAGCAAAACAAGACCTTCAGTTTGATTATGACCGTGAGACGATGAACTTTCGTGTGATAGATGAAGGACGCACCAGGATTGTTGCCACACCCCAAGAAGCTATATGGGCTTCTTTGTTTCGCGTCCGTCTACTGGAGCTTTTGTTGGTCCACAGGACCAGCCCTGTGTAACGTGACAGATGTTAAGTGGGTCGCGGCTTTGGAGCTCTGGCGTGAGCTACTGGGCCACACGTACCCGCAGTACTTGAAGACTATGGTCGCCCGAAGACTCGTGAAGGGCATGTTGCTGACTCAGCGCCAGCAGCAGGGTCCATGTGACGCGTGTTACGTCGGTAAGCAGAAAAAGAAGGTATATCGCAAGAAGCTGGACCTAGGCTTGGAGCAGCCAAACCAAGTGGTGTACGTTGATTTGTTGATCCCTAGCAAGGATAATGGAACTCGCTACGAGGCAGTGTTGATTATCATGGATGGGGTTTCTCGTTTCGTAACCATGCACTTCCTGACAAGCAAGGCGAGTGAGGGCACGCATCAAATAGTACATTTTATGGTCTGAGCGGCAGGCTAGGAGAAACAAACGTGGTGCAAACCGGCTCAAGTACCCGGCCCAGCAGGTGTGGACTGACAATGGAGGCGAGTTCGTCACTGATGCGATGGACGCCTGGTATGGCTCACATAGGATTGAGCCCATTCGCGTCGGTCCCAAGAGCTCGCAGCTTAATCTGTGCGAGAGGACGCATCAGTCGATTGTCGAGATGACGAAGGCGTCCATGCATCACGCTGGTTTCCCGAAAAGCTTGTGGCCTGAGGCAATACGCAACGCTGTGTATGTGAACAACAGGGTGTACAACACGGATACACAAGGGATACCGTCTGAGATGATGTTCGGTGCTAAGCCTGATCGTCACCACATTCGCAAGTTTGGCGCGCTAGCTTAAGTGTATGTACCTGTTTCACCTGGACGCCGCAAGCACCACGACAACGCGAAGCTAGGTTTTGTTCTTGGCTATGCTGAAGATGTCGAGAACCACGTAAACGTGTCCATTGGTACACAACGAAAAGCCTTCGATCGACTTCAGGTACTGACGGATCGTGAGCTGTGCATTGAGGTATGCGGTGTACCGTACAACTGTAGATGCTGCGCCGCAGCAAGAGCCACCAGCACCCGAAAGCTGCACAGTACCCCGTGAGGGCAGTGATGATGCGTTGTCAGTGTGTTGCCAGGAACGGACATGCGCTCCATAGCCGCGGACAGCACCTGCAAAATCCATGTCGTCAGCCACCGCAATCGCAACTTCGCTCAGGATAGCTGCGGTAATGCCTTCGACTCCTGTAGAGCTTGCACAGCCCCGCTCTGCCTGCGTCGCCTCCCTGCACGCAGCTGAATTATCCTCGAAGGAGCCACTCGGGAGCTGCTCATAGGTAGCAAAACGCTCACTAGCATCCTCGACCCCCTCGAGTTCAGTGGGTTGCAAACCCGCAGACTCCATCTTGTCAGAGCCCCAACAGCAGTTCCCCGCTGCGCAAGCTCAGTGTTTTTTTCCTCACCGGAATCCATGTTGCAATCAGGTTCATTTTCAATTTCAGAGCGCTTGAAATGCAGTGACGCCAGGTCTACATCCTTCACAGACACTTCGTGCCTGTCACGATACACAACATCCTCAGCAATCCGTAAGTCAGCAACGAACTTAGCCGTCCGCTACTCCGTAAAATACACCTTGGTTTACGTCAATCGGGCCGAGTGTGGAACTCGGAGCTGAACCGCTGGTTTCTGAACCATGGCTATCAGCGATCGCTGACTGAGCCCTGCCTCTACTACCGCTTTGAAGGTGAGGTGATCATGTTGGTTCTCGTGTATGTGGACGGCATCACGGTCGCAACCAACTGCGAAGAGAGCAAGTGTAAGTTATTGGAGGAGATCGACAAGGCCTACGCATTGAAAGACCAGGACCTACTGAGTGAATATCTGGGCATCGAGGTCGAGCAGACCCCCGACACCGTGACACTGCGCCAGGGCAAGTACGCACGTGAAGTGCTGGAGACATTTGGGTATGATAACGCCCATGCAGTCGGCAATCCTATGGAAACCAATGTGCGACTTATGCCTCTGGGTGACAACGAAGAGTCGGACACAGGCTTCGAGTACCGTGAGGCGATAGGCATGCATGGCGTCCTTTGCAGTTGTCCTTGTTCTCGTCTCACAACGGCTGCGGATAAAGGCACGAACTTCATCTTTCATTGGTTTCGAATCGGGTAATCGTGACATACAGCTCCCACAGCAGCAGCGGTCAGTACAGTGCCATGCGATAGAAAACTCGACCAGATGTCACCGGATGCCTTGTTGGAGCAACAAAGTAAACGAGCCGCTTTGTTGATGGCAGACATTACGAGGAATAATTGCATTATGCATACGTAAATTTGCCTGAAGTGCGAGAACATCCAATCTCTCCTCTAGTGTCAGAGCCTGGCTGCGATGGGCCTTGATGAACGCTACATCTCGGGCAGCATCTTCAGCGTCACGCCTTGCCTTCTTCGGTTTTCTAGGGGCCGATGCCATCAGTGCGATGAAATCGAAATGTTGCCTTCGGAGCCGTCTATGTTATTTTTGGCTGCTCCGATTTGCGAGCGGATAATCTGGCCTTTCTCGAAACCGATATATTAATCGGAGTGACATATAACGGGATATTAAATACCACGGTTGAAATACGCTTGTATTACTGGCTGAAAGGTCTGCAGGGTTGTAACTAAAGCAAAAGAAATATGTAGCTTCAAGGGTTTTGAGATATGAATCATGGGATTGATCAGCGTAGCATGCCAACTGGCATTCCCGCATGTGGTAAAATGCCAGTACGATCGAGCTAAATTTGATGCCGGTACATCAAAAAGCGTCATTGACGCTGTCGACCACTGTAAATTTCGGTGGGTTACCGCCCAGGCTAGCTGCGGCTCCGTGGACTGTCTTGGTGATGAATCAATCTAACACACACACTGGGAGGCACTGCTCGTCTATAAAGACGACTGCTGAAATCTTAATGGAAAAGGTGTGCTTTGTCTTGAGCAAACAAAGCGCACCGTAAACTAGGCAGATAAATTCATGACTGGAGCAGTTCAGCATTCGTAGTGTTGGTTTGCTACACCGATACGTTTTGGATCACTTGCAAAACGTTTCGTTTAAAAGCAGTCTCCGACTGCCCAAACTGAAAGAAAAGGACCAGACCCCATGAAGCTTTGTCGGATGGTATCGCCACGTTAAGAGAGTGATATAAGCGTTCAAGCGACACAGAAGAATAAAATATAGTATAATAGTTCCAGTCGAGGCCGTATTTGCCCGTGAGCAGCGTTGCGTCAATTTACATTGAGAAATTGATTGAGATTTGCCGTCACGCTATAATTTTAACTGTACAATGTAGGCATTGAATTGTATTCTTGTGATTTGTATAGAGGTCTGTACGGACCATTTGATTGGCTACCCCGCACATACACTTATCAAGTCAAATGTCTTGTACAATACAGTAATCGACCAGGTCCCAAATGCCGCTCCCAATGACGAGAGCCAATCATAAGCGAGATTCCAAATGACTTCAACAAAGTATGGACTGGTTTATCGGCTCCAAAGCCAAGAAAAATCCTTATGGTTTTATTTTTGGCCGGCTGCGCAGCCTTCTCCGCCTTCGCATATTCCGCCCCGCATCTCCAACACAACAGCGCGCTCCGAGCGTGCCGAACGCCGCCCCCGCCGGCCACCCCAGATCCGAGTGCCCCCAGGCGCGCCCCACGCGCCCCACGCAAGGACCCGTCGAAAGCAGCTACAAAACCCGGCAGGGCGGGTGTTGTGCTGCCGGTCTTGGTAGCTGTCGGCCAAGCACGAGGTCGTGCGCGCTCGCTGACGGTATGTGAGCGTTTTTCTATTGTGTATGACTTGTATCGGGACTGACGGGAATCCATGCGCTGTGCTTAAGTTGTGGGATGGCGATGACGTGTGCATTTGCGCCTTGAATTCGATTATCCATGTTGTATGAATAGGAATGTATTAAGCGTTAATACAAGCTAGGTGATCCTACGACTCCAAATCTTTGTGCTTCCATTGGTGACTAGCTAGTGTGCAGCGGTCGACGATACCACCGTTCGCTTTGCGGGTGATAAATGCTGAGCAGAGCGCGTCGTACGCAGAGCGGTGGTCAACGCGCAGCTTTCTACAGCGCTTCCGTAGCGACCCCGCGGTTTTGGATCGGCGTTTACCGTCGATACTCCCAACCGCAGCGTTGACCTTCTTGTCCAAGTCTTCCGCTAGCGTCCAGACACGCTGCTTCCACAGCTGATACGTGACGCCGTCCCGGTCCAGTGGCGCCGTTGGTACGTCTACCTCTCGTCCTGCAGCTATGATCATGATGTTGACGCCTGCCTTGAGGTCAGCGCGAACCAACGGTTGTTTCTTTTGAGTTGCCGTGTGCCACAGCTCCAGTGTGTACCAGTTGTAGAAGCAGCCAGCAAGAGAGTGCGCTTCAACGACGGTGTCAGTGCTCGCCTGCGGGGCCTGGCCAGCACATCGACAAGGAGCAGGACCGTCAGCGTTGGCGGACTTGCTCTCGTGGACCGCGACGAGCTTCTGAAGTGTGCGCTGCATTGCTGCGATGGACGATAGCATCTGGGTGACAGCTGCGGCAAGTATGGTGGTGTTTCCATTGCTGCGTTCACCCAGCTGCCCGAAGTTCTCCGTTTGCCAAGCCGTGCGAAGCTGCCGACCCCAACCATGCACGTGTCCAGCGAGAGCCGAGCTCCCAGTGCTACGTTGTTTGCTTCCAGAGCTTCGTGGAAGCGGTACAGGTAATGCTGCGTGAAGCCTGTGGCAGCCTGCTCCTGCTGGACTGCCGTCGCGACGTCGTCAAGATGGATGAGCAGGGACGCGAGCGCCGCATCCAGGACTAAGGCGTCGACGTTGAGCGTGGTGTCCGTGAAGCCGCTGACGTTCTTGAAGAGCTGGCCGCGCAGGGTTAGCAGCTGGGCGTACTCGAAGCACAGGAAGAAGCTCGATCAAGGTGTCAATCGTGGGCGTGACGCATGGCAGGTGCGGGTCTCGGTATCCAGCGAGGACTTTGCCGACACTCTGGTCCTCGCGTGTCGTGGTACCCACGTACGCGAACGCCTTCGTGAGCGAGTCCAGCAGCCAATCTCCCCAGGTCGAGATCCACTGGATCGCAAGCTGCGGTGAGGCGTTCGCATACGCTGCGGAGCCGCGGCGCAAGGAGTGGCTGCTCAGCCCTGCGGTGAGCGTCGGGGACAGCGGGGCAGATGCTTGGGCTTGACGCTCGTAGACCATGGTAATGACGCCATTAATATACTTAGACACGTTGGTCTCACGCGCTTTGTTGGTGGCTCGTTCCTTGGTTCAGCTTTCTCTTCAAGGTTCTCCCACTAGAGTATAGCTTCGTCTTGGCAGTAGGTCTTCTCTCCTGGCAAACCCGATGCCGCCGCGTGCGGCACTAGTGGGAACACATAGCTGGAAGGCTCCGACGCTCCGACGAACAGCATTCCGAGGCCATGCAGCATACACTGCTCCCAGTGAGTCGCGGCCTTGTAATTCGAGATGCCTTGAACCACCGAAGTCTTGATTCGAGCTAGATGCAGAAAGAGCTCCCCCGACGCCGCCATAGATAGCTGGCTCTTCCTAGCAAAACAGGTATCGATCACTCGACCAAACGTGTGCCACATTAACGTTAGTACAGCAGCGTCATGCAAACTCTTATAACCTGAGCCAACCCCCTTAATCGCAGTTTCCTGCACCAGAACACGCAAGTCGCTGAGCGTGCAGCCTGGAGCTTCACCAGTCTGCACGCCGGCTAGCAAATTTCTCTCCTCAATAGTTGAACCCATTTTGTCGCCTATTTTCGCAATTCGCTTGCTGTCTGACAAGTACAGAGGGTACCGCTCTCGGATCAGGTTCACAACTTGGGACATATAGCCCACAGCAGTAGCCTTAGCAAGACGGCCTCCTCGAGCACTTGGCTTAGTTTGCAAGAAAATGGAGAAGGCAGTTAGCAAAGAGTAAAAGTTTTGACTCGATAGAGCATCAGGAATAGACAGCGACTTCGCAATACTTGCAGTTGACTCCTCATTCATGTTAGCAAGAGCTAAGAATTCGCTGAAGCACTTCATCGCCGCTGCCTCCTGCCCTGCTGTCCCTTCCGGGATCTCAAGCCCTTTCGGCGCCCGCTGCATCTTTTCAAATGGGAGAGGAGAGAAAGCAGACGAGGCACAGCCACCAACGATACAATCATGATTTGTATTGGGAATTTGCGGTCAAATATGAGTAATGCAACATTTACTTTAATTTTTGTATTGGACATTATTCTAGCAAGACTGTAAATTCCCAAAATAATTGGGTAAATGTTGGGATACACACGAATCGATCGTGATTGGCTAAATTCATTGAAGAACTTGTCCTGATTGGATAGATGCAATGACAGAGAAGCGCAAGGAATGCCAAGTTGGGAGAAAGCTTCCTTATCCTACAATAAAATAATTGCATCCAATTTTCTAATTGTAGTTGTTGACCACAATTTTATCAATAGTTTTATTGCAATTTTAATTTACGCAACGCTGCCCGTGTCGTAGCGTAGAAAATTGTGCCAACGATCGTCATTACGCTGTTGTTGAACGGCGTTGCGTGGACCCAGTAGAGCTTAATGTTGCTCGACGACACGACTGTTGAAGACACCGGCGAAGAACTTGTACGCCACAATCTGCTAAATCGCGCGCTTCTGGAGCATCCAGAACGTCGACATGTACTGCCCGAACGCGGTCTTCGTGGAGTAAGAACCACAACACGAACACCAGCGGCGCGCAGATGATACCCGAGATCAGCATGAGCTGCTGGAAGGTGAGCGAGAAGTCGAAGGTGCCAGCGTATTCCCGATGACAGCGGCGCCGAGGGCGGTGAACGAGGTCTTGACGGCGTACACAGCAGTCTGGACACGGCCGCGCTGCTCGATGGGCTCGCGTTGTGCGTACTCAACCACCATAGCGTCAGCTGCCACCTCATATAGGAGATAACCGAAGGACGCAAGCATCATGGGCACCACATACTTTCCAGCGGAGCTCGACGCGATTTCGTTGATGCTGGCAATCTGCTCCGGAGTCCATTCTTCTTCGTCGATGTTGTGCATGGACGCATCGCCGTAGTACGGATCGGGGACAGACATGGCCGCCATGATGAAGAGAATCACGACAGCCGATGACCATGTACGGACGACGGCGGTAGCCCATGATCGGGAAGCAGTCACTGATGACACCGAAGAACATCTTGTAGCACCACGGGATCTGGACCAGCACGGTCGCCGATGGTTGCCTTTATATTGGTTCTTATGCAGATCAGGTCCAGGATTTGAACATGCTGATTGTGAGACCGAATCAAAAGACCTGAACCAAACAGCCACAGCTTTGGATCATGGCATGACTGGGTTCCTTAGCGCATGCTCCGTTCGGCTTCCTACTCTAGCAACACTTCGTGGTGCTGTATCTACGTGAAAGGGTGTGCATTTTGGCCGGTTACCTTGGCTCAATAGGTATTTTGGCAGTAGATCGTGTTCAAAAGCATTGTATTCACTGCTTACATGGACTATCACCTACTACACTGTATCGGATAGGTAGAACGAGTCGCCGCAGCAGTCGAACATGCCTCCCTTTCCTACTTCTCTTGACAGCAAGATTCATTATCTGCAATAGTACACGCTGTTCATGTTTCTAGTGGTGCTCAAAGTCAAAATGCAGTTGCTGCAGTGCGTGCATTGTATCCCATTCGCGACTGGTGTTTTTTTAGTCAAAGCAGTGCACACCTGGTTTGGTTTCCGTTCACACTCTCAGCATCGACACTCCACTGTTGGCAATTAACACATATATTGTAAAATTAGTTTACCAACAAGTAACAGGCACACGTACTTTAGAATTATGTAGCCTAGCTACGGCATGTGATCGACATGTTTCACTCCTGCTTGACTAGGAAAATTATATAGCGTTTCAGCTCGTAGCGAGGTGCCACAGCCACAGCACGGCAACAAACTCTCCAAAGCGAAGACGTTGCACTGCGACCACCCTTACCAGCAGACGGAGTAGCAGCAGCAGCGGCGGCGCCGGCGACAGGACTGACGCGTCTTCGTGACGTCCGACGCAGCCTCTTCCACTGTGCGCCCACCTCGTCGGGCTCCGCATCCTCATGCGTGGACCTCAGGCACCGCCTGACGCGCACCATGGAGGTGTCGTAGACATCTGCCAGCGGGAGCCAAGCTCGCTCACGGTGACAGCCAAAGGTGCGCGCGTTTCCGCTCGACTCGGAGCCCAACGGCGGCGGCAGCCTGAGTACGTGGCAGAAGCGGCGCACGGCGCAGCGGTCAGCTACGCCGACTTGGACAACAGGGCAGCAACGATGTATCCGGATACCTGCGTGGACTTGACGCGCTCCGCACTCACGAGGCATGCCTCCGTCTGCACGAGTGCACGCACAGGTCTGTGCGTCACCTGTTCTTACCGCGACGGACGGCATCTTCAGCTGCACCACATCACTTTTCGCGTCCTCGCCCACCAAATAGTATAGCTTGCACAGCGCAGTATGGCGCGCTGCACGTCGCGCGAGGCCGACTTGACCCATCGATTCCATAAGCCACTTCCTGGCTGACTGCTGCTTGTGCTCTCCTGACGCATCTTGCCCACCTGCTGCCCACTACGATGGTGCTGCTGCATCTTCTCGGCCTCTCCCATGGCCTCCTTGCTGCTCTGCTGGTGGTGCTTGCGCTCGCTTACCCTGGAGCTCTTCATGGCGAGGATCTTGCTCATCTTCCTCCGACGCATGCCGTTGCGGTGTTGCAGGGGCAGCGACCCGGGGTGCTGCAACGGCTCGGTCCGTGGCGATGTGGCTCGGGCATCACCGAGGCGCAGACAGAGGTTAGGAAGCTTGGGTCGTGGTAGGCGCTCGGCTGAGGTTTCAAAGTGAGACTGGGACTTTTACGACTTACGTCGTCCAAAGCATGGCAAATGTGATCCAATCACAAGTTCAAAGAAAAAGCACGCTCTGATCAAATCTAAGACCTGTTCTGCATAAGACCCATTTAAAAATCTTCCGTCGCCGATACGACGATGGTACCCTCTGCGTTGAGGTAGCCTTGAAGCACGGGGTAGATGACGCCAGGGATGATGCCCGCCAAGAAGCCGACGCCAGCGTACTGAGCCAAAAGCCCGACGCACTCCTTCGACATCAAAGATAGTGGTTCTCCTTCACGCAACGCGCCATTTTCAGGATCCGTATCAACCGGCTTGAATGGTGAGCCCATGTTGGAGTACAAGCTCCCGCCGCTTCGGGTGAGCTTGAGATCGGAGATTCGGCTGGATCGGTCCTCCAGCATCGCCTTCACGGTGGCGTTCACCGTGGTTCAAAGGAAACGAGCGCGGATTCCCTGACAATTGCGTAATGAGCCCAAGATTTTCGGGTAACCAACCCACCGCCAGAATGCTGCGAGTTCAATCACAACCGGTGACCCTGGCTTCGACTCCGATCTTCGCCTCCGGACATCTTGCTGCTCCGTGAATTGGTGGCCACCGTCACCCCACGCTATTGCTGGCAGTGCGAAGTTTAGGCACCATGGAGAGTCGTGGTGTTGACGGGTAACGTGCTCGTCATCATATAAGCTGCGCCGACGGCGGCACAAATCACTCCAGACTGAAAAATACTGCTGGCAGTGGTCTACACGACCTGAGTAACCCCCGTCTTGACAAGCCATTGGCTCGAGGCCTACAGTACGCACTTTCATCTTCCTGTATCAGTCACCTACTTGTCAATTTGACAAAGTCCGACTCCGGATCAGTTCCTCATCAGACAAAATGCTGCAGGTAGTGTCAAGGGCTTTCACCCCTCCAGATATAGCCAACGTTAGTAGACGCGAGTATTCACGGTGACTTTGAGCGAGGAAGCGTGGAGTTGGAGACCAGTGAACTCCGTATAGACACTGGTCGACAACGTAGGACTTGAGGGAGTCTTGTGAGGCTGGGAAAAAATAACGAAGTATGTGTATTAGTGTTTCGCGAGCCTGTTGGCGACTTTTGCCTCATAGATCGCCTCGAAGACGGACGGCGCTGCGCGCTCGTCCACTATCCGGAAAGACTCGTCCTGTATCCGGAAGAGACTGCCGACTTCGCAACACGACCTCCTTCAAGAAGGGACTCCCTCCGCTCGTGTGGTGCTCCATCTGCGGATGATCGGCATGTAATGCTGCTTGTTTTGCTCTTGCAGCCGCTTAGAGACCCGAGTAGGCAATCCGTTCGCCTTTCGATAATACTCTCGAATTAACCCAGGCACCGACAGCAAATTTGATGTAGGCTCCCAGGTTATGTCGTCAGCTCTGCCCACCCATTTGCACTTGTACTGCTCGGTGCCGTCGCGGGTTACACGATGATCGATCATTTTCTCGATGAGATGACCTTCCGAGCCATCTTTGAGACGCACTGGCGGTATGGTTGAATCGCGAACACACCCAGAAGTATCCTTCACAAACTTTTTCAGCACCATCGTATGAAACACCGGATGAATCTGCAGCTCATGGGGCAAATTCAACTCGTAGCTGGCTCCGTCATGAAAAATCTTAATCACTTCATAGGGGCCGATCCATTTTGACGCAAACTTTCTCTGCACAGCTCCAACTGTCTTAGTGTTGAAATCTTTCGTTGAGATCAGGACCATATCTCCGATATCAAACTTTTGGTCACATCTCCCCTTATCATAATGAAGTTTCATCTTTTCTGCACTTGATCGAAGTTGAGCCTGCAACGAACGCAAAATACTCTCCAAGTGAGCCACGAACTTGGTTGCAGGCTCTTTTCAGGCCGCAGGGAGCGCTAAATCGGTAGGAATCCTGGGTGCATACCCCAAATCGGCGACAAACGGACTCATCTCAATGCTAGATTGATACCGATTGTTGTATGCGAATTCTGCCAGTGCTAAGTAGCGATCCCAGTCGTCTTGAAAACCACTCACGTAGTGTCATAGGTAGCCGGACAGGATGCCATTGATTCGCTCGACTTGCCCATCAGTTCTCTGGTGGTGTGGTGTGCCCTAGCCAACTTTAGTTTCGTTCCGAGGATGGATGCACACGACGACCAGAATTTCGAGGTGCATTTGGGGTCCCTATCTGAGACGATTTCTGTCGGTAGCCCATGATGTCGAACATATTCTTTCACAAAAAGCTCTGCGAGGTCTTCAGCCGAAATAGTTGCCACAGTTTCAATAACGTGTGCACGTTTCGTCAATCTATCCGCGATGACTAGGATCGTGTCGTAGCCACTAGTAGTTTCGGGCAGGCCTGTCACGAAGTCCATTCCTATTGACGTCCACCGTCCCGTAGGGATTTCCAAAGGATGCAACAAGCCGGGTGCCTTCCCTGTGCGATGCTTGTTTCTCTGACACGACTCACAGGTTGAAATATACTGGCGAATTTTACGGTGTATTCGCCTCCAGTAAAAGCGATTCTGGACCGCCGCAAGTGTTTTTTCCACTCCAGGATGACCCGCACTCGCAATATCGTGCAGCTCCCACAAAATAGTATTTTGGAGCTCCTCTGCATCCTGGGGAATGAAAATACGGGATTCATCTCCACAAACCCATCGAACAAGATTTTCTTCTTGGACGAACACAACTTTACCAGGACCCCTCGGTTTTTCAGGTAGTTTGGTCCTGCTGTACCCCGCTTTTACTTGAGCTGCTCGGATCATTGCCAATAGCGACTTTGGCTGCAGTCGCCTTGCCGCATATACCTGTCTGCTTCTGCTGCAAGAAATCGATCTCAAAGTCAGGACGTCGACTCAAGGCGTTTGCTACCGTATTGGTGGTCCCAGGAATGTATCGGAAACGCAAATTAAATTCAGCGAGTAGATCATACCATCGACACAGACGGCGATTGATGCTCTTCTGCGTAAGAACGCGCTCCAACGAATGATGGTCGGTCTCCACTAGGCACCCTCCATCGCGTGGATATCTGCAGGCAATGCACAATCGCCAGCATCTCTTGCTCATGTGTGGGGTAATTCAGTTCTGCTTCCTTCATTTATCTACCACAAAATGCGATGGGCCCATCCGCACCTTCACTTGTGTGCTGGAATAGCACCTCACCCACCGCAAATCGAGATGCATCGGTCCTGATGCAGAATGGCTTAGAAAAATCGGGTAGGGCGAGAACAGGAGTGTTGCTCAGAGCCGTTTTAAGCGACTCAAACGCTGTTGCGTGTGCTGGGGTCCAGTCCAGCAATGGCTTCTTTCGCGCCTTCACCAATTCAAACAGTGGGGCGCTGATTTCCGAGTACGCCTTGCAAAATCTCTGCACATACACCGTAGTCCCGAGAAACGACTGCAAGTCGCGCACATTTTTTGGTTCAGGCCACTCTTGGATGACCCGAACTTTATCAGGATGGATGCGCACGCCTTGACGACCAACAAAATCTCCTAAACAGGGAATTTCCGCTGCACACAATGTTGATTTTGAGAGCTTCAAATACAACTTCTTCTCGCGACAGCGTTCAAACACCTTTCTTACAGCTGCCAGATGCGACTCCACGTCCTGCTGCTTAGTGAAAACGTAGATATCGTCAAAGTAAGTGGCCACGACGTCACTTAGGTCTGCGAAAATGCCCTGCACAATCCGGTTGAAAGTCGCCGGCGCATTGCTCAGTCCCATCGGAATAGCAATATACTCGTAAAGGCCATCCGGCGTTTGAAAGGCAGTGTACGGAATATCCTTTTCTCTCATGCGTAGCTGGTAGTACCCCGAGAGAAGATCGAAACAGCTCATCCAAAACGCTCCACTCATTTTGTCAAAGATTGCATCCTTACGTGGCATTGACGTGGACTGGCGGATTGTACGCTCATTCATCGCACGGTAGTCATGCACCACTCTCCAGCCCACAGCCTTCTTAATACAAAAGGTGGGTGCTGCGTGTGGTGACTTGCTCGGACGAATAAGCCCTGCTTTTAACATGGCTTTTATCCATTCGCGAAGAGCTGCTTCCTGGCTCGGGCTTAGTCTCCACTGCTGCCGATATACTGCCCCAGTACCCTTCTTGACCTCCATCTCGTGCTCGCCATGCACAGGAGGCCCGATGGGCAACTCATCACGGAATATCATTGGAAACTCCTTTAGCAGAGGGTACCCTGGGTTATCTTTGAAACTTTCGAGATCTGTCACTAGTTGACGGTGCTGCTTCTCGGTTGCTACAGATGCCGATGCCACTGACCGCGAACATCCTTGCTCCACTAAAACTTCCACATAAAGTGCATTTACAGTCTCAGGGGGTATTAACGCCACAAACTCCACGTCGGACTTGCGAACTAACGTTCGGGCGGCTTTTAGCGAAACATGCTTGGTAAATCCCCACCTAGCACAATAATGTGCACTCTTCTCGGACGGTAGCTCTGGTGGAGTCGCAGCTTCGTGCGATACGCGATCTCCGTCCTTCTCAGAACAAACAGCTCGCGTCGTTGGCTTTTTCCACCGCTCCAGTTCCGCGCGATACTGATCTTTGCTATAAATTCTGTCTGTTTCCCAGTCGATGATCGGTACCATTGCCCGTTTCCACGGTACGCCCAGCATCAAATCACACTTGTTAGGAACGTAACATAATTTGAAATCGAACACGAAAGGCTCAATGTTATCGACCACGATCGTCAGGGGAACGACTCGATTCGGCACTTGCTCCGTCTTGCCGTTTGCATACGTGACTACACCGCCTGCTCCAGGTTGTGCTTTCGCACAAAAGCTTCGGATACGCCACAGAAATCTGCTCCTTCATCGAAAAACGTCCGGCACGGATGCTGCTGGTCACCTCTCACGCACACAGTGTCCTTAATCAGATACTTAACCGGCTTCGGCAGCCTGCTGTACTTCTGAAAGTACACGCGATTCTCTGCTTTGCCTGGGTCGAACACCCGGGACTGTGAGTGGGGGTTGGCTATGTCAGGCCCCGGGATGCCATCCCCGCGACCTCTTAGTTTAAATCTGCCTTCAGCTGTGCCATGTCCGCCTGCAGTGACGCCATCATTTCCAGCAGCCGGTCCGTACTGGAATTTAGCGGCTCCGAAGTCGTCGACGCGGCGTTATTTTTCTTGTTCGGGGTGTAATTTCCAGCATTTTTCGCGCGTGTGACCTTGCTCCGTGCAGTACGTCGGCGTGCAGCGAGGAAAATCGGGCTTCTTCTCCGTCGTTGCTGGGTTTGGCTTGCGGGTTTTACTCGAATCTTGGGAACCTTGGCTTTTAGAGGTGGAGCCCTTCTTAGCCCCAGCATCCGCGGTGTTTTCACGTGGATTCATCGAGCGAGCAGTACCCACAAGCCCTTCTAGCGTTGTGTGTTGCTTGGTCTGCAGAAAGTTTCGGAGTTCCTGCGAGTGGAGACCCTTCTTGAACAGGATCATCTTGAACTTAACAGAGACTTCTTCTGTCCGCGAAAGGCGGATGAACTCCTCAATGTACTGATCCAGAGAGCGTGTACCTTGGGTGCAATCGAACAGACGACCAATCTCGTCCTCCTCGCGAGACTTCGTAAGAAAGCGCTGCCTCAACTTCTTCACGACACAACTCCAACGCCACTCTCCAGTGTACTCCCGCACTAGCCATGCCTTGGCTTTGTCTTTTGTGTGATTCATCATCAGTTGCCCCACCCGGACATCGACTTGTGGCTGCCGTAAAAACAACCCAAAGCCTCCGTACCACAAAATCATATTGCGGACGTAGACATCAATATCTTCGTTGTCTTCGCCTGCGAAAATGGGGGTCTCTTTCTGCCTTAAGCTCTTAGCGATTCGAGACTCCAGTTCTTCACTTGAGTACTCAGGCGTGCCTGGCGGCATATTGCCGAGCACGTCCCACTCAGGATAAAGTTCAGCATCGTTAGCAGATTCAGATCCAGTAGCTGTTGTGTGCGCGCTGCCTGCGCGTCACTCTCATAGTGCCGAGCCTCCACTCGATTCGCAAATGCTGCGACGGACTCGGTCAGCAGGGTTTGGTCCCTCTGGACAGTGTTTAGCACGTTCTCCCACCGAGGTAAATTTCCCAGAAGGTCGCGAACTGCGCCAACCTCGTTGCTGGTGAGTCAAGACGACTGCACACCGTCTTGATCCGCATTAAAGTCGTCGATATTGACTCCCTGTCTGCTGTCCATTGTTGCCTCAACACGAAAGCTCTCGCGCCTTCTCCAGATATAGCCAACGTTAGTAGACGCGAGTATTCACGGTGACTTTGAGCGAGGAAGCGTGGAGTTGGAGACCAGTGAACTCCGTATAGACACTGGTCGACAACGTAGGACTTGAGGGAGTCTTGTGAGGCTGGGAAAAAATAACGAAGTGTGTGTATTAGTGTTTCGCGAGCCTGTCCAGTTTGCAAAGTTCTTGTATACAGCAGAAGCACCCACCTCTCCACACCCTGGGCTCAACTCGCTCTCAAGATCGAGTTGAAGTTGATTTCGTAAGTTCTCACTGAATATAATACGCGGTTTCCCCCATACGACTGAGTTACGAGGAAATGTGCGTGAAAGTCAGCGTAACGATCCATTTGAGTGCATAATTCTGGTACTACAACAGCAACAATCCCTAACAAGTTCTAAATCCTGGGCAGCCCACTTACGACTTGGGCGCGCAGCCGCCCGTGATCTTCCAGCACATTGTGGTCGTGTACATGGACAGCAAGTTCACCATCGTCGCCCACACAATGGCGAATGCAAGGTACCCTACGGTGATGATGCCCATAGTTCGGCTGGACCCACCCGTGCGCTTCAACTCTTGGGTCTCAGCCTTCTGGCGAGGCAGCAGCGGCAGGAACGCCAGTGACAGCAGCTTCATGCAGTAGCAGATCCAGATCGTAATTGTCACGTCACGACGGACCAAAGTGGTGTCAGCCTGAATATCCTTCAGCCACACGTGGAACTGGGCGTTCACGAGCTTCGCCATCGAGCGACCGAACGGCGTCGTCAGATTTGTCGTGGCAGTCAGCAGGCCGTACAGCGCGCCTTCATGGCCAGGCTCGGCCAGCTCTACTACGACGTAAGTGGCGATCATGAAGCGGACGCCATCGGGGAGGTACTCGATCATAGGCACACCCAACCAGAACCACTGGTTGCGCACCACATCCCAGACCGTGAACATGGTCATGAAGGAGTCAACGGACAGAGCTCCGCACATGGTGACGATAATAATCGTCCGCCAGTTCCAGTCGAGACCGTACTTGCCCGTGAGCGCCAGCGTGATGGCGTAGAAGATCGTGCCTACAATCGTCATAAAACTGTTGTTGAACGGCGTTGCGTGGACCCAGTAGAGCTTGATGTTGCTCGACGACACGATGTTGAAGCTGTTGAAGACACCGGAGAAGAACTTGTACGCCACGATCTGGTAAATCGCACGCTTCTGGAGTAGGGTCCAGAATGACGACATGTACTCGCTGAACGAAGGCTTATCCCTCACGCGCTCTTCGCTCAGCAAGAACCACGAGACAAACACCAGCGGCGTGCAGATAACACCCGTGATCAGCATGAGCTCCTGGAAGGACAGTGAAAAGCTGAACGATCCAGCGTACTCCTCTCCATTCATCAAGAAGGCAATAACCGCGGCACCCACGGCGGTGAACGAGGTCTTGACAGCGTACACCGCAGTCTGCACACGCCCACGTTGCTCAATGGGCTCGCGTTGTGCGTACTCAACGACCATAGCATCCGCAGCCACCTCGCACATCAAATAACCGAACGAGGCGAGCATCATGGGGACGACGTATTTGCCAGCGGAGTTCGGGGCGTCTGCGTTGATGCTATCGATTTGATCTTCGGTCCACTCTTCCTCATCGATGTAGTGCATTGCAGCATCGCCGTAGTACGGAGCAGGTATCGACATCGCCGCCATGATGAAGAGAATCGTGATGCAAAACAACCAGCCCATGACCATGTACGGACGGCGACGGTAGCCCATGATCGGGAAGCAGTCGCTGATGACACCGAAGAACATCTTGTAGCACCACGGGATCTGAACCAACACGGTTGCCGACACAACCGTCGTTCCTTCGGCGTTCAGGTATCCCTGCAGCACGGGGTAGATGACACCGGGGATGATGCCGGCCAAGAAACCAACGCCACCGTACTGGGCCAGCAGACCGATGCACTCCACGGACAGCAGTCTCAGCGGCTTTCCCTCGCGCAACGCGCCGTTCTCCATGTCGGGCTTCACCGGCTTTGCGGGCGTGTTGTGGTTGGCGTAGGTCGAGTCATCCGGGTTGCGGTGGATGCTGGAGATGGCACTGAGGCGGTCCATGCTGACGGAGTGCTTGTTGACTTCCGCCATCCTGGTGTTCCGAGCACGCGCTGAGGCGGGGAGAGAGGAGTGTAACTCGGAGCAGGACAATTCAATACTGAGCCCACCAAATGACCTCGTGGTCCCGGTGGTGAAGCCGCGCGCGACTGGCTAGGTGGGCTGCCTCCTGCCATGCACGCAGCTCCGACGGCGGTCGCGCTCTGGGGTGGGGTGGGGCAACATCAATTCACGTGAAAGGGTATCCAGAGATTGCGCGGAGCAGCACCAAAAGGAACAAGCGCTTCGTAGCCAGGTCGAAGAGCGGGAGCCGTGCTTCCTGTTGCACAGGCTGTGACTGTGAGTCTGCTTTTCTGGCCGCGTCACATGAAATATTTAGGCTCCAGGTTCCCCTTTCACTTCGGTCTGAAAGCCTTTCAGAGTCTGAATCAGACCGAAGCCCAGCTTCACCGCTTTGGCCCGGATGTACAATTGCACCGGCTTCGACAGCAGCAAGATCGGTTCCCGCCGATCGGCACACCGGCTGTGGATCCCTTCGTTGCCACTTTCCACGGTCTCTGCAACTGCTACTGTGCACAGCGCAAGATCCCCAAACAAACCCGCAGCACCACCGATTCAAAGTGAATCTCTTGATTAAAATTGAAATCTTCTCGATACAAGATAGGTAATGAAAAAACGTCAAATGTTGTGGGCTTTAGGACAAAAGCAGATTTTGATTGGCGAGGCCCACGCACGTTGATCAAAGCCGGGTGGTTGCTGTACAAGTCCTCGTTGACGTCACCGCAACGCAACGAGCAGAGTTGCAAGAGACGTCCGTCATCTTGCAAAACCACTGGCCAGCATGCCACGTCGGGGCTGCGCCTTGCTGCTGTGGGTTGTCTGCACGCGTCCAGCATGCTTCTGTCCGAGTGGCTTGAGAGCGGCTGTTGGCGACACTTCGCTCGCGGTTTTTGCAACGCAAAGGCCCGAAGTCCGGGTCGCCGCTGAGAGCCGTACAGGCGCAGAAGTGGCCACCGATTTTGCCATGTCGAGAGCTCAAGTCTTCGCCGCCACTTGCTGCGCGTTATACGTACACACGACAGCCACATCCGTTGGCGGAGGTTCATTTGTCAAGAGTCTACCCACGCCACAATGGGCGTACGTGAGGAGCGCAATGCTCTCTTATCCAGCCGAGGGGATTCGGGGATCGTTGCGGTGGAGTACGGCTCCGTGCCCACTACGCCAACTTCTCCGAAGTCCTGTGCCGACATTGACGACGGAGCGCTGAGAGATGGACCGCCTCCACGTCTGCTGTCACCTGAAGTGTTAGCTCTGCTCATGCAGTACGCCGGTATCGGCTTCGTCAATGGGGTACTCCCAGCCGTCATCTACCCCGTGTTGCAAGGATATCTGAACGCCGAAGGAACCATCGTTGTGTCTGCGACTTTACTGGTGCAATTGCCATGGTCGTACAAGATGTTCCTGGGAATCCTGAGCGACTGCTTCCCGATCGCGGGCTTGCGTCGTCGGCCGTATATGCTCATAGGGTGGCTGCTGTGCTGCTGCATGCTCTTCCTGATGGCCGTCTTCCCGGAGGCCGCTCCTTACTACGGAGATCCAAGCATGCACTTGACAAGCCCAGACGAGTGGACGGAGGCCCAGCGCAAGACCATCAACCCGCACGCACCTGATGCCGCGGGGAGGTATGTGATCCCCATGATGATGGCTGCGTTCGGGTATCTCCTGGTAGAAGTTCCCGCCGACGCCGTCACGATCGAGTACTCACAGCGCGAGCCGACTAACACTCGTGGACACCTGCAGTCGTGGATCCACAGCATCCGCATGGGATTTAGCGCACTGGGTGCCCTTGTGGTGGCAGTCGCGTTCAACGGCGTAGAGTACGGCGGCTCCTTCGACTTTTCGCTCTCGTTCCCGCAGCTGATGTTCGTCATGGGCTGCCTCTGCTTGCCGCTGGGACCTGCTGCTTGGTTCCTCGTGTATGAGAACCGGGTAGAGCTGCCCAAGTTCCGCTCGTATATCTCTCAGTTCTGGAAGGTCCTCCAGAAGCGAGCGGTGTACCAAGTCGCGGCGTACAAGTTCTTCTCGGGCGTGTTCAACAACTTCAACATCGTGTCCTCCAGCAACATCAAGCTCTGCTGGGTCCACGCGACGCCGTTCAACTCGAGTATCATGGCTATCGTAGGGACCTTCACGTACGCCGGCACCCTGGCCGTGATGGCACAGCGTGGACTGCACTGGAACTGGCACGTCGCCATTGCAGCTACCGTCATCTTTGGGGTTATCACCGACTGCATGATGACAATGCTCGTCACATGGGACATCATCCGTAGCCAATGGGTGTGGCTCGGCGTGCCGGTGATCGGAGAAGTCCCGCACGCGGTCCGCTTTATCGTGAGCAACTACATCGTGGTGGAGCTCATCGAGCAGGGAACTGAAGGTGCACTGTACGGCTTGTTGACAGCCACCAACCACGTGGCCGCCCCGTTCGGTCGCACCACCGCCAAGATCATCAACGCGCGCTTCCACGTCTGGCAGGACGACATCCTGGCCGACACGTACGAGACGCGCCGCGACGTGACGTACACGATTTTGCTCTGCTACGGCATGAAGATGGTGTCGCTCATATTCCTGCCCTTGCTCCCGAACCAGAGGGACACCACGCAGGCTCTCCGTCGGCAGGGAGGCGTGAGCAAGCGCAAGGGCATGTGGATGGTGGTGATTCTCATGGCTGCACTCGTGTGGTTCACTGTCGTGAACGTGCTCAGTATGAATCCGGCAACCGAATGCTGGGCCATCACCGGAGGCTGCGAGCCTGGCTCGGACAACTCCATCGGGCCACTTCAACCATAGCAAACGCACTTTGATAAATCACGGTAAATCAATCATTGCGTTTATACTACGTAGTACAGTATATGAGACCGCGTCAAACGAAAAAATGCTTACGAACCTAAGTACGAATCGCGATTCAAGCACATCAATCGAAAGAGGGCTGTCTTGTGCTTCTTTTGAGCTATCAAACGCTCACAAATGGGGGGTTTCAAAGTAGCGATTTTTTGGACAGATCTTTTGCAAAGGATGGGTCTGATCTTTTGACCATCGCAGCGTCGTATCGCGACGTTTGTTTTTCGGTTTTGCTATGGCCTAAGGATTTGCTCTTGGTCCTCCAAGCTGGAGGCCAACGCTCGCAACCGGAGCAACAGCTTGAAGCCTCCGCTCGTGAACCGAGCAGCAGCTAGCAGCTGACCAAGGCACTGCCCGCCAACCCGGCGTCTTTGGCGTCATGTTGGTGTGCGTGCTAGGTTGTCGGTATGACAGTATGTGCGCGGCGCCCGGCCTGCTGCTCTGCGTCGGCTTCAAGCGGCGTCTTGGTGCCGCTCTATGGATGACTTTTGGCCGTCACCAAAAAATAAGCTCGGCAAAAAATCAGACAAACGATGAGCCTCCGAAGGCTCATCGTTTGAAAAGATCAGACAAAAAAATCGCTACTTTGAAACCCCCTATTAGGGTTTCGTGGAGTGACACCGGTCTGAAAAAAAGATCTCCATTTTCGGACCCCCGAGATCCCTGATGTTATTTGGGGCGTGATTGAGAATTATAAGTTGAAATCGTAGCCTGCTAGCTCTGTAATAAAGTTGCGCCTGAAGTCACATCGTAGTCGCGGAGCTTGTGCAGTGTGCCGTTCCGCCAAGCTGGGGGTGAAAGACTTTCAGAAGTTCAAACGGAGTAGCCACGCACGTTGAAAGCCACACTTGGCCACTTGGTGACCAGTATGATACGTACACACTTGCTCAAGAAAATTATGAAAGTATGCGTATTAGATCGCCTTACTGGTATTATTCTTAAAAAAGCGTCTCCACTTTATGCTAGGCCTCGAAGGGGTTTGAACCCGTTCTCGACCCAAAAATTCTTAAGTGACCCGAATCGACGATTACTTGATTCATTCCATTTCTGGGCTTGCTCACAGAAACGAAACTTTAATTAAAAACTGGGCCTCTTCGTTGGGCACTTGCCTGATCGGCTTAGCCGTAGTTTGTTTTTGATGTAAACCAGGTTTTCCAGCTTAGACATGAACACACGGGTTCTACAGACTACGACGAAAATATCTGGCAAGATGAAGTCCGGTAGACAAGGTCGTGCAACGAACAACAAGAAATTCGCCAGCCAATATGATGTGCTGTTTTGTACTTCATAGTTTTGTGACAGTTGACGCGTATTTTATGTCGTGTCACAGTAATCTCAAATTTTACATATACGTTAGAATCGCCAGGTGTCGAGCCGCGCTGAAGGGCAAGATCGTATGCAACCCGAGAAAGTCGAAATTTACGTTTTTTGTCGAAAGAATGCAAGAATGCAGCCCGTGCTACCTTGTTCGTCGTAGTAGCATGCATCGTATAGCTAGCGTTGAGCTCAATGTTAGGCATACGTCCTGATGATGCTGATCGTGAGCCCAACCACAGCTTCCAATAAACTATACGGGCATTATCACAGCACTACGTCGTACTTGTATAATATTACATATTATGTAATATGTTCAGAGCACTTAAAATTGTACTTCGAAGTAGTATTTTACTGACCCCATTGGCTTTGATACTGTCGACCCTGTCGTATTGTATGACCTCCTCTTTCAGACACACTACATGTAGAAGATGATATTGCAAACGTATTCCACATGCATAGTTCTATGAGCCGGTTGACTACGAGACTGAAACCGATTAATTGGTCATATAAATTTATCCTGGAAGAGGGAATTCCTGCACATTCATTGGAACGAGTCTTTGTGGATTAGGCACGACTTCCACGAATAATATTAAAGTTGTGCGAGCCAAGGTAGCTTGCTTGCTACTGTTTCTATTCTTATTTGCCGAACCCCTTTTAGGCAAAAGCAAAACTATCTTGAGATTGACAGGATACCATGTTGTCACTGAATACGATGTATCCATATTTATGATGATTCCTTCAGAAAACGCTTTATACCCATACACAGCGGCAAGTAGAGCTTTGGCATATGCATGTATCAAGTGAAAACTAATTACACCGATTTATTGCTGCTAGCCAATACGCTGGCAGAAGTTGCGACCTCTTAGTCAACTGCGCTTCGTTTAGATCCTCGAGCCGCTTTTGTTTTTTAAAGGCATGTTTTGTTTTTGAATGATTGATCTCGACAAGAGCCCATCGAGTTTGGTTTCATTTTGTAGCATTTTATCGGTCCGAACTACCCCATCAAACAAAAATCTTTGTTTGAGCTTGCAGCAGACGAACCGAAAGCACTTTACCAGGTATGTACTCCCCAACTTGTGAAGTTGAAGCAGATGCAGCGTGTTCAAGCTGTAAAATGTACTACCGGCGGGACCAGCGCTATAAATTCGTCGATTTATTGATGCTCGTCACGATGGCAGCTAGTCTGAGCGACATGCATCCACAATAGCGGTCTAGTACAGGTACAAAACTAAAGAAGAGTACATCGTTTCCCTGTAAGGGCATCCGTACAAGCTAGCTTCGAACTGCGAGACCCCCCCCCCCCCGGGCCCACCACCCGGGTCCCCAATGGTGGCTTAGCGTCTTTTTGTTTGACGCGGTCTCATATTCAAGTGTGTCAGTGCTCTATCAAGCTATTCATACAAATGTGAAGTACCAATGATTTATGATACCGAATTATAATAACAGGAGTGATACCCAATCAGAAGTCATTATTCGTGTGGCCATGCTGCGTGCTATCGCGACACTTCGACCTGCATTGACGCGCCGCGTCCACGGCTCGGCGTCGCTGCTACAAGCATCCAACCCCCTCGACAACAACCCCAGCTCTTCTCAAGACAATGGCGGAGGTCTGGTTCGACTTGCGAAGCTGATGGCTCAGAAGGGGCTTTGCTCTCGCCGTGAAGCGGAAGCCTACATCCAGGCTGGAGATGTCCTGGTCAACGGCGAACGGGTGCAGGCAGACTGGCTCAAGGTACCTGCTGACAGTGACGTCCGCCTGGACTTCCGAGCCCAGCGTCATCAGGACAAGAAGGTCACGCTGGTGCTTAACAAACCGTTGGGCTACGTGTCCTCCCAGCCGGAGCCCAACAAGACGCCGGCAGTGCGGCTGCTCAGCTTTGAGAACGAGTGCCGCGAGCTGAGCCGCGTCAAGCCGCGACAGAACGTGGAGCCTGTGAGTCTGTGGAAGATGGCGGTGTGTGGCCGTCTGGACGTGAACTCAACAGGTCTACTGCTCTTCACGCAAGACGGGAAGGTGGCCAAGAAGTTGCTGGACCCCAAGAGCGGCATCGAGAAGGAGTACCTTGTCCGCGTTGACCTCAATCTGGACCCGATGACGGATGCTATCCAAAAGAAGATCGAGGTGCTGCGTGCCGGTGTGACGTCTGACGAAGGAATTACGTATCGCGCCAAGTCTGTGGAGGTGCTGAACGCCAACCAACTGCGCGTGATTCTAACGGAAGGCAAGAACCGACACATTCGTCGCATGTGTGAACACGTCGGACTGCGGGTCATGGCTCTCAAGCGCGTACGAATTGGAGGGCTTAAGCTCGGGTCACTGCCTGTTGGACAGTGGAGATACTTGCAGCCGAATGATAAGCTTTAGAATGAAGACAAGAACGTTTGTTGAGTGGATCTGTACGCTGATAGCGGAGAAGTAAATGAATACGGCTCATGCGCGAATCGGTGCTGCAGAACTCAGGCGCCGCCACGTGCTTACTTGAACTCATGGACACAGGAAGCATCGATCTGTACAGCATAACCAAAAGTCGGTAGCGTTTAGATCGTCAATTTATGCAGGAGCAACGACCTCAACGTGCAGCAGACCTTGTGCTCCTTAGTGAAGCGGACGCCCTCCTTTGCTAATAACGTCCGCTTCTTCTGGATGCAAGGCGATTCTTCTCCAGTAGCGCCTAGAATCATGCGTGCACATGCTTAGCAGTGACCATTATTCAGAGCTCACTCTTTCAACTCACCTTGAAACCCGCCGATGTCCAGCGAAGCCGCAACAACTCGGTGACACGGCACTTCAGGCGCAAATGGGTTTTTCTGCATCAATAAACATTGAGAGATCCCTACTCTTTTTCCGTTCGGCCGTAGGCTAACTGCAACTTACGCGTAGGGCCTGGCCAACACATCGTGGGCCAGAGTGGAGTGCCTCCGCCACACCACCGTAGGTGCTCACTTTTCCTGCCGGGATCTTCAGAGAACACGGGCTAAGCTGTTGCCGGCCAAAGCTTACGTATATCATAGCGTTTGGACTGGACGCACCGTTGAAATGAGCTCGTACACCCGCGATTCTACCTCGCAGGAGAATCCACACATGCTCACAGTCAAGCTTTCAAGACGATTCCAACGAGAAACGAAGTGTGCGTCGTCTCACCGAACTCGGTGATTTGCTTGCCGCGCCACAGAATGTGCTGCGTGGGCTTGGGCTTGCTCTTGGTCGTGATGCCGGGCTTGCGCTGCTTCGCCGTCTTGGCGGGCGACTTCTTCGCCTTGCTGCTGCGAAGCGTCATCTCCGCAAATTCGATTGTGTGGAGGCTTTGTTCAGTCCCATGTGTCCATCTGGCGCCAAGTGTCGAAAGTCGCGCAGACGGTTGCGCGAAAGCCCCCAGAGTCAAAGTGCAACAACCAGCAGCGTAAACGAAAGCCAAAGCGAATGGAACACAACCTGACGCTCCTTAGATTACCAAGCCTGGTGCTCCCCGAAGCAGGAAGTCTCTATAGCCACCGCAGTTCTCTGTTGAGAGCGTCACCCGCCAGCACCTTCCTGCTCCTGTCCACCTCCACTGCTGGACAAGAGATGCCTAACTCAATCTACCGTCTCTCGACCTCAATGGCGAGGCTCACCCACTTCTTCTTGGACGGGCCCACCTTCTGCTTCTTCTCCTCGTCAGCCTCAGCCTCGCCGGCAGCCTCCTTCTCCTCGTCCGCGGCCGACACCACGGCGCCCGCGGCGTACTCCTCCTCGATCGCGTCGTCCACACGCACCTTGACCGTGTGCTCGCCCAGCGTCTTGATGGGCGTGGGCAGGTCGATGCGGGCCACGCCCACGATCAGGCCGTGCTGCTTCTCCAGCATGTCCGAGATGTTCTGCGCGTTCACCTCGCTGTGCAGCTTGACGTCGGCCTTGCTGGCCGTGTGGCGCTTGAACACCACCTCGACGTTGCTGAGGCGGTAGATGATGGCCTCCAGCTCATGCTCCTTCTCCAGCTCCGACTCGTCCACCGACTCCTTGTCCCCCTTGTACTTCTCGCGGTTGGCGTCCGTGGCATACACCGCCAGCTTCTCCGGGTACAGAAAGTTACGCGCGTAGCCCGCCTTCACGGACACCTCGTCGCCGCGGAAGCCGAGCTTGGGCACGTCCTCCTTGAGCACCATGTTGACGCGGTGTCTGCCAGCCACAGATTTACCAGTTGAACATTAGTTTTAACGGTGATTCTACAGGTATTTTGGTGCAGATTTCGAGCAGATCGAGATGAGATGAGCGTGCACTTACGCGAAGGAGCGAGCCAGCAGCGGCTTGACGCCCTGCGGCCGCTGCAGCACCGACACCAGCTTCGTCGTCGAGCGCGCCAGCATCTTGGAGAGCTCCCTGAGGTTATGACAATCAGGGCCACAAAAACACCGAGTGGGTTTCGACCAATCAAAGAGGAGGTAGAATTTTGGTGTGTTTCACATTGAATACAGCCATCAGTGTGAAAGATACTGCGTGGGCTATTAATTTGCCAGCATGGCCGAGGCGACGCAGAGGCTGCAGGCGATGCGTGGCGACAACGCGCAGCTCATGGAGACCAACTTGTTGCTGCTGATGGAGATCCGCGAGACGGACACCGAGATCGACACGATGCGAATCCAGCTGCGCGCACAGTGCGACACCCTGCAGAAGCGCGGGATACAAGTACCCGAAAACTTTACGGAGCTGCTCGCCCAAAGTCTGCAAGGCAACCAGAGGCCAGCACCTGCAACAACTGAGCAGCAATAGGATCTTGCAACGAAGGGCTTATTACAACAACTCTATAATTTCTAACCTAGTCAATGTTTGGGAGCACACCCTCCCGTGATGGACCAGCACTTGGTGTGCGGGTTCATACTCAGCAAGTTGACTGTCGTGGACCAGGCCAATGCCGACAGCAGAACGCCGACCATGCAGAGACCCATTCGCCGGTGCACACCTCCATTTCGACGCAGCTCTTGCGTAGCAGCCTTCTGAGCCGGCAGTAGGGGCAAGAACACCAGAGAGAGCAACTTCATGCCGTAGCAGATCAGGATGGTGATAGTCACGTCCCGGCGACTCGTGTACGAGTCCGCCTGGATGTCGTGTTTCCAGACGTGGAACTGAGCGTTGATGAGCTTGGCAGCGGTGCGGCCGAACGGAGCGGCCACATGTGACGTGGTTGACAAAAGTCCGAACAGCGCGCCTTCGGAGCCGAACTCGACGAGTTCAACGATCACATAGTTGTCGACGATGAACTGCACGGCATGAGGGATGTACACGATGATCGGCGCGCCGAGCCATAGCCACTGGCTACGATTGATGTCCCAAGTGACCAGCATCGTCATGATTAAGTCGGTGAGAATGCCGAACAAGACCGTAACGGCGATCGCAACTCGCCAATTCCAGTTGAGACCGGCCTGTGCCATAACTCCGAGGGTTCCAGTGTACACGAAAGTCCCAATGATGGCCATGATGCTCGCATTGAAGGGCGTGGCATGCACCCAGTAGAGCTTGATGTTGCTAAACGCCACTGGATTGAAGTTGTTGAAGACACCGGAGAGGAAATCGTACGCTGCAAGCTGGCAGACGGCGCGCTGCTGGAGAATTTGCCAAAACCGGGAGATGTAGACACTGAACTTGGGTGGCTGGACCCGTTCCTCACGGAAAAAATACCGCGCAGCAGGCGCAAGCGGAACACTCAAGCATCCGAGCATGAACATCATCTGCGAAAATGACAGCGAGTATTCGAAGGACCCGCCGTACTCGATTCCGTTGAAAGCCACTGCAACCACGAAGGCACCTAGAGCGTGGAAACTCATCCGCACGCTGTGGACGCAGCTCTGCAGACGCCCACGTGTCGTCGTCGGTTCTCGCTGTGCATACTCCACGACAACAGCATCGGCTGGTACCTCAGCGAGCAGATACCCGAAGGCTGCTAGCGTCATCGGAAGTACATACTGACCTGCTGCATCAGGCGCACCGTGGTTGATACTTTCTCGCTGAGACTCGGTCCGTTGCTCGGGTCTGACCGAGTGCATCGCTGGGTCTCCATAATATGGCGCGGTGCCGGGGAAGCTTGCCATCCTGAACAACATGCAGCAGCAGAGAGCCCACCCAAGCACCATGTACGGTCGACGACGATAACCTGCGACCAGGAAGCAGTCACTCAAGATGCCGAAGAAAACCTTGTACGACCACGGGAGATGAACCAGCACATTGGCGGACACCACGGTAGTTCCTTCAGCGTTGAGGTAGCCTTGCATTAGCGGGTAGATCACAGCGGGCAGTACCCCACTGACGAAGCCGATACCAGCGTACTGTGCCAGCAGTCCCAACACCTCACTGGACAGCAATCGCGGTGGTGCACCAACGCGTAATGCACCATTTTCCAGTTGGCTGGAAGCGGAGCTTGGTGACGCGATAGGGGCTGGTTTAAAGGCAGAATCGTAGTGCGCTGCGTTGCTGGTGGGATTCTCGCAGACAACAGGAAGAAGCTGTTGACGTTCGTTCGTCTGCAACGCCCATTTTGAAAGTGCACCAAGATGAAAGAGGATCGCACCACCGGATTTGCTCATGACCAGCAGATGGCACTCAACTCGTGAGATTCAAGTGCTTTGGACGAGGAATCTTCATCCACCGCACCACCGCGGGGCTTTCGTATTGGGCTGAGCCACGCGCCTTGCCTTAGTGAACGAGAGGTGATGGCGACGTGTATCATTCCTAAAAGGCAAGAAGGAATTGTGCTACATTAGTGTATTGCAAACTTCGGTCGGTATGTAACTCATTGCATTCTGTACACGTTTTTAGTAGCCCAGCACCGTCAGGAAGCTGGACACACACGAAGTGTTGAAGGAGACCTTGTTGAGTCCGTCGTCGTACTCCACACTCATGTTGACCTTGCTCATGGCTTCCTTGAATTGCGTGTACTCCGTCGAGTACGGGTTGTCGCCTCGGACGTTCACCGTGACACCACCCGCGCCTAAGAACCCTGTAATGACGCCTTCAAGGGCTGGCGAGTCCTCTAACATGACCACGCGGAAACTCTGGTTGCTCAGTCCTCGCGGCATTCCGAGCTCCGGCTTCTCTGAGTACGCATATCCAAGGTAGCTGTCGTTGTAGTATACACTCATGTTCAGTGCGCCGATACCTTGCAGCCCCATGGCTGACGGATTGTTGATCGACGCGTTGACGTCCATTTCGTACACTCCGTCGCTGCACCCCCACAAGTCGATGTGCTGCACCTCCGGGTCTAGCTCAGCGAAGTTGTTGAAACCCACCAGCGACAGCGTGCGCTCGAACTTGATGTTGTTGAACGGCAGACCCCAAGCATGAGCGTCGATCTTTGCTGACATTGTAATTGGCACGGTCTCTTCCTGCATCATGGCCTCCGACATCGCGTTGAATGCCTCAGCGTCCAATATCACCATGGTCGTGTTCATAGTCAGGTTGTAGTTCTGCTCGCCCGACTCAATGTGTTGACCCACGACTCCCGCAGTGCCGAACTCCACTCCGTCGTAAATCAACGATGCTGTCACCGGGTCAGTAGTGGCAGAAACTGGTACGTCGTACTGCAGGTTCACACTGAAGGTCACGTCGATCTCCGTGTCGCTCGGGATGCTAGTGACGTCCATGTAGTTGATGGTGAGCGCCACCTTGTCCATGTAGTGCCGAATGACAGCAGGGATGACGACGAAGTATACGATGAGCAGCGCAGCAATGAGGAATAGCAAAATCAGACCGATGATAATGCACCACCGCCTCTTTCGGCTCATGCGCCACCGGAAAAACTTGACCATGGGGCGGCCATTCTTGTCCAGCGGGATGTCTTCGTCATCCTTCTTGTTTTCAGCCTCCGGTGTCGTGGCGTCAAGACGCAGTGCCGTCTCGTCGTGATAGTGCGCGTCCTCCATCGCAGGTGTCCTTGCCGGCGTGTGCACCTCCCTGCCCTCGTACTGATTCGGAGTCATGCTTAGTAGGATTTTGGTTGCAGTCACTAGCCACCTGGTGAAGTGAGGCGAGCTTCCTCTCGGCGCCGCAAAAAACGAAATGGCAGCTTATCAAGCCAAGCAGCTTGGTGGACGGACAGCACAGGTGCTTTGTATCCTCAGTGTCAACTGTCACAGGAGTCGAGAGTTATCCAAGCATCTCCAAGTTGGTGCAAATGGTGTTGACTGTTCAGGTTCATGAAACTGCGTGCTGGAAGTGGCAAGCGTGGCTGCCTTACTCAGATACGACGAGGTTTCGCTCACAACCGAGACGCAAAGGAAACATGCCTGGGAAGTCGAGAAAGGTACTCTGACTAACAAATTTATTGGGTTTAAGGAGCACATCTGTGGTTTTGGGGAAAAGGTTGATACTTAGATACCGCTGGATCATCCTTCTATCCGGGTGTTCGTGTTGGTGTAAGTCAGTAACGCAAGACTGAAAACGCAATTCCTCGGGCGATTTCCATGATGACGGCCTGTACCTTGACAGTCAAGGCGTAGTCCAGCGTGGCATAAACCAACAAGGTGTTGTTCCTGCTGAACGGTTTGTAATGTAGCAGACTGCCATAATGAAGAGCAGTCTGAAGCTGTACTCCAAATCAAGACCGCATCGGTCGATGACGAGGTATCCGAAAACGCTAGGAACTGGTGCTCAAAAGTCGTGAACAGCAAGGTGCAGGTTGTACTACATGTAGAGATGATAATAATCGTAGGTAAATCAGCTCTCTTTACGCTCGAGCGGAACCGAGCGTCAACACAACTGACGTGAAATCGATCGACTGCTTCTGACGTTCGTGCAATGGCGACTGGTAGTCCGGCCAGACGGCTCAAGCTCAGTTCTTTCGGTTCGTGACTGCTGTGTTGGCGCAGCTGACACAACATGAACTTTGTTGCTTGTTCTGTCGATGCACCCCCCCCCCAACGGTTTCGCGACCTACATGTACCTGCGAATTACTACAACAGTATTGGTAGTAGTAAGAGCGAACGTTGGGGTTGTATGTGTTGCTGACGCTGCCAGGTATGGCGAAAAGGTGAAAACGAAAGTGGCAAACTGTTACTTTGTAAATAGGGTGGGGTATATTATTTTCTCGAAGGTAGGCCAGCTAGCTCCGATCTAAACAACCTGAGCAGCGACGTCGCTAGCACCAGATGCGTCATCGTCACTCGACGATGCCTCCTCAGCTTCACGAGCGGTCTGACGGTGCCAGGCATTGACGAGTTCCAGCTTGCGCGCAGTCTCTGCTGACATCGCTTTGTCCTCAGCGGCGTCGTGGGTCGAGATTACCACATCCTGCTCGTCGGAGTCGGAGTCGGCGGTGTCGTCACTGCTGCTCTCCAGCAAACTCTCCTTGGACAGGTCGTCCAGCTCGATGGGCTCTGCCGCGGCGGTCTGGGGAGGCGACGACTTGGCGAAGCAGTTCTTCATGTTGACCCAGTTGAGGCCGATACCGACGAACGACAGCCCGAGACCCACGGTCTGCTCCATCGAGAGCACGTGGCCGAACAGGAACACCGACAGCACGATGCTCAGCACCTTACGGCACGTGCCGATGATAGCTGTGGTCAGCGCGCCAAACTTGCTGATGGTGAAGAAGATGAAGGCCTGGCCGAAGGCGCCCGTCAAGCTGAGCATCATGAGGTTGGGCAGCGACGGCACCACATACTGCAGGAATACTGGCACTTCACCGTTCACGACCATACCGGCAGCAGAGAAGAGGGCCTTGTAGATGTTGACGTAGTACATGAGGTCGAAAGCTCCGATGTGGTACGCCTCCATGAACTTGTCTTCCAGTGCGCCGGTGGCGCCATCGAAGATTAGCGACAGCACCAGCAGCGAGAAGCCCAGCACCATGTTGGGGGTGCGCTCCTGCTCAGGCAGACTGTCGTGGCTCTCGTTGCGCGGCGCGGCGCGGTGGTGCTTCTCGTGGGCGGTGCCCAGCAGGAACACGGCCACGCCGACGGACAGCACGAGCACCGACACGTACTTCTTGAAGGCGTACTTCTTGCCGAGCAGCACGCCCATGATCATGACCGGGATGGACTTGCACGACTTGCCCAGGATGCGCGTGATGTACGACACGTAGCGCAGCGCCACCATGGACGCGATGGTGGAGCCAAAGGCCAGTGCACCGACGATAACCAGGAAACTCTGCGGCATGGTGGACGGCGGCTCCTTGCGCGCGCGGCTGAGGCCGATGGCCACCACCGAGTTGAACACGCAGAACACGAAGGTCATGGACAGCTCGCCCAGCACGCGATGGGTCGTGATCTTCTCGAGCACCACGCCGTTGAGCGTGAAGGACACCATGATGCCGACGCAGCAGTAGGCCAGCAGCCAGATGCTGCCCTGCTCCCTCTTGGCCGGATGCGACTGCTGCTGTGCGTGCTGCGACTGGTGGGCGTCGGCCAGTCCGCTGCTGCGCATGTCCACGACCGTCACCGGCAGGCGCTTGGGCTCCTGCACCGACGGCGCCGTGGCCGCGTCGTCCAGCACCACCTCGGCGTAGTGCACGCGCTGCGAGTCCTCGATGCTGCACACCATGCTGGTCGTCCCTGAGCTGTCCTGTAACCTGCGTCGAGATTCCGCTTGTGCGGCGGGGCGTGGCGGGGCGGGGCGGGACGGAGCGGGCCTGGTGTCGCCAGAGGTGCCGGTGGCCGATGCTTTACCTGAGACTTTTTGCCGGCGCTGCGTTGCCTTACTGCGCGCTCTGATTGGTGGCTGTAATTGGCCAATGACTCTCGCGAAGGGCCGTAGGTCATAGACGGCGCGCGTACCCCAGGCCCAAATCTTACGTAACCTTGTCCAATTTGGGGCTTGAAGATTTCGTTGCTGTCACGCACTCAGAACGGCTGCCTTTGTAGCAGTACCTTTGTTAGCTAAAGAAATACAAATACAAGCGGAGGACGTCACTCGCGATAGTGTCGATTCAAACCATCGTGCGCCAGCCAATTCATTCTGCGTTGGGAGATCTGTCTCCAACGAGCGTCCTCCCTACTGTACATTATGTAGTCGGCTGCCTACGTGGCCCCACTGAATTTGAACTGAAGCACCTTAAACGTGCCGCAACGTTCGTTTGACTGCCACTGTTCATCTCACCATAAGGTCAACTCTGCAGTGACCAGTACTCATTTCGCTGTAACCTGACTCATTTAGGGGTACGAGTGCACCTATTTCCACGCTGCAGCCAATGAGCGACGCCAACTTGTCCAGCGAACAAGTGATCCCTCGGATGCGGCGGAGATTGCGACATCGCTGTCGGCAAATGGTGTCTGCAACCGATGCAGTGCAACAGCGGCAACCGCGTTACTAAAAGCTATGAAAAACGACGAGCAGTGCAAAAGCCCTACACATTTTTCTTCTGCTGCCGTTGGCGTCGCCGGCAAGGCCACTGCTGCCATTGATGTTCCGGCAAGGCTGCCGCCGGCACCGTTGCGGCGGTGGACAGACTACTGAAAGGAGCCCTGCTAGCTGTTCAGGTGCTTTGGCATAGCCGCGTCAGTTTCGGCGGTGGCGGTGGCGGTGGCGGAGAGACTGGCGCGCTCGGGTGCAAAACGCGCACTGATCCGTTGCACTGGCGTGTTCCAACTTGGAGCCTCCTATCCCAGGTTGCTGCGAAGTGCCTCATGGCGCCGTCCGCACGAGCATAATATACATATTATTTACAAAAGCACAGGTACAGGTAAAAATACAGGGTAAGTTGATGTCAGTAAAGCGACTCGCAATCGAGATGTTGTAGTCACTAAAGTGAATGGTCTCGCCAGTCGAACATGTGATGGCAACACGTTGAAGTGCAGCACTACATGTACACAGAAGAGGGAGAAAAGCTTGTGTATGTAGGAACTCTGAAACACTGTACTAGTATTAGCTAAAAGATCTGATGGATCTGATGCGCTACAGTGCGAGTTTATCAGACAACATTACTTACGTAACTTTCGTAGATAAACATTAGCTCCGACACCGATTGGACCAAATACAGTATTGTGGGTTCTACTCAAAATTTCCGAACCGGCCGATTGCAATCGCCCGAGCCAAATCGCTCCCCAATCGCCCCGGCCACTTGGATTGTCAATTGGAACTCGATTAAGTACGATTTACATATGGCATTTCTTGTTTGGAGCGGTTTCGATCTGCACTTGAATTTGTATTGGTCGATTTTCGAAATCGGCCCGATTTGGAAATTTTCAACGGATTTGACAATACTGTCTTAATAAACAACCTCCGATATGGATAGTGTATAGCAGACTATCAATGCTATATAGAAAATAAAGAAGGGGCATATATCAATCTAGTACGGCGCATTACCTTGATCAAAATGAAGCGTAATTGATGGTACGGTAAACCACGTGCTTTGGCTCGAGCCATAACGGCAAGTCAACACTTTGAGGGTCGAGAAGGTTAAAAGGGTCGACAAAGTTTGCTATAATGAACTAAGGTACAACAGCAAAATCACTATAAATGAGAACATCAACAAATCTGAACCTTTCGTTGTTCCAATATGTTATATAATTTCTTCCAGTCTATTTGTTGTTACCTGGTTGTTTATTGAGGCACATTACTGTACTCGTACATGTATGTTTTATCGCATGTTTTTTGAAGCAGGCTATCTCTGTTACCGTAACAGCCAGCGCGACCAGCTCTTAACCAACCTGAAGTAAAACAATTTTGCCCGAACACGTAACATTTGTTGAATAATTTGAGGGTTTTACACGTCACAAACTGGACGTGATCAGTCATCGCATAATGGGCAATTTTTAAAACTGTTTTTTTAAATGTTGTTATTAGAATTAACAACGGTATTCATTATCTGAAATATACATTATTTTCACTTGGCCAACAGTTGCAACGAAATATAGTGATGTGCCACAATAAAGATGACCTGATTGGTTTACAATTTTCAAGTATTTTGTATGAGTGCTTTCGTACACAAAGCAGTACAGCTGCGGGATAGAGTTTAGAAGGTTATAAAGCTTCCAATCTTCTTTATTGAAGCACATTCCTGTAGTAGTTTTAGACACAGTAGTTTCGCAGTGTGCCGAATTCAGGATCAAGATCAAGTATCAATATGATATATCAATTCCGTTTACAAACTGAGAGGGTGGACCTTCCAAGCTCTTAGAGAGAATACATTGAGTGCAGGAATCAGGCATTACAGGCTTCATAGACTCTATAGATACATTTGTATAAATTGCAGAAAGTATGGGGTCCTCTGCAACGAGATGTGAATAACGAACGAATTGGGAAGGATATTCGCTTAAAATGCATTTCAGTTTGTGGGCGGAGTCTGTATATGCAGTAATCATCAGAGGCCTATTGTATACGCTCTTGTATTCTGTCCTCCCTCGTACCTACCTAGCTAATGAAGGTGTACTCAAGCTTGCCGTTGTACTGGAAGCTGGTGCATACAAGCGAGCGTACTCCTCCAGCGCAGCCAGCAGCTCCAAGTCCGAGTGCACCAGCGCACTGCCGCAAGCAAAGTTACCCCCCCCCCCCCCCCGGCCCAGTGGAGACTATGTCAGCGAATCATTAGGAGCTGTAGCGACGATATAGGGATACGACACCATGCCATCATGGCCTGTGCTCTCCGACAACTCCACTCCATCTGCTCGCCGCGTAAAAGTCTAGCTATTGTCTGCACTTCGTCGCCTGCTGCCTTCTTCAAAATCATTTTCGCGAATAATTTTTTTGTTCGCCCTCGTGAAACAAACCCACGTGAAGTTCCACTCGGCCGTCGCGCTTGGGCTCACTGGACTTGGGCTCCAGAATTGCACCGTCCGACGGGTCCACAATCTCCGTATGCACAAAACTTCCTTTCTCCATACATGTCGTATCCATTACCGCGTAGTCCGGACCGTTGATGCGCCTGTGTAACTTGCCCTTGAGAATGTACTCGGATTTCAAAAGGTGTCGCACGCAAACCCTTTAGTACATGACATGTTGTACCGCTTCCTCATCACGTCTGCAATCTCTCCGAGCTTTGCCGTGGCAATCCCATCCACATATCTGTCTCGTGTCCGGAAAAGATACTCGACCCTGCGGACAGTGCCTTGAGCCTCACGAGCAGCTTTAGCAACTTCGCTATCATCTTTAGGATTAGGCAACTCATCTTTCTTAATGCGTGCGCGCCGTACCAGTAATGCCTTAAGCCCGCGATAGTCACTTCTGCCTGACCCGCCTTAAAATTCTCAACACCTCTGGCAGGAAGAACACAAAGCCACATACATCCAATTCTCCTTACCGCAGCATGGGCAAAACAGGTTCCTGTTCTGCGTCATCCACCTGGCGTCTGCGCACGTACTGGTACTTCAGTAGAAGCAAGGGGAATTGATCGGGTCTCGATTTGACCAGTTCTCTCTTGCTCCATCCGAACTTGTCGATAGAGAGGTAGGCCAACCCAAGCTGATGCACGCGCGTTATAAGCTCTTTCTCGGTTTTAAAAGGTCGATGGCTAGGGATGGGTCACAGCTCTTGGGGTTGGTAACCGTATATGTTGTAGTCGCCAGAGACCTATTATATAGGCTTGTGCAGTCTATTCTCAGTCGCGTCTACCTCGATAAGGAAGGCGTACTCAAGTTTGCTGTCGTACTGGCAGGTGGTACACACACGCAAAGCGTATTTATCCTAGCTGAGTGACACCCATGTCAAAGGGTTGTGGCGTCTATATAGGACAGCAGAACGATGTCGTTGGGATCGGCAATATTCGATTTTACTCATCGGACCAGGAGTCCCAACCGAGCTAAAGTCACCCCATCATCGTCGATGACCTTTATAAGACTATATTTACGAATGAGTGGTTTTCGTAAATCGAGTCTAGTGCCTTTGCAAGCCGATTCAGAAAATTCAGGTTTTATAATCAAGTCGCTGTATGGATTTCTAAGTTCAGATAATACGATCGTGATTATTGAAAAGTGCTAACAGGATAATAAAAACAATTTGCTATTAATGGTTAGTAGATTTTACTTTTTCGCAAAGTGTATGTGAAGTTAATATAATTACTTTCCAAATCCCACCTTTCATACCGAGCATTCCCACCCATTTGAACAAAACAATGAAAAAGCGAAGTTAGCTTAACTTCGTGAAAGTATTAGTTTTTAAGTCGAACAAAACCAAAACAAAATCTCAACAAAACTAAATTTGATGGGCATGCAATCAGAAAGAAACCGAAAACGCTGCGTACTATCATGTAGCTATATTTAACTGTGTGTTAGCTTGGTTTGGTAGTTATGGTCGTTTTGTAATACTTCTAATGGGTCGCCCTCCTTAACTTTATTGGCTCACCCCGTCTGCAGCTTTGACACGGTTTTCGTTCAAATGGGTAGGAATGTTTTTCGGGTTATAGAGGCATAACTTATGCTTGCAAGTCCGCAGCTCTACGTGTATTTTTGCGTGGAATCGACAATTAAAAATGAGTTATCGATTTTAAAATTTCAGTAGATTAATAACAAATACCGAATTGTTATGAGAACAAAACGTTTTTTTATAATAGCATTAAACGTGTTGAGTCAAAATTCAGTATGTGGTTCTACACAAAAACACATACGTCATTAAAAACGATTTGCAGACATTTTTTGCGTGCAAAAAACGTCTAGAATCAGATAATCCGTGTGCCAGTCAGGGACGCTATTCTTATCAGTAAAATATGAGCACGTCCAAAGAGTTGCCCCGCTCGGCTGCTGCTCAAGCACCATTATGTATAAACGATTGGACAAAAGGGAAAACGTTATATGTTATTAATGACACTTTGTTTATAGCCTTTTTGGCATAATGGACTAAGCGAGGCACAAACTTTAAAGCGGCAATTCAGGGCTTTCTTCAATAGTGTATCCGGTCAAGATTAGCTTCGAGATTTTGGTCCTTGATTTTGTCCTTGATTTGGAGGCTGTTGGGGTTAAGAAAACTGCCTGGCTGGTCCCATTAAATTGAACAAGCATTCTAGTAGCCGTATAAATGACCTTCAGTGACCCGGGTAGCTGCCACCGTGGCAAGCTGGATGAAAGCCAAATCCAACAATACCCAAAAGAAGCAGGCACGGCGTACTGTTTACTAAGTACAGTAGCTAAGTCCATCAACTGGCGGGCACAATGGTTACCCAGACTCGTGCATTATTCCGCGATCAGACCGGCGATCGATGTACGAGATAAACCAAGAGTCTATTTGCACCGCCTTGATACTGATGAGCAGTCTATCAACGATGGCAGTCGCCATCCACTTGTGCGCAGATACGTCGGCCCGTCAGCAAAAGTAAGTACAAAGGGGACGAGCACACGTTTGGAAACAAATTTGACCTGTAGTAGCTGCCAGTATTGACAACCGACACTAGTGTCATTTATACAGATAGAAATCCCTGGCTTCAAGATCATCAAAACTTGTGAATCCGTTACGCATACTCTTGGCTCGTCCTTAAACTCAGGGTTTATGATTTTCGTTGATTGGTGACCACCATCAACATGGCAGACTCGCGGGACGTGCGCACTCAATACGAATGAGCGAATCTTCGCACAACCCCTGTTCGAAAAGCCTCGCTTTTTGCATCCTCTCCAATACAACATGCAGCACTGCAATACCCACTGCATGCAGTGGGTATTACCGTATAGTAATAGTACTGGATCGGCGTGGGTCCGTGAATCCACGATAACGCTTGCACTGTGACAGGCTTGATATAGCGGGGGCATGGGATACAGGGGGCATCTCTGTCGCTGAGGCAGGATCCGCTCATATTGCTGCACTTCGGGTTTTGCGGTGTCAAGAGGAGGCTCGCTTCCGAGAGAACAGGAGCAGGAAAGCGGCGCACAGAGCACAAGCACTCATGACCCCGAACCAGTACGAAGGAGACAAGGGGGTGCGAACGCCGATAAGTACATAACGATACAGGGCTGCACCTCGAAGTCACGACCCCTGGCGTCGACAGCAAGAAGGACGACGAAGACATCCCGCTGGACAAGAACGGACGCCCCATGGTCAAGTTCTTCCGGTGGCGCATGAGCCGCAGGAAGCGGCTGTGCATCATCTTCGGACTGATCTTGCTGCTGCTCCTTATCGTACTGCTGATCTTCCTCGTCATCATCCCCGCCATCATCCAGCACTACATGAACGAAGTGGTGCTAAGCATCAACTACATGGACGTCACTAGCATCCCGAGCGACACGGAGATCGATGTGACTTTCAGCGTGAACCTGCAGCACGACGTGCCGGTCTCAGCTACGACCAAAGCGATGAACGCCTCGTTGATCTACGGCGGCGTGACGTTCGGCACTGTGGGTATCGAGGCGCTGGGCATCAAGTCGGGCAAGCAGAACTACAACTTGACTATGGACACGACCATGGTGATCTCCGACCTGGACGGATTTAACGCTATGGCGGAGGCGATGATGGAGGACGAGACGGTCCCGATCTCAGCTGAGGCGGAGGTTGACGCTCACGCTATGGGTCTTTCGTTCAACAACCTGAATTTTGGGCGGACGCTATCGCTGGTAGGTTTTAACAAGTTCCAGACCTTGGATCCGGAGGTTCAGCACATCGACTTGTGGGGGTGCAGCGACGGAGTGTACGAAATGGACGTCAACGCGTCAATCAACAATCCGTCAGCCATGGGGCTGCAAGGCATCGGCGCACTGAACATGAGTGTGTACTACAACGATAGCTACCTGGGTTATGCGTATTCGGAGAAGCCGGAGCTCGGAATGCCGCGAGGACTGAGCAACCAGAGTTTCCGCGTGGTCATGTCAGAGGACTCGTCTGCACTTGAGGGCGTCATTACAGGCTTCTTCAGCGGTGGCATCGAAGTGAACGTCCGTGGTGACAACCCGTACTCGACGGAGTACACGCAATTCAAGGAAGCCATCAGCAAGGTCAACATGACAGTGGAGTACGACGACGGACCCAACAAGGTCTCCTTCAACACTTCGTGCGTGTCCAGCTTCCTGACGGTGCTAGGCTACTAGGTAGCATTTCCACCGACCAGGCGTAGTCCAGAGTACGATTCTTTTGCTCTCGTTGTTGCCAGCACACGTCCAGTCTTGTAGAGAGCAGTAACCTCAGTAGGCAACATCAGGGTGTCATCATGAGCTAAGGAGTAATGCGATAGAGCTTACGTCTCGTTGGACTCGAGTTATTTCCGTCGTTGTTCGAGCGTCCACGGCGGTGGGCTCAAGAAGCCAGCGCTACTGTCATCCATTTCGTTTCACCCCCGAACAAACGCACTAAAAGTGGACAGAACCCGACAAGTCGAAGCGACCTGAAGCTCTACTCCATTTCACTACTTGCTACGACTGTCGAAGATCGATCGCGACAGGCGGCAATTCCACAAGAGATGGCAAGAGAGCACGAGGACATGGCGGCGACGTCGCCCAGCACGCAGGTGCCGTACCGCGAACCGTTCTCCGTGCGACTTAACGTCGACGGCGCAAGCCTGAAGGAGCGCAAGGAGAGTGAAAGCCACGACGTAATGCTCGTGCCGGACGAGAAGCCGCTGAAGAAGTTCCTCTGGTGGTACATGACCAAGAAGCAGCGCGTACTCGTCATCGTGGGGCTTGTGCTGTTGATGTTGGTCGTGCTGCTCCTCATCGGGTGGTTCGCCATTATCCCGGCCAGCATCCGCCACTGCGCCAGCAGTGTGCAGATGACGCTCAACTACATGGACATCGTGAACATCCCGGACAACTCGACACTCACCGTGGATCTGAGCTTGAACATCCAGCACGACGTAGGCATCGCTGCGACAACGGACAGCACGACAGTCTCTCTGCTCTTCAATGGGGCCGTATTCGCCACGCTTCCTTTCCCCGGACTCGATATCAAGACTGGATCGCAGGACTACAACATCACCATTGACGCCGACATGCCGATCACAGACCAGAGCGTCTTCAACGCCATGTCGGACGCCCTCATGAACCAAGCTGAGATCACGTTGACGGCCACCGCTTCGCTCGATGCTCATGCTTTGGGCATGTCCTTCAATGACCTCAGCTTCGAGCGAGATCTCCCTCTCGAGGGCTTTACAGGATTCAGCGACCCAGAGCCCGTGATCGAGAACATTGAGTTCACTACTTGCACCTCGTCCGAGTACCTGATCAATATCAATGTGACTCTGGACAACACGGCGCGCATGGGGCTGGACGGCATCGGAGCACTCAACATGAGTGTGTATTACGGCCAGGAGTATCTCGGCTACGCGCTATCGCAGAAGCCCGAGCTCGGCATTCCTCGTGGCGTGAGTGACCAGTCCTACCTCATTACTGTGGACACGAGCGCCGTCTCCATTTCCAGTATGGTGCTGTCTTCTTTGGCTGGTAGCACGCAGTTCTACATCGTGGGAAACAACCCGTACGTTACGACGCATGGCCAATTCGTCGAGGCGCTCAGCAACGTCAACATGAGCGTGCCATCAAGCAGCGGATCGCTCACCAACATGAATTTCGGCTCGTCCTGCAGTCTTGTGTCGCTACTTTCGTAGACGATCTGTGCAAGTACTGTTATCGGATGGGAGATACCCAACTTGCTAACCTTTAATCGATGCATCGCGTCAGTTTTGACTTTATCGCAATGTCCACACTGGGTAAAGTATGTTAGCATCCGTCGTCTTGGTGGCAAGCGAAGCTGCTAAACCGAAGACCAGCGTTCACGTACTGGTCGAATTCAACATCAGGAAAACATTATTCGATTGAATCGGCTCGTGTGTGTCATTCATTCGTGAAGGCGAGTCACACGTAAGCTTATGCTAAAATGTCCTCTCACTCTGGTGCACGCTTTCAGCAGTCTGATGAACTTTGGTTAGCGACTGCGATTAGGCACTTCGAAGTAGTTCGCACCCGGGGTTCTCCGGACGACGGATGGAGTTCACCAACACGCTGTCCATGGTGTGCAGAGGCGTGCTTATATACAGTACGGACCACCGACACCAAGCGCCAGTGCTATCGTGGTTGGCGTGCAATAAAGCTCGGGCTTTCACGAATGCATTGTGCAGTTGCTGTGCAGTTACCCGACGCATGCGGAAGTTGACCCACTACACGATGGAGGAGTCCTACGAAGACGGCTCGCGTAAAGCGTTCACCATTCAAAAAATTGCTGCGCAGGTTCGAGTCAAATCTTGGTGTGTGTACGGTATGAGCTGACCTCGGGGCTATCCCCTTTGCTGCAGAGAACCCGCTCGTGAACACCGAAGAAGCTGAGTGGAGGCGAACTGACTTTTATTACCGTATAAGCCGTGCTCGCTTTGCTGTGCTAATGGCTACCGTGGTCTAATACATTGCTCTCCTACGCGAGGAGCGACAGGATGTTGCACGAGGTGTTGAAGCCCAGGCTCGAGAGGCCGTCCGTGTAGACGATGCTCATGTTGACCTTGCTGATGGCCTCCTGGAACTGCGTGTACTGCGTCGAGTACGGGTTGTCGCCCGTGATGTAGAACTGCGCCTTCTTGGCCACGACACCCAGAGCCATGGCCTTGAGCGCCGTCGAGCCCTGCGGCACCGTGGCGCGGAAGAGCTGCACGCTCTCGCCACGGGGCAGACCCAGCTCGGGCTTGAGCGATTCGGCGTATCCCAGGTAGCTGTCGGAGTAGTACAGACTCAGGTTGAGGGCGCCGATGCCGTCCAGGCCCATAGTGGCCGGGTTGTAGAGTGTCACGTTGATGTCCATCTGGTACACGTCGTTGGTGCAGCCGAACCAGTTGATGTAGTCGATCTCCGGGACCGGGTCGCTGAACTGGTTGAAGCCGTTGATGGGCAGCGTGCGCTCGAGGCTCAGGCCGCCGTAGGTCAGGCCCAGGGCGTGCGCCTTGATGGAGGCCTCGGCTCCCAGCTCCACCTCGGCGTCCTCCACGAGGCCCTCGGCCATGAGGTTGAAGGTGTCGACGTCCGAGAGCGTGAGCGTGCCGTCCACCGTGAGGTTGTAGTCCTGCTCGCCCGTCTTGATGTCGAGGCCCGGGATGACCACGGAGCCGAAGGCCACGCCGCCGTACAGCAGCGAGGCCGCGATGTCGTCCGTGGTGGCGGCGATGGCGATGTCGTGCTGCACGTTGAGGCTGAGCTCCACGGTGAGCGTCGAGTCGCTGGGCACGCCCTTGACGTCCAGGTAGTTGATGGTGAGGTCCACCGAGTTGACGTAGTGCTGGATCACGGCCGGGATAACGGCCAGGAACACGACGAGCAGGATCACGGCCAGCAGGATGACCACGAGGCCGCAGATCAGCAGGATGCGCTGCTTGCGGGTCATGCGCCACTTGAGGAACTTGACCAGCGGGCGGCCGTTCTTGTCCATGGGCACGGCGAGGTCGCCGTCGTCCTTCTTGCTCTCGGCGCCGGGCGCCGACACGTCGAGCCGCAGCGCGGTCTCGTCGTTGTAGTGCGCGCCCTCGGCCACGGGCGTGTGCACCTTCTCGGCGTACTGGTGCGGGGTGCTGCTCATGCTGCTGGTGCGGTCCGGGGTGCTGTCTCTCGAGTGCGCAGAATGCAAAGTGACCTTGCCCAAGCCAAGCAAGAGCTGTAGGCGGTGCCTGAGCTGGGTCCCTCGTCCGTCACCTGTCAAGCGTGTCATGCCTGCCCCTGTTGCTAACGCGGGAGCTCAGGGTGATGGGCAAGCCCGGTTTCGCCGAACCTGCGATAATATAAGTGCGACTTGATATCATGAAACACAGGCTATCTGAACATAACTGCAAATCTTGAATTTGAATTAAGTAGAATGTTAATTTACAGCCTTAGCTAAGTATTAATTATCAAAATAAAAAGGAATCGAACTGGCTGCAGATGAGTCGATTTTTTCTGATGTGCCTCAGCGCAACACTGGCGAGGGACTCCAGGATGAAGTTTAGGCGACACTTGTATAGATCAACATCATCCCCGCGAAAGCCAGCGCATGTTTGCCAGCCACTGTGCCTAGCTAGGCTCGGCGGCAAGGTTGTACGAGACGCGGTGGTGTCGATTACCAGGATCGTACAGTATCATGTGTCGAAGTTTGTCAGGCGTTCAAGGCGTTGATGCTTGTAGAATTGTGAACAGCTCGACACTTTATTGCGAAGCGAAAAAAGCAAATCAATTCTGCCCAAATTGAACCTCTCGCTGCGCATGAAAGACCGCCGAAGGCTGCGCTGCGACCAGATCGGGTCTGGCGGTCGATAAATGCTCTTCTCACCGGTATTCGGAGGCAGCTTGAATTGCTGCAAGCCTGCTTACAACATTTTGGAACAATCGGCACCCTTGACGTGAGCACGATTTCCTCGGGATTGAACTAGAACCCCTCAGGTTTTATTGAAAGAGTCGAGTGTCCGCAGCAGCGCGAGTGCCAGTATAATTAATTCAGCGTTATCGCGCTGTGGTCGCCGCCCTCGGCAAGGCGTCCAGGCCGGTCTCATGCCACGCTGCGACTGGGATGCGGCTCACCGAATTTACATCATCCTGGCCGCATAAAAACCCAGGGCGACGTCGATAAAACCTCGTCCCTGGCTTTAGTGGTCCCGTGCGACGTGTCCGTCAGGTGTAGGTAACATTTCCACTGGTCTCCACTATTGGTCAGGTCATCGATCATATTTGTCCGTATCCGAGTCCGTCACTATCGGATCTGCTGGTCTGCTCGCTCGAAGCACTGGTGCTGGCGGCCGATCAGCAAGTGCGCCATCTCTTGCCGACACCGCTGCCCGCCTGCCATTCGCCTGGACAGGTCCGTCCCGAACTACCCGCCGCCTTCTGGAACTCGACCGTCGACCGAAGATGGAGGACGAGAAGCTCATCCGGCTCCATGACATGCTCTCCAAGCTGCGCCCGGGCGGCAAGAAGGTAGGGCTTGTTGTTGGTGTTCTTTGATTGCGCCACCGCGCGAGTCGGCGGCGTCTTTACAGGAGGCAGCATGGAGACTGAACGGGAGCGCGTTTGCGTGCCGGATGCGCTTTTGTAGGGCGGCCTGGGCTTCGCTTCGCTGGGCGGCAGGAAGGGCGTCAAGCGCTCGGATGGACTGCCCAACAACGGCCTCTACTCCATGTTCGTGCGCCGGGGAGAGGGTACCTACCAGCACAAGCACTGGGAGGAGGACAAGGAGGATGAAGACGATGAGCAAGACGTGAGCGACAAGAAGGCCAAAAAGGACAAGAAGAAGAGCAAGAAGAAGAGCAAGAAGGACAGCGACAGCGAGGAAGAAAGCGAGGAGCTCTCGAAGAAGAAGAAGCGCCTGAAAAAGGAGAAGAAGGCGAAGAAGAAAGCCAAACGTGCTGCGGAGGAAGCCGCTGCTGCTGCTGCTGAGTCCGAGGCTGAGGAGGCTCCTAAGAAGAAGAGCAAGAAGCGGAAACTGGAGCAGGCCGAGGACGAGGACAAGGCCGCCGCTGTCGAGGACGACAAGGAGGAGGCGGCCGTCGTCAGCGCCGAGGAGGACGCCCCCAAGCCCAAGTCCAAGAAGGACAAGAAGAAGCACAAGAAACAGAAGCGAGAGGAAGCCGCCGAAGAGGAAGAGAAACCCAAGGAAAAGAAGGACAAGAAGGACAAGAAACACAAGAAGAAGAAAACCAAGCACTCCGAGTAGCACAGGATACATGTATCTTCATCGCTGGCTGGGGTCTGCGCACATTGAGGAGATCAACGCCGATCCACTAAGTAGCAAAAATTCACGTTGCATTGAGATAACAGGGCAGCATCGGTATGTGGTTCTCGTGTCTAACAATGCTGTGCTCACTTCTTGGCTTTGGACTGCGCCCGGAAAGCCGCGGTTGCCTTCTGCTCGCGACAGGTGGCGATTTCTAAGAGCATACTAAGGTGCATCACACGGTCCTCTAGCGTTTCGAGCTGCTGGAATTGGTCGGCGTGCAGCTGGATGACGGTCCAGCCCAACATCTCGAGGTGCCGCGCCTTCAAATCCACGAACCCGAAGGTTTTGGGATCCTTGTCTTCGTTGCCAGGTTCCAGTGCCTGGTAGCAGTCTGACGGGTTGAGCTCAATAGCGATCTTCTGCTTCGGCGCCACGACATCGAGGTGATAGCCCGTCTCCGTAGCGTACGAGGTCTCGTTTTGCATTCCGATCTCATCCAGCGCCGTAGAGACAAGGTGGTGCAGGCGGAAGGAAGAGCTCTTGCCCTTCTTCTGGTGGGCGTCGAACACGCGCTTGCACTCATCCTTCAACGCCGGTGACAATCGAAATTCGCTGGGTCGGTCGTAGAGCTCGCAATCCAGATGAACCTGGTACAGCTTTGACTTGAGGACTCGAAGCTTGAATGGCGGCTTATTCAGCTTGTCCAGCGCGCCAGAGTTCACCTCCTTAAACATTCGTCGGAATAGATCCTCGTCGAAGCTCTCCACAAACAAGAAGGATCGAGCAAGCGGCACAAGCACCTCTGCGGCTCGCTGCTTTTCCTCTGCACTTGTGTTTTCGGCGTCTAACTCGGCCAAAATCGACTTGCTTGTGGCTCGCAAAGCCTCCACAACCCATTCCTGCCTGCGGCTTTCCCTCGGCAGCAAATGGGCTACTGCCGTTACCACCATGCATGCTTCATGTGCGCTAATTTTTGGGTTCTCACTTTGCAACATATACACAGTCTGCGCCGCAACAGGCCTGATACAATACGCAGGCAGAATAGGATAATTAGTTGGCGTTACCACAAAGTAACTTGATCCGAGTTGACGTACTGCAAAATCGAGGTGCGACCGACGCCCAGGCGCATCAGTGCCGTCGTGATATTGGACATCGCACTGCCCGTTTTAAAGGCGGCAATGCCGAAATTCACCAGTTTTTCAGTCTCGTCGATCAGCTTCCAGAATCTGATCACAGTTAACCAACATGAGAAACGAAGTCCAGCGTACTTCCGACTGAATCTCAGCTCACCTCTTCGTATCCAACGCGTTCGGCTTGGCCGACCATTTAGGGAACAATGCTGGCGACGGAACTGCGAGTAGATCGTCTTCAGGCGCTTCCGATTTGCTTGTACTGTCGATGTGACTGACAGTCTGGTACAGCACACACAACAAAGTGGTTAATACTCCACCAACGCCTCGACAGTTCAGGGCTCTTACCAGCAAATTCGCTCGCGTCGTTCGCGTTGCCACAAACCGGCCAGCACGGTCGATCGCCGTTCGGATGTTGTATTGGTTCAAGTCGAAGACCTGTAGTACGCAAGGCCAGATAGTTAGTTGCCTTTACCAATCTAGTTTCAACCACTGCGTCGGGAAATCCTCACGTACATTTTCCTCCACCATTCGCAGTAGCTCTTGCAAGTCCTTCGCCATCAGCAGTTTGCGGTTCAGTTGTGCATTATCCGAGGTATACTCCTGGATGTTGTCGACTCGGCGGATCTGCAACAAGTCCTTAAGCTTGGGCTGCGTCTCCGCCATCAGGATCAACTCCGACCACATCGTAAAACTGAGCAGCGAGGAAGGGTACCCCGACAACGAAATCAACGGCGACTGGTCCTCCGGCATTTGCACCGCCACGCACGACGAGCTGAACAGGACCTTGTCCGACGAAAAGATCCGCGCCAGCGTGCCGACCTGGTAGTTGCACTTGATGCACAGCATCTTGTGCTTCCTCCAGCTCGAATCCACTTCCTCCACTGACTCTTCTGGGAACAAGTTCTTGAGCGGTTCGTCCGTCGCACTAGATACGTGGATCCCATTCCTCCTGTTCGTTGTGCCATTCAGTGTAAATTAGTGGCGAGTCTCTCAACAAATATATCAAAGCGACGATAACAAATTCGCACCATTTGAAGAAGACGAGGTCCTTCGTGGCGCTCAGAGTCGTGTTGCACTTGCCGCAGACCAACCGAGGCGCGGATTTGTCATCCGTGTCATCCACGGCCGCGGATTCACTGGGCGTGGGGTACGTGGTGCTGAAGGAGAAACTGCGTCGCGTCGGCACCGCATTCGCCAGTGCGAGGGCTTGAGGACGCAAAGGTTTCAAGGTGCTGCGGCACGCAGAGGCGCCAGAACGCGGAAGGAGCCGCACGCGCATCGCCCGCATTGTCGGCGAGCGGTTGAGGATTGCTGGTGATGACAGGATGTCGCACGAAGGAAATGTTGCGCGAAGAATGGTGGTCGATTTACACGCAACATTCGTGCGACGACTACTGCGGTCTTGACAACACCGTATGGGTTTTGTATGGACCAAGATGAAGTCGAGTACTGTATGGAATTGCTCTACATGTAATGGGATCTAGGACGTGGGCGAGGGCACTACGTAGATGAACTCCTCGTGGCTCTGTGTGCAGCTTGCGGAGCAGCTGTAGACAATGAGACTAAGCCAGTCCATGCCGCCTGGAGGCGCGATTGCTTTCGGAGCGTCGCCTGCGATGCCGTCAGACTTCTGCTGCGACGGAGTGTCGGCTGCTGCGAACTCGTCCACCTTGAGGAAGTAGTTGATCGTCGGCGTCAGCTGCATCTCGAACGAGCGTTCTTCGCCGCATCCTGGGCAGTTCGGCACCTTGAGGTTCTGCGGAATCACCACAGGCCATAGCGGCTCGCCGCCGTAGTCGTAGCGAAGGCACTGCAGAGGGCAACGGCTAATGCGCTTCTGGAATCGCAGCAAATGACGCTGCTGTGCGGGTGTTTTCTCGTACGATTCACCAGTTGAAGAAGCAGCTCCGGTTGCTTGAGCACCCGCTCCTTTCTTCTTTGAGTTCGAAATCACAGTACGTAGGTCTCCGATATCGGCGGACTTCTCCTCTTCCTCCTGCTTCATATACTGCTCGAGCAGTTTGTTCTCGTGCGCGAAGTCGTGCTCGGCCGTGTAGTCTTCATACGGCTCGTCGATCACTTCAATCGGCAGAGCTGGAAAGGCGTTTTGCTTGCCCACCGGAACATTTTTCTTCGCAGTATCCGCCTTCTTTGGCGCTGGAGCCGCCTTGGTGGTCTTTGCACTAGTCTTCATAGCATCATCTCTCTGCTGTAGAAGTGCCTCGAGATCCACAAGATCAGCCGCTGGAGTCTGCGGCTTGCTGTCGTCTTCGTCGTCACCCCAGTCGCTGTCATCGCTATCCGAGCCCCACGCGAGCTTCACCTTATCCACTTGCTCGGTCAACGTTTCGACTTCAGCTACCACCGGTACTTCCTTCACAGGCTCCACTTGGTCACGCAACACTCGCCAACTGCCGGGCGTCTCCGTGCATGCCACCGAGTTGCATCCGAAGACATACAACGTCCGGTCGGTCTCCACCGGAGCGTACACTTGAGCGACCAGGAACAATCCTTTGCCGCACTTCGCACACGTCAGGTTGCTGGCCTCCGATGGCGGCTCCGAGTACCAGGCCTGAACAAGCCCATCAAAACGTCGAAAGGGCCAATGTGTCAACAGCAACATTCAATATAAAAACAATGAGCCAGTCCACAACGGTTTTGATCCAATACCTACCGGAGTTCCTCCTGCCTTGCACACATAGGGCGATGCGTTGTCGACGCTCTGGCGCTCCTGGATCGTGCCCAGCAGCACGACGCGCTCCTCGTCCATTGCTCTCAAGTCAAGTGACAGAAGTGTACACAAAAATTGTGTTTCGTACTTAAATGAAACACAACACGGTGATTGGCTGAAAGTAGCGGTATCGCGCGGTCCTCACGTCCGAACAGGGCAGGATCGATTCCGAGCCAGGAAGAGCACGAGCAGAGCACCATGAGCGACAACAAGGAGATCCCGTCCGAGTACCGCATCTCGGAGAAGTGGGACAAGTGCCTGGAGAACTTCACGCTTTACTTCGGCGCCGGCCTCGTGGCTGGAGGCCTCACGTCCCTCGTGCTGGCGCGTACGTTTCCTCGACGCTCAGGTCCCAGGCGGGTGACCAAACTTAAGACCCGCAATTGACACGAGTGTTTTTCTCTTTGTATTTCACAGGTTCTGGCACGGGTCGTGGACTGATCACGGGTCTGGGCGCGGGCTCCGGCGCCGGCTCGAGCTGGACGACGTGCCAGCTGGCGTTCGCGGGGAACGCCGAAGCACAGGCCGCGCTGGACAAGACGGACAAGGCTGTGGGCGACATAAAGGACAAGATCTCGGGCTCCAACTAGATGTTGTCCGCTTGAGAAAAGCGAGGCGAGCACAGCGCTATCTTTTTTTTGCAGTCGGAAGTTTAGGAGGAGCTGAGCTGAGCAATAGCGTCCAGGGATCCTCGGCGTGTGGACTGGTAGAGCTGGGCTAATGCTCACGTCCAGGTGCACAGATGATGATTCAGATGCTAGACGGCGAGCTCAGCACAAGTCGATGAGAAAACTTGGAAAAAAGAACACGGAATATAATACTATAGGGTGGTGGTCAACAACCGCTAGCGATTCAGTGCCGCTTCTTGAGGTTTCCGGTCTTGCTGCACTATCGGGGAGTTGAGCGCATGAAGAGGCCGTCACTTTCAAGATTTCTGCTCGAACGTAAACTCGTACTCGCCTGCGCCGACCTCCACTTTGACGGGCTTGTCTACGGTAAGCTCATAGGGCTCGTGGGCTTCCAGCTCCACGTCGTTGATGCGGGTACCGTTTGTACTGTCGGTGTCGACGAAGAAGATTTTCCCCGTCGCCTCCATTTTAATCTGCACGTGAAAGAAGACAACAACGTCAGCTTATCCAAAGCAAAGTGGTCGGGCACAATGCAGCCAACGCGTAGTTAGTTACCTCTCCGTGCGACGTTGAAAGTTCAGAATCCTTCGGCATGCTCAATCCTCGAGGCGGTCGAAACTTTCGGCCAGTTGAACGGCCCACAAAGCAAGAGGAATGCCGTTTCTGTGTGAAGAAAAGTTAGGAGGCTAGAATGCATCACGTGCTGTGATTCACAGCACGAGCAATTTGGTATGAGAGCAGCTTACCACGTCAATATCCATGTGAAACTTTCGCCCTCGGTACGGTCCAGTGATGCATCGCACTGAAATGGAAAATGCTCGCGGAATCGAACTGTCATCTACTCAGCAGCCCCCAAAAGAACAGCATCAGCATAATAGTCCCTCGATTTCTTTCTCGTACTAACGTTAGTACATCATCCTTACCTTGCTCCAAGTTCTCCTTCTCGGCTTCTAGGGCATCCAACAGCACTTTCTTGCCAGCCTCAAACTCTCGTCTCAGCTCCTCCGCTCGTAGCTTCGCTTGTTCTACCAGCTTCTGCAAATCCAAGCGCAGACCAAACACCGTAAGTACACTGTCGTATTCCACCCAAAACCGTCCCTGCGGACAAGCATACCTTAGACGAGGCCCGGCAATCCCGCAACAAGAATCCTTGGACATCGATCATCTCGTCCAGCGGCTCCGACAGTTCTTTATTTGCTTCGCCATTATCCTTCGACTCCCTCACTGTCAAACGCCGCGCAGGCCATCAGAATCGAATGCGTAAGCGACGAATACGTTCAAATTCAAATTCAAATATGCTACGCGTGTTCAGCGACTGAAGACGTCCCAGCGCACTCGGGTTCACTGAGGTCTGCTATCTGTATGTCTTAATGCATATATAACGCACCTCTTTTCTTCACGGGCGACGTCTGTTGCTTCTCGCTTGCTGCTGCGGCGTGTGCGGCGCCGGTCGCGTGCTTCCGCTTCATCTTGCCCGCCAAAATGCAGAATGTTTGAAAAAGTGCGGTAAATGCCAATTTCACCCAATCAGTGAGCTCAAACGTTTTGGCGAATCATGTTTCAGTCTGTCGGCCCAGGAAGCCTCTCACTCCAGCACCATGGCGGACGCGCGGCAGAAGAACGTGGTGGTAAGCAAGCCGATCCTGTATGGGTCGGTGGCCACGTACCTCGGGCGCAAGGCCGAGGAGACCAAGACGCACCGCTGGTCCATCTATCTGCGCGGCATGGACAACGAAGACCTGTCCTACATGATCAGCAAGGTAGTCATCAGCCTGCACGTGAGCTTCGCGAACCCCGTGCGCGTGCTGACGGAGCCGCCGTACGAGGTGACGGAGCTGGGCTGGGGAGAGTTCGAGACGCGCATCCAGATCTACTTCCACGACCCGACGGAGCGGCCCATCAGCATCATCCACTTACTGGTGCTGTACCCGCCCAATAGTCAGCCCGCCAGCACCAAGAAGGTGAAAGCTTGCCTAGTTACTGCAGTTTGGAGGTAGTGTATTGATGTGTGTGTGTATGTTGTTTGACGTTGTTGCCGTTGCAGCCAGTAGTGAGTGAGTTCTACGACGAGCTTGTGTTCAACGAGCCGACCGAATTCTTCTACAAGAAGCTGATGGCCGGACCGGACCGCCAGGCGCCGCCGCTGGCCCTGCAGGACCATCTGCCGACCTACTCGGACGTTGAGGTGCTCAAGACGCTGGCGCACGCAGAGACGTTCGTGACGAAGGAAATCCAGGACACCAAGAACTTGCTGTTGAGCGCCGACATGGAGATCAAGGAGCTGAAGGAGCGCATTGCCGAGCACGCCAAGAAGAAAAAGCAGGCAGACAAGTTGGCTGCTGCGCAAACGGCAGCATGATAGCGCACGCGCTTAGGATGTCATGGATGGATGTTGTGCTGTCGCCGACAGTGGGTGGGCGTTGCGAATAGGTATTTAAAAAAAAGGCAAAGCTCTGAGTGTGCGCTGCCGGTGGGAGAACGCTCCTACCTAAAATCGTCGTATTCTTAAGGATTTTTCCTAAAACCCGACATATGTTTCATGTGCACCACCTAAATTTTAGGACTGAGTTTAGGTCAAGATGCTTGAAAATTAAGTACCGTGAGTAACATTAGGGCGAGGGCGAGCGGATGCGAGCGCGAGACTCGCTCGGTGCATTCACCGATCGCCAACACCCGCCGATTAGGCGGGGGCGTGTCTGCGCGAGCGAGCGAAGGCGAGCGCTGCAACCCGATATATTTTTTTCAGACACCGCGCCTGGCCGAGACGAGGACTTAGCGTAAGGGACAAGGGGTGGGGCAGGCCGCGTAGCGGCGCCCCCCCCCCCCCCCCGCGGCCTTGTCGCTAAGCCGCAGACGAGAGCCAATGCGCGAGTGTCCTGCCAAGCTATACTGAATATAAGATGTTTATTAATGTGTCTCTCTCCGGATTTTAGGCAAGATTTTAGGAGATTATGTTTAGGACAGATTATTAGGAATTCGACGATTTTAGGTACGCACAGGGGGAGTTCCAAAATAATGCGCTCCATCTCCGGTATTCACAGCCGCAACGCCAATCGGCAGCTGCTCACTGGCGGGTGTTAAGACGTACCAGCATCCAGTAGACCTACGGAACAGGGTGCTCGATGCTGCAGGGCAAGCTGAAGAGATTCCAGATCAAAGTCCCACGCAATCGGCACCACCGAGTGTGTCTGTCGGCAAAGCACAGGTGGATGGTGAGACCTACAGGGTGCCTCAGGAGAGTGCGAGCGGCTACCTCAGCGGTGTGTCGGAATCGGCGACCGACAGCCGACTACGTACGTGTGTGTATTGACGATTGCACTCGCTTTACAAATGGATGGCGAATCTTAAACAATTACGAAAGTGTACAGGTTTGGCAGCCCCCCCCCCAAACAAATGTTTCGCAATGCGTCAGTCGTGAAGGTTGGTCTTGATCAATGGGAGTAGACCCTGCAGGTAGAGCGATGAGTCATCACGACGAGACTGGAGCAGGCATTTCGGAGGCCAATCTCACCGTAGAATCCATATGCAGCAAGAGGACGACCTGCTGTACATAATAGGCCAACTCGGTCGATTGCTCTGCTGGTCCAGAGCGAAGCAAGCAACAGTTCGTAGCAACTTCAACTTCTGACAGATAGAGAGCACGGTATCTTCTGCGTTCACTTCAAGAGCAATTGGAATTATTTCGCAAATCAGGATGGCAAGTCGGCAGGTTGGCGACTTGCCTTGAAGCCGCCCCAGACTTGGGGTTCAGTGCTTACCTTCACGTACCGGTAGCATCCACTATCGCACAAGCGCTCTTTGCTGTTGCCACCTTGGCGCCGGCCAAATCGCACCTCGGTGCACCAATGTGCTTATCACTCTCCGCGCGTTTAACATTCGCCAATGCTCGCTCTGAACGCCATCCGCGTGGAACCACTTGGGCCCAAGGGCAAAATGCTTGTCGACTGCCAAACAGCTCAGCAAGCCTCGTCCGTAGAGCTCGATCAGCTCGTGTGCGAGCTTGAACACATGCTCGAACACTACAGCAAACTTTACCGGAAGATGGGGCCTACACGCGAACTCGCGTGAAGCAGGCTGCAAGTTGCAGCCGGTATCTCCACTCTCCGCCGATATACACGGCGGGCACTCACGTCGGCTAAAACCGAGAGGGGCAAATTGTCACGGACAAGCACCCGCTTCAACTGAGCGGGATGCGCCGGAACCACGGCTGTCACAGTACTTGACGCACGTAGAGAACGGCCCAGTGGAGTAAGCCGACTTGTAAGCTTCCGGGCTGGAGTAAGCGGCCGCATGCAACGCAGGACTCGCGAGTCGCGACGGGCAAGGCGAACCATGGTGAACCATAACGGTGGTGATCGGTTGGCTGTGCAGTCGCGGCAGAGTGCCCCCGGCATCGACGGCATTGACACGCGGCGGTGCCGATCGCGCGGGAAGGAATATCATGAGACCGAGGCTTGCTTGCTGCGCCCGCACACTTGGAGAGCACGCGACGGGTGGACGTGTACAGTACTCTAGTACTTCAGTTTCGACGGCAGCAAGGCTTGGTGATCGCGCGCTGCAGTATTAGCCCACCACCACTGTTGTCTGCATATTAGCGTGCAGCTCGTCGGGCACCGCGCAGCAGTTCTGGGCCGCGCCCTATTCCAGCGGTCTACTGGATGCTGGTAAGTGTTCAAGGCGGCGGTGATCCGGGTGCGTCACTAGTGCCACTGGCAACCATCCTGGAATGCACAAGCGCCATTAGTACCGGCGGTGGCATGCTCTTGCGGATAGCGATCAGCGGCAAGCGCGCCGACACAGCTCATCCAAAACTTGCTCCACCGTTGTTGCGCGAGGAAGACGACAGCATTTCGGTGGCGAAGCTCGCGTTATGGAGACCACAGTACATGCAGCTCTAAAGGCCACTGGCCTTGGGCCAGGCAGCTCAGACGCACGCCGCCGGCGGTCCTTGAAGAGCGGCCTGTTTTGCGGAGACCATTGCTCTGCAACTGTAGAATGTGCTCTACAACCGTGTAAATTGATCTTGAAGTTGTCTCGCTCATCCCCCAAAAGTGCCACAGTGATGATGGCTGCGCTCAATACTCGGCGCCAGTCAAAGGTGAAGGCCGCGGAAAACCCGCCGTGAGGAAGAAGCGCGAGGTGCTCCACTGCTTCCCGCCTGCAGGTGCTGGCTGGCTGCGTAGCGGTCTGTCAGTCGCGCTTGGCAGATCTGTCATTCGCTAACCTGCCGCCTCGGCCGCAAGTCTCCATCTAAATACCCGCTCCTCTCTCCGACCATGGCGACGTACCAGCAGGAGGTCAAGACGCCCGTGACCGACACGCTGCAGAGCCCTGCGCGCGCCAACGTGGACATGGACCACTACCAGTACCAGTCGCAGCCGGACTCGGCCTTCAAGGTGGACGTGGCCGCCAACAGCCAGGACGTGCTCAAGGAGGAGGCCGAGAAGGGCGGCAAGCCGCTCAAGAAGTTCCTGTGGTGGCGGATCACCAAGAAGCAGCGCATCTTCGCCATCCTGGGCATCGTCATCGTGCTGCTGGTCGTGATCATCCTCATCGTGTGGTTCGTGATCGTCAAGGCCATCTTCCAGCACAACGTCAACAAGATCAACATGACCGTCAACTACCTCGACATCAACCAGATCACGGACCAGACCACGCTCTCGAGCGAGCTGAGCCTGCGCCTCAAGCACGACCTGAGCATGAACGCTCGCTCGGACTCCACCACGGCCAAGCTGCTCTACGGCGGCTCGACCTTCGCCACCTTCGAGTTCCCCGCGCTCACCATCGACAAGGGCGAGCAGGAGTACGACCTCAACATCACCAGCGACCTCGTCGTCACCGACGCCGACGTGTTCTCCGCCATGTCGACGGCCGTCATGGACGACGTCTCGGTGGTATTCGACACGAGCGCAGAGGTCAAGGCACACGCTCTGGGCTTCAGCTACGGCGGGCTGGACTTCAAGCGCGAGCTCACCATCGAAGGCTTCAACAACTTCCGAGACCCATTGACGGTCATCGACCACATTGACTTCTGGGGCTGCACGGACGAAGGCTGGACCATGGACATCGACGTCAATGTGACCAACGTCTCTCAAATGGGACTCAATGGCATCGGATACCTCAACTTGACGCTGTACGTCAACCAGGACTACCTGGGCTACTTGTCCGGCCTGACCCCTGACGTCGGCGTCCCGCGTGGCATGAGCCAGCAGACCTTCCGGTTGTTCGTGGAGATGGCCAACCGCGCGCACATGGTCGAGATGGTCACGGCGCTCATTGACAGCTACGTGCAGTACTTCATCACTGGCGAGAGCAGCTACGCGACCGAGTACACGCTGTTCAAGGACGCGCTGGCCACCATGAATATGAGCATCATCTACGAGGACAGCACCGAGCGCATCGACCTCAACACGTCGTGCAACCTCGCCACGCTCCTCACCGTTTGAGTGTGATATGTCATCGATACGGCATGCAGTTCGTTTTTGCCAAGTAGGCAGAGTGAGTCGGCACGTTGCAGTCATTGCCTAAGCAACGTGCGTGTCCATAATAACACCAAGATATGTAAGTTTCCGCAATGAGTTCCTGTAGCGAGTCGATCGATCTTGTCGCCGCTCAGATCTGTGTGTCTGCCTCACCGAAATGGCGATCATTTAAATCAGCCCGACTTGCTGCTTGAAGCAAGACGTATCTTAGGGTATGCTGGTCAAGGAAGGCGTCCGAGCGGAAACCATTACTGCAACCTGCTTAGCCCATTCCCTGCCAGTGCTGTCACAGGCGCTACGACTTGATTGGCAAGAACAGGTTCAACAATGGGTTAGTGAACTGTCATCGGCAGTAGTGCGCTAAGGAAGACTACAGACTGAGCGAGCCAATGCTCGTGTTACACACGGTGTCCTCGCCACAACCATGCACATGTAGGCCAAGACTAAATACTTTGCATGTTAGTGTAACTCTCACAACGTGCCTTGCCAACCATCAACTAATGCTAATGGCAGCGCCCACGTTCGTCGCGAAGTCCCAGCCTGTACATGAACCATCTCGATGTCAGGTCGTTTCGGATATCGGCAACGAAGCACGTGCACCTCGCTCTCTTGCGCAGCATGTAGCGCAGGCCATCCCTATGCAGCAAAGGCAAGCACTCCATACGACTCGGGGCCCCATTACATGTATTCGCACTGGCGTGAGCTTTCTATTTTTGCCAAGATCTCGCCGCGCCCGGCCACTCGACTGCAACTTGAGAAAGAGCGGTCTTGCCCCCCCCGTCCGCTCGATCGCGGGCGTTGCTGCTGCGCGCTGAGTTGCGCGCGCTTCCACTGTTGAATGGCAGCGCGCGGCGCCGACCCCACATCGTCATCGGCCCCGTCGTCGACATCGGGCTTTGGGATCCGCAAGTACTTCCGGCGAGCTGCGTCGCAGTCGCCGCCGCCCTCCGCCAGCGCCAAGCGTCCAGTCGAGCCGCAAGCCGACCCCAGTCAGCTCAAAGAGGTGAAGGAGCCTGAGCCGCAGCACCAGCAGAGACTGAAGCTGAGACCGATGCAGCGCAGCGCCGTGTTCGGATCCTGCGCGCAGTCCGTGGGCACCGTGGCCTCGGTGCTCTTCGGAGTGATCAACCGCAGCGGCCACTTCGACGAGACGGCCAGGGACAGCGTGGTGACCCGCCAGGCCAAGATCCTGTACGTCTCGCTGCTCGAGAGCGTCCAGAAGGAGCGCGGTGAATGGCAGGGCTTCTCAGCCTCGCCCTCCGACCCAAACAACGATAACAACGGGCCGGAGGACACCGACGTACAGAGTCCTCGCGACCTCCTCACGTCGAGCATCGGCATGAAGTCGACTGCGGAGCAGCTCGGCATCCTCAATGAGCTGCTGGAAGTGAGCTTCCGCAACCTCATGGGCCCGTTAGTGCCCTTGGAGCTGTACACCAGGCACCGGAAGGTCCTGCTGCGTGAGAGTCTGGCCGTCCCGCCAGCACTCACGACGCTGCTTGCCATCCGCGGGGTCTTGGACCGTCTTGAACGCGAAGTGCGACACTGCCTGCTGCGCTTGCTAGCGCTCTGGGACCTCATTGCACTCGTCAGCGGGGAAGCGCAACCGCTGCGCAAAACGATCGCCGACAAGCACCACCACGTGTTCAGCGAGTCTTCCGAGTTCGAAAGCATGGTAAGTCGAAGAGCGGTGTCTATCCTCTCAGGATCATAGTTGATGCTTACAGCTTCTTGGTGCGGGCGCTTCATGTTGTGCAGACTGCTCGCAAGAGTGAAAGGCAGGATACTGTCGCAATAGATCTTTTGCAGATCATGGTGCTCTACCGTGACATCCTCTTCAGCGATATTGAGGTCTGGTAATATCCATGCTTTGGGCGAGACGAGATGATTGGTGAGCTAATTCGATGCTGCCAATACTTGTTTGTTTTGTACAGTTCATTTTAACGAAGCAGGAGCTGCAAATTAGTTCAAGGCTGATCGAAGACGTTCGAGCTAGTGCCTGGCCGCCTACTTCGGAGCCTGCGATTCCGTCGGAGGAGGAGGAAGACGACAGATTCTCCAGTGATGGCGATATCAGTAGCAGTATCAGCGATGAAAACCAGGTGCTACACGACGGCGACGATGCTTGGGGCATGGAAACTCCAGCGGAACCACTGCGCCCACGCCCATCTTCATCCGTGCCGAGCGTACCCGAAGATGGACATCAACAGAACGGATACCACGAAGACGGCGAGGACGAGGAAGCTGGCTGGTCGATTCCGTCACCGACACGGTACAACAGTTACCGTCACCCCCAAGACCGGAAGGCGCAACGGTCTCGAAGCATGGCATCTCCCCCCGTGTCGGGAGGAGCGGGTCCGTTGGTCCCAGTTCCCATGATCCCAACCAGCAGCGAGGGCATCCACTTGCTGAGCCTAGAGCCCAGGCCGATTGAGCGGATCCCCAGTGGGCGTCGCCACTCTCAGCGATCTCTCTCGACCAACCCGGACTCTCCAACACACAGCGCGATAAGCCAGGCAAGCTCCAGCACCAGATCATCGTCACGAAAACTGAAGTTGCGGACCAAGCAGCGCAGCGCATCATCTATCAACGGCAGAATTGATCGTCAGCGACAGGAGAACCTTCGGCAAGACACGGCCAGTAGCGAATCACGCTCGCCCCCACCACCGTCTCGCTCCATGGTGCGCCGAAGCGCCAGCAAGCGTCTGCGCGGCAACAAAGCCCCGTCAATCCGCCGGCGACGAGCGTCCACTCAGTCAGCGGACCTAGCCACGCAAGACAAGGCTCACCGCTCCACAAAAAAGGAAACCCAGGCGAAGCCCGCTGGAGACCCAAGCTTCTTGTCGCTGGCGGTATCCTATCTCACGATCCCCGTGGCTGCTGTAACCCTGTGCGTTATCGCAACCATGGCTACCTTGGCGATCTACGAGACGCGCAAGTCCCCGCGGAACTGAGCGAGGCTGTCGTCAGCTCAGCAATATTGACACACTATGTAGTGGACACGGTGGATTTTTAGCTGAGGCGGATGCTGTCGAGTCACGATCTGGTTAGCCTATTGACTCCGTCATCTATTACGGTCGGACGGGGGTCAATGGACCAAATCTCAAAGCTGAGAATCATGCCTAGTGCCATAAACTTTACTTGCGTAGCGTGTTACAGTAAGTATGCATGACCGAGTGCAATGGACGGCTCTCGTTAAAGCAACTTGGGTTTGGGCACCTTCAGCAACTTCGTGCAACTTCGGGCACTGGTCGAAAAAAGTTGCCCAAAGGTGCGCAACTTCGTGCACCTTTGCGCACCTTTGAGCACCTTCGTTTGAGCAACTTCGTGCAACTACAAGCACCTTCAGCACCTTTGCAATACTGAATTTTTGCACTAGCGAGTAGGCTCTGCAACTTCAACAGCAACTACATGCACCATTCAGCAGAGTGCGTTCACGCTGCCTGTACTGCTAGGCAAGCTGTTGAATAAAGGACACTAAATTATATAGGGGGCGGAGTGAACATCTTTTACTTTGACCTGAGCCAACACAGCTCAGTTCAGCCCAGGTAACCCTTTCAAGCGAAGGTCGACCACTTATTACTGACTTGAATACCAAGTCAGAGGTAAGGCTTTGCATCGATGGTATTCACACTGTACAGCGGCTCCAGAAAGTCACCGCCCAGGCAACTTCAACATCGATTTTGGGCAATAGCTAGACAACCACTAATCGGATCGGGTACGAGTAGAACCGCCAGCGAACCCAAGACGAAAACATTAGCCAATAACATCGGTTCGCGGGAAGTGTTCCGCCAATCACCGTTTATTCAAAACAAGGTGCAAATATAGTGAGCGCCCAGTGGCTGGCCTCTTGCCAATTATATAAAATTTTGTATGGAGGGTCACAATGTTGCACGAATGTTGCTCGATCGAACCCATGCATCTTGGCGGCAACGCAGCAATCGTTGCCGCGCTAGTTGCTCTCATTCTCCTATTCACCTCACTTCGAACAATTCAAGCTCAACTATGGACCAAGGAAGTCGCCAGCACTCGCACGAGATCCGTTGTCTCTGCGTTATAAGTGGAAGAAGGGCTACAGCTACTCTAGAATCGCGAGGGAGCTGGAGATGGCCCGCTCGACAGTGCGCGATATTATCGCACACTTCAAGTTGAATGACCACCGTGTCGTAGCTCCGCGCCAAGGCCGCCCCCGGCTCACTACTGCCCGCGATGACCGCCGCATTCTCCGAGACACTGAGACTAACCGGTTCTCAAGCGCGGCGGTCCTGGCTGCTGCACACTGGCCGCGTGGTGTCGCCGCAGGTGGTGCGCAACCGCCGGCCTCAACGGCCGCTCTGCTAGGAAGAACCTTACCTCTCCAAGATGCACCGCAAGCAGCGCCTCGCCTATGCAAAGAGGCTGGCTCATCTGGAGAAGGACGACTGGGCGAATGTCCTCTTTACAGACGAGGCATCGGTGGAGCTGCACGGTACCAGCGGTCGTGTCTCGGTGTGGCGCCGGACACTTGAAGCCTTCCATGAGAAGTGCGTCGTGCCGACCTTCAAGTCCAGCCGCAAGTCGTTGATGGTGTGGTCCTCCATCTCGGCAGACGGCGTCGGCACGATGCACTTCTGCGAGAAGTCCGTGGACGGCGCCTCCTACCGACACCTGCTTCAACAGGAGATCCCGATCACCCGCCAGCTCCTCGGTCTACCCCAGCCTACCAACTTCGTCCAGGACAACGCTCCAGCGCATCGCGCTAAGGCCACGACGAAGTTCGTGAAGTCCTTAGGGCTCCATGACCTTCGTCACCCCGCCCAGAGCCCCGATCTCAACCCAATTGAGAACGTGTGGGCGATCATGAAGCGGGAGCTGAATCGCCAGCCAGAACCCTCTATTGAGGACCTCAAGGTAAAGCTCCTTGAGATATAGACGAGTATCGACGACGATGTCATTCGCAAGTGCGTGCTTTCCATGCCGGCTCGCCTGGACGCTGTCGCCGCCAGCAAGGGGGCTCACACGAAGTACTGATTTGTGACTTGATTTTTGTATGGGAACGAGGTGGGCGGTGATTTTTTGTCACCGTGTTTTGTAATTTCTGCCAGATTTTTCCTGATAAAAATACAGCAATGTTACGTTTTTCCTATTCATTGACCTTCACTTGTAGTTTATCCTTTTGCGGTTCCGCTCGTGTTTCTCCGGCAGGAAAATATGATCTAGTTCGTGAGCAGTTGCCAAATATATTAGTTGTATACTATGTGGGCGGTGACTTTCTGGAGCCGCCGTAAAGTTACTCGTGTTCTGTCACTATCATAAAGCTACACAGATAAACAAATGATTCGCACTGCCTTTTTCGTGTGGTACGCGCTACTTCCAGCGGGACCATCACTGACGATGTGGCTGGGAAGCAAGCTAGGAACTCCAATCTACATCAAGCTGTTTGAGACCTTAGTGACTATCTTCACTATACTATGTTTAAACATAATGGGGGCTCCTCTAGGCGAGGACACTAGGTGTTGTGTTTGATGAACGCAGCATGATCCACATCATCACTGAGAAAGTTGCGCAACTTTTTGGTGGAGTCGTGATAATTACTTTCTTAGTGTGGGGCAGAGTGGAGCGCGAACTTAAGCAAACGCTAGTGCTCACAAACAGTTTGTTGTTGTACAATTTATATAGCTTACACATTGGAGGAGTTAGACAGGTATCCATTAATGATAGAAGTATCTCCAAGCTCAATCTTCGGGATACATAATTAAAACTTAAGTACTTGAAGTAGATAGTTCGCTATCTTCTACGTGACAAGTACTTGTGGAGCACTGATGAAGTATTCTCGATGTCCACGTATCTCTGCGTTGCATGCTAGTCCTGAAATTCCATGCTTCACAGTTTCCGCTCTTCTAGTAGTGGACCTAGAATAAACGTCCAAGAACAGTATACCATACCTGCAGGTTGCCCTTGTTGCCGTGACTAAGCAACGACGACTGTATGGCCGCAGTGGCATTTTGATACCATTCAAAACATAACAAGGCTAGTAGTAAATACATGCAGTAAAAAAATGTCCTACCTTACATAGTTCGCGTTGGGATCATCGGTCCCCGTGTCATGCTGATGCATTTTGTCGTGGTTGCTTGGCTCAGTCATTTCGTACGCTAACGTTCACACCTCTCTACATAGTTTTAAAGGACGGTATAATCTTCAGCTACTTCAAACTTACAGAAGAGCCTTAACGCGATAGTTCTCATACATATTTCTTTTGATATCTCGTGTTATCGTATCTCTGCCCAAATTTTCCGGTGCTTCGTTGTTAGGTGAAGGTAGAGGGATCAAAAACCAGCGATACTTGGCTAATGAACGTCTTTGCCGTTGCTGTTGCTACTGCTGCTGCTGTAAACGGCGTCGATCCTGATGGAGACCGTGAGTCAGGAGCTGAACGTGCCCAATCGCAGCTTCATCAACATACAGCGCTCCAACTGGGTCGAGTTCGTAGTGAGCCACTAAGCTCCTTGCCCAGTAGACCTTGCGCACCGCTCAACGCTCGAGTCTCGTGTCCTCTCGCCTCTGAGCTACGCAATATGTTGGCGCATGGACGTTTTTTAACAGCCACAAACCATACTCTAGTAACATGGCATATAAAAACAGCAGTTAGACGGCAAACATTTATGACGTACATGCCCGAAAGTCTGGCAATAGAGGAACGAACGCACACTGTCCATCAGATTACTTACCACTGCGGGTCACTTGTGCTCAAAAGGCGACGTGGTGCCGTGCAATATGCCATGCACATGAGCCACATCAGATCAAGCGCCACCGATAATAGTCCCCTTAATGCGTCTTTGCCTTCGCGCCGCTGCATTTTAGGTCTTATCACAACGCGTTGGAATGTGTGCCACGTGCTCATCGACGAACAACTCGCTACAGGACCATTGTCATTGCGCTACACGCAGTCAAGTCTCTGTTATCCAAACGTGCCGAGAAAGCGAGTGAATTTGCAAGCGCGCATTCACCAACCCCCGCGTTACGGCTGTGTTGAAGCGTTATCCCTGCCATAGCATCGCAAGAAGGGTTAGATCAGAGCTACATGTCAGTGCGGCTGCAGCAGCGGCTAGGCGTACATGATCGTGTGGAGCGCGCTGCAGGAAGTTGCGCAACGTTTCCCGCGCAGATCTGTGGCCGACGGCGCGAATTGGCGAATGAGGCCGTCACGTGAAGATCCAGGTGAATTTCACAATAGGGTAAACTCGAAGTTGCACGAAGTTGCCCAAACCCAAGTTGCTTTACACTCCACGACAAAAAGATATGGACACCACCAAAAGTGGCTGTAACTTCGTCATTTTTTATCGTTTTAAGGTGCGGTTTGGACTAGAGTTGCTGATAAAGATCTACACGCTGCTAACACGCGCGCTTTTGCGCTTCTTCAGGTACAGTCAAACCTGTTTATATGATCCTCTCTATTTGAGCCATGCCGTTTATTTGATGCAGGCTTTGTCGCTACCAAATATTTCACTTAGTTTTTGTATGATCTCTGTTTATATGCATACAAGGTATATGAGTCACATTTTTGGGGACCAAATTAGGTCTCACCTGTTTATTTGATTCACACTGCTCACGGCCACACACTCTTCAAAGCACCACTGCTCGACACTCAACGCCTACCGCAAGCCTTCTTCGCTCGCCATGTCTCCTCGCACCTGTCTGACGCTAGAACAAAAGCTCCAAGTGCACCTAAAGCTCAAGCAGAATCCTGGCATGAACAACCCCATGCTCGCCGAGTGGATCTACGCAACTTTCAAGGCCCGGGTCAGCCGTGCCACACTCGCCCGACTGCGCAACCTGCCTTCTTCCTACTTCAGCCACGTCGATCTGAGTGCGACCAAGCGGCGCCGAGTGAAATTCCCTCAGTTCGAGCGGGAACTGAGGGAATTTTTCTTTCAGAACGAAGCTAAAACGGCGATGGCGGGCGACGTGCTCC